CTGGCATCCACCCTGAAACTTGGTTCCCTGAGCTTTACTGCATTGGAACGCATCCTGCCCTCCACTGCAGGGGGAAAAAGGTCACAACCTACCTCTGCGTTTCTATTGTCCAATGCATTGGTGAGCAACTTTTGGCTGCATCTGGCTGTCAGCCTTCATGAATTCAATTCCTGGTGCCTCACACTGCTTCCTGGGCTTCAAAGGTTTTTTTAGCACTCTATTTGCTGCCCTCCATAGTTTTTTCTTTCTCTCAAGAATAAGATCTCCACGGCTAGTTTCTCTCACACATTCAGCCAAGAACAAGTAAGATTTAGAAGACTTCCATATGCTTCCCCTTTCCCTCGATGGGAAGGAAGCACTTAAACCTGTGGGTGACAGAAAGACTCTGACCTGGTTTGTACTGAATGAGAAACCACCATGAATGAATTCCTCTGCAGGGCTTCTAGTAGCACCATTGCTGGTCATTTAAATATCTGAGCTGTAGCAAGGGCATGCTGTAGCTTTTCATTTCATGTGAACCCAACCACGTGTGTTATTGGGATGTTTGATGAGACAATAGTTAACTATTCCAACAATTCACCCTTACCAGGTTTGCATTGAACAAGAAGCTACAATATTCCCCCAGCTGTGGCTCAAATATTAAAAATGGTGGCAACCGTCACAATGAAAACCCCCACAGAGAATGTCCCACATGGCAGCTTCTTCTTACAGGCACAGTAGGTGTGTTCACACAGAGCAAGCCACAGTGGAAACTACATAGGCATGGCTTGTCATTATGTGTGAAACCAGCACCCATGGTGAAGTGCAGCAGGTTTGGTTTCTATGACACCACATAGAGAAACAATGGTTTGTGTAAGGTTTCTGCACTTTACCACAGCTCGTCATAATGTGTGGCCCCAGTGCCACCATAGAGTTTGGTGGCAAGAGCAGCTACTGCTGTTGCAGATACTCTAATCTGGTGTGAGGTTTTTTTTTTTTTTTTTTTTTTTTCCTGCTCTGCCTAGCACCTGCTGAGGCAACTACAACCATGCTCTGATTGGCTGCTTCCTGTTGCTTTTTCTCTCTGTCTGTGCACTGCCTTCCCCAGGCCCAGCTGCAGTTCTGGAGTCTTAGCAGCAAGGGGCATCATGCCAAACCACCTCCAGCAGCAGCGACCTTGGAGATGGCCACTCTTGACACTCCTTTCTGGTCGCTGCCCTTTGCTGGAGTAGCATTTTGCAATGGCTGTGTGTTTGTCTCGCTTAGGGGAGCCAGCAGTCTCGTCATGTGAAGGCTGCCTTACACATGAGGAGCACACAGGCTATGTGTGAGCTGCAGCAGCAGTCTAAGAAGAAGCCTGTGGCTCCCACTCTGTCTCCCCTCTGTTCCTCTCTTGTCCTTGACATTCTTAGGGACTCTCAACAAGCTCCACTGCCACCCCCACCCCCTAAAACTGTGGGACAAACACTGTTCTTACATGGTGTACTAGAAAAGTTTCCTGGAAGAAGCCCAGGGAAAGTCGGCCTTGGGACCCTTGGGAAAGTCGGCCCAGCAGGACTTGCTTCTTCTGCCTCTGGTGTGGGTACCTAAGCTGATGCCTTCTATGTGCCTGGCTGCAGGGAGGAAGTGGCCCCCTCCTGCATGTGCGAGTCCTGCACAAGGGGGGCAGCGAGTCCTGCACAAGGGGGGCAGCGAGGCGGGAGAAGAGGATGTTGGGGTACATGTGCTTGCACTTTGACACAGAGCAGGGCAGCACAGGGGAGAGATCCTTTCATGTTCCTCCTGAGCAACAGTGCTACCCGAGTGAGTAGGCAGTTACCTTGCTGAGCAGCAGAACTCAAAGAAAGTAGAAAGCAGCTGGCTGCAGCCATGCCCAAGGGATTGTGTGAGCTAATGAGGGAAAAGTAGGTGAGGCAGGCAGGAATGGTGCATGTTGGGATTGATTCTGAGTTGTCGGGGCCGATGAGATATGTGCTGCCATTTGGAAGGAAGACAGAGAAACATGGAAACCAAGAGCATGCCTGCACCCACATCACACTGAGGTATCGTGGGTAGCCCCATGGCATGACTAAGCAGTATGTGCAAACACACCTGGTAAGTATGTGTTGGTGACTGGGTAAGAATCCAGTGTATATGGGGGAGGGGAAGGCTGTGCACACCCATGCAGGCCACATCTCTTTACCCTCAAGGGAATGCAGTCCTTTGCGAGGAAAGGTTGCCCATGCCTGGTGTGGCAGATAAGTAGCATTTGACTAAGCAGTCCTGGTTTGAATACCAGCATAGTTGCTTAAGCACCCACTTTTCTCAGTTCTCATTTGAAAACTGGAAATTATTGTTTGAATCTAGCCACTCTGCAGATCCCACAGCATAAAAAGTTCTAAGTACTTGAAGCTGTTTGACCTCAGCTCATTTATGTGGGAGTGCATCAGAATCAAACCAACATTGTTTCCTTGTGCCTTTCTCTTCTATTATATACCATTTGGTCTTGTATCTGTTTTGCCCATTGTATGCACAACATTCTGTCCTGTGTATGAATCACAGAAACCATGATTCTCCAAGATCAGAGGTGAATAAAATTAAAAGGAGTACCAGGTTTCATTATAATGCCAGAGCAGGCTAGTCAAGTTATAATTGGATCTAATTAACACCTTTACAAGTTGCAGCTTTAATTACTAGTGCACACATGAAAACAAAGAGTGAGGCATACTTCCCTATCTCTGAAAATATCTCTTTCAAAAGTATATTTGATCATGTTCTTTCCAGGCAACAACTCTGAATCAGTTCCAGCATGCTCAAGTGACACACATTCATGGAAACTAGCATAGAAACTAGTATCACTGCAAGCTCCTAATGTAACTGGTGAATCCACAGTTCTTGGTGATTTAAAATGAAAGACTGGAAAATATGTTACCCTAAAAACTACAACTTAAAAGATTAAAATCCCTCAAACTGATTTCAGTTATATTGTTTGAACTAGGAATGCAAGAAATGTTCATACGTCGTAACTTATATTTTTTATTTATGTTAATTATATTACATTATTTATTTATTTAAAACATTTGTATGCTGCCCTTCACTATCGTGTCTCAGGACAGCTTACAAGATTAAAACAATCAATAAAACAATATAATAAAATTACCAAAAACCAATACAAATAAATCAAATCCAAACAAAAACAACTGTGAGCCTACTAAAATTCCTAATTTTTAAAATGACAATTAAATAAAAAGGTTGTAACCTGGCACCAAAAAGAATATAAGCTCGGCACCAGGTGAACCTCCCTGGGGAGCATATTCCACAATCTGGGTGCCACCACAGAGAAGGCCCTGTTCCAAGTAGCTGTCATTTTTACCTCCTTTAGGGAGGGTTCTCAGAGCAGGGCCTCTCTCACAGATCTTAAGGGGAGTGAGGGCATATGAGGAAGGAGATGTTCCTTCAGGTATCTTGGTCTCAAGCCATTTAGGGTTTTATAGGTCAAAACCAGCACCTTGAATTGGGCTCAGACTTCAACTGAAAGCCAGTGGAGCCGGTAGAGAACTGGCGTTATATAAGAATAGCGATCAGTCCCTGTCAGCAGCCTGGCCACTCTATTTTGTACCAGCTGAAGTATCCAGACTGTTTTCAAGGGCAGCCCCACATAGAGCATGTTACAGTAATCCAACCAGGAGGTTACTAGAGCATGTATCACCGTTGCTAGGCAGTGCTCGTCCAGGTAAGGATGCAGCTGATTATTAAAACTCATAATCACCAGAATTGGGTAAATTATACCGCATAAGAGCTGAACAGGGATTCATTTTCTTTTACTTGAACATTCTTTGAAGCCAAAATACAAAGGGCCATATCAGAATATTGGTAGGTTGAATGTGCTTGTGGAATGGGAAAGTGCATTCTTTTTTTTTTTTTATAAAGATTTTTATTAAAATTTTTAAACTAAAAACTAAAAACATCAATCATCAAATACATCGGATGTACTGGGTCAGCCCCTTACAACATATCTTTTTAACATTCTATAATCAAATTCAAACCAATTTATAAAAATTTAAAAACATCTTTAAATCTAAGCCAAGTGCCGTTTCTCCAGCCAATCATAAAAAAAAATCCCAAGTTTGATAGAAGTCAGTATCTTCTTTCTCCTTCAGTAATAGAGTCAATCTGTCCATTTCTGCACAGTCCAGAATCTTTTTTAAAATCAGTTCCTCAGTGGGTAATTTCTCACTCTTCCAGTATTGAGCAAGCGCAATCCTTGCTGCTGTGATTAAATGTAGCATCAAATACATTTCTTGTTTGCTAATATTTTCCGGTATAATGTCTAACAAGAAAATTTCAGGTTTAAAAGCTAAGGGTTTTTGTAGCATTTCCTCTAGCCATTTATGTATTTTAATCCAATACTTTTTCACACATTCACAGGTCCACCACATATGGTAAAAAGTACCCACATCATGTTTACATTTCCAACATCCGTTTGACATATTTGGAAACAACTTAGCTAATCGACTTGGCGACAAATACCATCTATAAAACATTTTATATAAATTTTCTTTATACGAAGTTGCTAAAGTTACCTTAATGTTTCTCTCCCATAGCTTTCGCCACTTTTCTAATTCAAGGGAAAGTGCATTCTTGTTTTATATCTGGTCATGAAGTCACAAAAAAGTACAATACCACAGATGTCTGTACCTATTGTTCTTTCCTTTTTGCCTCTGTTTTAACAATTTGGTGAAAATATGTATACTCCACGCCATAACAGAACATTACAAGATAAAAGATGGGCCTCAATACTAATACCTGTAGAAGGTGAGGCAGTGTCCGTCCTGAACTGGTGCCTGAGCTCAGTAATGATGAGGGCCAGCAGCCTGAAACTCAGGCCAGACAAGACAGAAGTACTGTAGGTGGGTAGTAGGTCAGATGCGTTGAATGACCAATACCCTGTCCTAGATGGGATCATACTCCCCCTAAAGTATGATAAAGTATTAATATTAATATTTTTATTGTATAACTTTGTTTTCGTATAACTTTGTATAACTTTGTTTTTGTTGTAAGCCGCCCCAAGGCTTTGTTGCGATGGGGGCGGCATAAAAATGTTTTAAATAAATAATAAATAAATAAATAAAGGACAGGGCTCATAGCCAGAGTGCTCCTGGACCAAAAACTCTCACTTTAATCCCAAGGGGACTCTGTGGCCAGGAGAACCTTCCTTCACCTGCAGCTAATTTATCAACTACTATCTACCATATATTGACAGACAAAGCTTAGCCAGAGTCACACATGTCATGATAACATCCCAGTTGAACTATTGCAATGTGTTCTGTGTGGGGATGCCTTTGAAGATGGTCCAGATACTCCAACTAGTTCAAAATAGGGCAGCACAACTTTTAACAAGAACTAGCTCATAGGCCCATATTACACCAGTTTTATATCATCTACACTCGCTACCAGTAGAGGTTTGGGCTCAATTTAAAGTGCTTGTGCTTACATGTAAAGCCCTAAACAGCTTGGGCCTTGGGCATCTGAAGGACTGCCTTCTCCGATACGTCCCTACCCTGTCCATTAAGATCAAGCCAGGAGGTCCTTCTCAAGGAGGCATCTTCCACGGAGATGAGGGGGATGGTGGCTGGAAGAAGGTCTTTCTCAGTGTTTGTACACCATCTCTGGAATAGGCTTCCCAGAGTGGTATGCCTGGTGCCATCACTGTTATCATTTTTGCATCAAGCAAGACATATCTTTTTTTCCTCCTATTTTAATAGTGGATTTAGTGGAAAATTTTGATTTTAACTTGTCCGTATTTCTGGCTTATAGGTTTATCTTAATTTTAAATCATTTATTTTAAAAGTCTCTAGGTAATAATTTTAATTTTTTGGATTCTTTTTCTTTATATTTTTGGATGTTATTTTTAATGTTCTATTGTTACAGATAATGTAAGCAGCATATACATTTAAATAATAAAAAGTGCCCATTTTATGTCCATTATTCCTTTCAGCAGTCAGAAACTTTAAACCTGAGGCTACTATTTGACCTGTTCAGGAGGAGACACATTGCTGAGCCATCACCAATGACCTCCACACCTAATGGCACTTTTAAAAAACAAACATGGGGTACATTCATATCACTACTTCCTGGTTATAAAGTATGGCACTTTGGATGTTCAGAGAAAGCACAAAAAGTAGAAGTAGCTGTATTTGCCTTAAGAGGGAAAAAGATCCCAAAGTACTATTTCCCTTTTACAAGTACAAACTGTACACACAGAAAAACACATGCTTTTACTGCATAGATAATATATCCTGCAAATGGGCACTTTTCTAAGAAAATACCCAGCTCTGGCTGGCTATAGTCTTATGTACTCTATGTTGGGAATAGTTCCTATTGAATGTCCCTGAAGAAGGCATACATATTATTATTTATTTCCGGACTCTACAAGTTCAGTATAAATTTATGTGATTGCTAGGAAAGACCTTAAACTATTTAGAAACAGTTGCATCAACTTATTTCACAATATAGCTGTAACATTTGATGACACTATCAGGATCTTTTCAGTATATTTAGATCTGTTGAAATGAATTGGCAGCTCAGAGCTATTTTTATCTTCTTGTCAAATTCTGTTTCAAATATGTCTTGTCAAATTCTGTTTCAAATATGTCTTTCTCCACTAATGAGCACAAAAGTCATGAATATATTTTACTTACTTTTTAGATTTATATCAGTATGATGTAGCTAATTCATTTCATACTGATATACCTAAGAATGCCTGGATAATTTCACATAGTTTCTACACAAAAGCAACATGATTCTGAAGGTAGTCCTTCAGGTCCTTCAGATCCAGCACCAATGATATTATCTCTTCCTTTCAAGCTCAACATATGTTTATCACATAGACATGACAGTATGCACTGACCCAACAGACAGATCTTGTACCCACAATGGCAGCCCGGTGTAGGGTAGATTCAATTATTGTTTATGTTCCATTTTGCAGTTGGTGAGATCCACTTAGAATTAGGGTTTCCTGAAAGGGAGAAATGCATTGTAAATATTAAAACTATTACATTTTAGAATAGTCTCCCCCAACCTGGCACCTTGAAGATGTGTTAGTCTATAGCTCCCATCATGCCAACCAGCCATACTGGTTGGGAATTATGGGGGCTGCAGTTCAATGTGTCTAGAGGATGATGGTTTGGGGAAGACTGCTTTAGAGAAAGTACAATCAGTTTCCTTGTTGACACATACATACACAAATACAATTTGTTGTAAACAATTGAGAACATATTTCTATGGATCCTTGCAAATAGAGAATGCCTATTTCCATGTTGTAGTTAGCACAGACTGTGTCCACCTCATCATGCAGCATTCATGCTAATTTCACTGTTAGGCACATACTGGACTAAAATGATAGCATTACTTCTACCCTGTCCCACTCCATCAAAATGCAGGAAAAATGACCTGATAATGAAGCTGGGTGGGACAATGATCAGGAAAGAGCCGATACAACATCCAGTCTTCATAGATCACTGTGTGTATCTCTTTAATAAAATATCTTGTTTTGTACAAGAAACTGAGAAGTGGAAAGTTATCAACACCAGACTGCATGAAGAACTGTTGGTGCAGATAAAGCCAGAAGATTCAAGGTTTTCTCCACCACCATCCTTGGTGCATGGCCTTTCAATATTTAACTGAGGTACATGGGTTAACTTGCAATGTTCACTGAGCAGAACAGAAATAGCACCGCTGTAAATATGCCTTTTATACCACCTGGCACATGTATCAATTGATTTCATTTTATTTATCAATAAATAAATAAATAGCAACAACCACAATGGTAACAGTAATGCAGAAGTGAATGAGTAACCTATTGTAATGAGGACTAGCAACACACTCTGCTAAGCAATACTTAAAATATTAATAAAATATACTTTTATTGTTGCTGCTGCTGTTATGTGCACCAAGTTGTCTTTGACTTATGGCATTCCAATGAATGTTCTCCAAAACATCCTGTCCTTCACAGTACTCTTCAGCTTTTGTAAATATTGAATTCATTTCCACAGGATGTAGTGCTGGCCACCAATATGGATGGCTTTAAAAGAGGATTGGGCTTTAAAAGAAGATTGGTCAAGCAGGTTAAAGCTAACAGTGGCTGCGAGTCCTCATGGTTACATGCTACTTCTAGCATCAGAAGCTATATGCCCATGTTCCCCAGCTGCTGGGGAACATGGGCAGGAGGGAGCTGTTGTACTCGTATCCTACTAGAGGAATCCTGTAGGAAGCTGTTTTGTCACTGTGTACACAGAATACTGGAGCAGACAGACCCTTCATCTGATCCAGTTGGGCTCTTCTTTTCATAGCTGAACTTGCTTCTGATTCACACACAGCTCATGGTACCTGAAGATGTGCAAAAAGAGCTGCTGCCTGATACTAATAAAAATTTTGAAGGCAAATCTTTAACCATACAGATAGCATGGGATGCCTATTTATTGCTACTGAGGGACATTGCACAACAAAATAATGGCAGGAAGTGAGAAAGAATACTGTATCCTGTTGAAACCAGTGGCATTATTTCAGTAGGCTGCTGGGTAATTGCATTTTATAACATGGCATTAGGCAAACAACAACAAGAAGAACAACCCTATTGATGTCTCCTCGAAAACTATGGGAACTAGATACCTTATCATGCAGCACCAAGAGAATGTTAGGTATGTTCAGAAATACATAGGCAGAGATGTAGTGTAGGATAATCCAAATTAATAGAAAGAGAACCACAGGAACGGAGCATATTTCCAGCTTGCAGAAGTTTAAATACCGATGACAATATCAGTATTATTACTATTAATAAAAATTAATCTTAAAGATTGTTATAGCAGCTTCTCCCAAACTAACACCTTCCATATGTGTTGGACAACACCTCCTATCACTCCCCAACCTTACACAGCTGTTGGTCTGCTGGCTTGGGATGACAGAAGTTATGGTCCAACACATCTGGTGGGCATCAGATTAAGAAAAACTATTTTAAAGACTGGTAAAAAGTTGCTATTATTTACTTATTATTTACAGAGCCCCTTGAGTGCCACTTTTTAAGACTATGAGAGAACATGTCCTTTCCCCCATCCTTTCCTATCTTATATTTGCCATAGGGAAAGTAACTAGGGTAGGAAAGGCAGCAGGGGTGAAAAGGGAAGAAATAAATGATTAAGTTACACTTATGCTTAGGATATTTCCAGGTGGAGAGGTCCTAGTGTTACCATTCAAAAAGCATCATACAGCTATATCTTCTTTCCCTCCTAAATTGCGATTTTTTAATGGTTATAAAAAAGATGGGAAAACACACAGTGGTTATTATACATAGTTTAGAGAAAATGGAAAAGGAGACTTGTTTTTTTTTTATTTTTTTATAGCACTACAACCCACTGGGGTTATCCCATGAAGGTGATTGGTGGAAAGACTTCTTGATACAGTACATAGTTAAGCTACAAAAATTGTTAACACATAGTATAGTGATGGCCACCAACTTGGATAGCTTTAAAAGGGGATTGGACAAATTCTTGGAGGGTAAGGTTATCCGTGGTTACCAGTCCTGATAGCCATGTGCTACCTCTAATATTGGAGGCAGTGTGCCTTTTTGTGCCAGTCCTGGGGATCATGGGTAGGAGGATGCTCTTGCAGTCATGTCCTGCCTGTGGGTTTCCTAAGGGCAAAAGTTTGGCCACTGTATGAACAAAATGCTGGACTGCATGGACCCTTGGTATGACCTGGCATGAGTGTTCTTATGTTTTTAATAATGGCAGCCTTTCCAGTCCACAGTTTTTCACACAATAAACGTGCAACACTTAGTATTGATTGGATTTGCTCAAAATGGCAACCTAGTGTAGCTCACAAGCATGGTGAGTTGTCATACCATTTGATCCCAGACAGCTTCCTGCAAGCTGATTTCTCTATTGGCAACAAGCCAACCTGAGAACCCATGGCTTCTTCTAGTGCTTATTGTACCTGCTATGCTGTCTGAATCTAGGGGACTATCATTATGGGTAGGCAGGAGCAGCATGAGTAGTTCAGAAAAAGTGGCAAAAAACACCTAGAAACATAGAAACAAAGTGAGTCAGAAGGGGTCTTCCAGGCCATCTAGTCTGACCCCCAGCTCCAGCTGGCTCCACTCATGACATGCCTACCATGTGCGTGTCCAGCCAATCCTGAAACACCCTCACCAATGGGGCTTCAACCACCTCCTGTGGAAGCCCATTCCATACCCTAAGGGTCCTAACTGCCAGGAAGTACTTCCAGGCATCCACCGTGAATCTTGGTTCCCTGAGTTTTGCTCCATTGAAACGCATCCTGCCATCCACCACAGAGGGAAAAAAGTCTGCTCTTGACAAATTTGCCTAGGCTACCACTGGTGACAGCTGCTCCACCAAGTACTAAAGTGACACTCAGGAAGAACTGTCAGTGGGTTGATCTCCTCTGCACTAACCACAACTCCTTTTGTGACTTTCCCCCCTTCCCCCCATTTTTGGAGATTGTGCAATCTCTGAAGTGATGGCCAGTGACAGCCCCTTCGAATTGCCCAAGTGGCACACTGGAGTGGCTGACACTGGTTGGCCAAGTATTTGTTGTTATTGTTGTACTTGAGATGTGCTCATTTCTTAATAATTTCAAAAATAGCTTTGAGGAGCCTCATCAATGCCCTGGATGTTGTCTGCTGTTAAAGAACTTGAGGCACCATCCATGGGCATTGACAAAAGAAGGTGACAAATAGGTTAAGCTGCAAATAGGCTACAAATGGTGAGAAGCAAAGCCATGAAGGGACCTTTGCTGATGAAAGGGAGTAGTGTGTAAATCATCCCCTTCCTAGGAGGATTCTTTAATTTTTTCGACAAAGACATATGCAGGTTTCATGACTGCATATGTCCCTATCTAACCCACCCCCTAAACAGTGCTGTCAAAAGTCCCTTTGTAAAAGGAAGCTTTGACAAGTGTCTTCACTCATGCTACTATAAATGGGGTGGCTCACACTTTTCCACTTTCCTGAACATTTAAAAGAGTCTCAGGAAAGGGTAGGAAAGGCAGAGGACACTGAGAACATGTCGGTCCAACCCAAGAAACTAGGGGATCTTTTGTTGGGATTCTTGACCTGAAAGGCAGCAAGAAATATTTTACATAAATACATTTCTAATGCAGTAAATAAGCATTATTAATTTATTGTGTGAGACTGAGGCAAGTTTCTTCAAAGGAACAGTTTATGATAGGGACATATTTTCCCTATAGTCAATCAACATTTTGTCCCTTGGAGAAACACAATTCCTATGCTATTGTGTTCTTTTGCTATTGTCCATGCTGTGTGGTAAATGTTGGTGTGCCTCAAGTACCTGTTGGATATATGGGTTCTGGTCATGATGGATCACTCTTCCCTGCATGCCACACACCATAATGTTGGCCTTGAAATATTTTTAATTTTTAATGTATTTTTGTAGCATGGAAGTAGTTTAAAAAGGGATTTGCACAAATTCATGGAGAGCTGACATTTTCAATACTATGTGTTCAGGTGCATGATGGAAAAGATGCTTTTGTGTACATGTCAACTTCTGGCCTTTGCCCTGTGGATGCTGTGGGAATGCAGTGTTGGATTAGTCAGTCTTTGGCCTGATCCAGCACTGCTCCATAATGATGTTATTTTATGAGAAGGTGAATACTACTAAGGCAAGCCCCATGTCCTGCAGAAATTCTCAATCATTTCATTAATCCTTTGATAAATGCATCCCATTGTTAATATTTTGTAATTTGAAAGTTATATGTAACTCTTCTCTAACACCAGAGCCTGATCTTTGCTTCTTCATCATCACCATCATCATGTGGTATGGAAAATGAATGCTGAATTACTAGCTCAAGTTTGAGGTAGGGGCACAAAGCGAGAGCAATACTTTATTAGTCTGAAAATACTTCACCTAAATTAGTGTTTGTGTTCTTACATAAATATGTTTCTAATGTTTAAGGTATATTTATGAACTAGAAAGTAAAAACTCACTCAGGAGGACTGAAATGACCTCAAGGCAGATGCACACTTTAGTCTGGTGTAGCAAATACAGCAGAGTCCTGTGGCACCATAAAAAAGAGCATTCATTTTTAAGGTACCATCTTTGCTGCTCAGAAGGGGAAGTTTTCACTCCTTAAAACACGAAGACAAGTGCATCTAAAACAATGTTTCAGATCTGAAAGAGCAAGCCAACAAGGAAATAATTTGTGGGCCATTTAGGAACAGGTACTGAGCGTGTATTTACATATACCTACAGCCTTCCCCTATATGGGCATATGAGATAAGCAAGATGCAATCATAACCAGCCAGCCGCACGCACGGACACGCAAGCAGAAAGGCAGGAGTTGTGACAAAAGCCCCCCCGAGTCGCGGTCTGTGCCCGCCCAGTGGGTGGTGCTGTGGAGACCGTCCAGAGCCCTTTCCGCCACCGGCCCAAGGCTGCCCTTACACACTCCACACCCCAAAGACTACCCCAGGCGGCGGCGGAAGTGAGTGTAGGGGGCAGTATAGGAATTTCCTGTGACGTCCCGGCCTGGACTCCATTAGGCTGCAGCTAGACAGAGAAGCCACAAAACCAGCAGCTACTGGAGAGGAGTGGGCCAGGCGCCTGGGGCTGCCAGGCGCGGGGGGCGTGTTTCGGGCAGCATTCGCTGGAGGGACCCTAGAGCGGGTGGCGGGTGCTGCTGCCGTCGTGTGAGGGACCCCCGGGGGGAGAGGGACAGTCCCTCCCCGCTCCTTACCCCGCCACCCCCCCCCATCCCCCCCCACCCCCCCCCCCCCTCCCCCCCCCCCCCCCCCCCGGCTTCCCACCACGGCCGCTCTCGGCGAGGAAACTCTGGCCTCCGCTTCCTCCTCCTCCGACTCGGACACCGGCGGAGCCTCCCCGCCACCGCGGAAGAAAGCGCGGGCCTCCCCGGCGGCGGCGGCGGCGGAGGGAGCAGGAGAGCCCGGGGCTTCCTCGGGCAGAGCAGGCCTCACCTCGTCCCCGTCCCCCTCGCTCTCCGCCGGGCTCGCCCCCCTTGCTGCCAACCCCCTCAGAGCCAGCGGCAGTACCAGCAGCAGCGCCATGCAGGCCAACGGGGCAGGAGGGGGTCAGCAGCAACAGCCGCCGCCGCCGTCGCAAAGTCCGGAGCTGGGCTGCCTCAACGCCCAAAACGGCGAGGCCTCGTCGGGCTCGTCCGCCGGGGAGCAACTGGCTCACGCCAACGGGTTGCTGCCGTCGGCCAACAACGGCGGCGGGGGAGGCGGCGGGCCGAGTGTCAACAACGGAGTCTCGGCCCCCGGGGGATCCGCCGCCGAGATGGGGGGAGGCAGCGGCGTCGGCGTCGGCGGCAGCGCCCTGAAGAAGAAGAAGAGGCTATCGCAGTCCGATGAGGACGTGATCCGGCTCATCGGGCAGCACCTTCACGGGCTGGGCCTCAAGTAAGTGGGGCAAACCGAGGGCGACCATTCGTCTCCCCACAATATGTAGAGTTGAGTCTTCTGAGGGGTGCGTGGGGGGGGCGACCCCATATGATGAGACTACCCACTTTTTTCTTCGATCTCCAGAAACCTGTCGTCTCTTCCCCTTTATTCTGAGGTCACTTGGGAACTCACTCTTGGGGAGAGACCCAGATCCTGGGGTGAAATAGTTGACACTCCTCTCGTTAATATCTAGTCTATTATTACAGCTCAAGCAAAGTCAGATAAAATGTGTGTGTGATTGAGGAAGACACTATATGTATCTAGGTTTGTGCCAAAGGGAATAATTGCCCTAGCAGACTTGTTTGTTTTAGGACCCATTGTATGCCTGGAGGAAAGAAGCCAACACTTTTTGTGTATATGTGTGTTGATCCACATTTCTCCAGGGAAGAACCATTTCTGCCAGATTATCCTGTCGCAGTTTAATATCACAGAGAGAGGTGTGGGGGAGGAGATAAATCCAGAGAATGAAGGTCTAGAGGGAGTGAGTTCGTGGGGCCTATTTTTCAGGCCTAGTCCAGTGTCAACTTCCTTCTGAAAGAACAGGTAGATTTTCTGTCGTCCATGACAGTGAGAGACCCAGCAACATTTTGAGGTAAACAGGTATAAAGAGGGAACTGATAAAATGGCATTTTGAACACAATAGTGTATGGAAATCTCTTTGTCTAGGTGGGTCTAAAAACACTGGGTTGCTAGCTGAAAAAGAAAGAATAGAGATAGGCTTCTGGTTGTAAAATCTATATTTGTCTAGTTTGGATTGAAAAATATGTTAAAATATAGTCATGGGTATAAGTTTAATATAGCCTTTGAATATATTAATGAACTTAAATTAATGTCAGATGTGTTGACAATTCAGTAGCTTGCAGCACTGCAGTGCTTTGAGCTGAGTAATAGGCATGCAGCTGGGGTGGGGGAGGGTGAAAAGCAAATAAATACAGGACATCAGCTATTGGGATTAACAAGACAAACCTGATGATAGTATAGTGTAATGCCAGCTAGATGAATATTGGTCTTTATGAGGTGTGTCTATTAGTGCCCTTGGAAAACTAAGAGCTCTTGTATGTTGAGATCATGTGTAATTGTGGGAATGGATTGGCTTTAATTAACATAGTACACAAAATAAGCACACCACTGACATAAGGCAGGTTTACAACAGCAGGCAACAACTCGTGACTGTTCATAGACTACACCATAGTAAATGTGCTATTTTTAGTATAAAAAGTAGTGGGAGAGGGTTGTAGGCTTATAGATTGGCTTATTTTATTAAGTGCCAAACCTAATGGACAATTTACATGAAGGCAGAGAGAATATGTTGGTAGGGAATAACAGCAAGTTAACTGCTTAACTCCAGTGAACAGATCTAATGACAGCTGCTGTGTTTTTTATATGACCAACTTCCAACTTGCTGCTTCAAACTTCTTTTTACAGAGCCATATTTTATCTTGATTGTCAAAATAATTAAGGAAAACTACCTTTGTATTTGAGTGGAATGATGTTAATAATCCATACCTAACTTCTGAGTTTGTGGGCTTACATTTGGAGATGTCAGTACCCTGCATTCCTAGAATTCGATTTTTTACCTTAAGCTGAACCAACATTGTATATGTGTATGTATGACTTATTTTCTGTAAGAGTAAGACTGGTTAGCTGTTTTTTTAATATTGTACTCTTTCCTGCAGTCAGACTGTTGATCTTCTCATGCAAGAGTCAGGATGTCGTTTAGAACATCCTTCTGCTACCAAGTTCCGTAATCATGTCATGGAAGGAGAGTGGGATAAGGTAATGGAAGGGACACAGGTCTGCCTGATCCTAACTAGGGCTGTAATCCTATGCAAAATTATTTGAGTATAAATCCATGGAATCTGGTGAAACTTAGAGTTCAGTTAAGATTTTCATAGGTCTGGACTATGTGTAAATTGCTTGCTGTATTTCACAATCTTTCACTTAGCTTTTTTCCTTTCTCTTTTTAAAAATTGCATCTTTTAGGCTGAGAACGACTTGAATGAACTTAAGCCTTTAGTGCACTCTCCTCATGCAATTGTGGTAAGAGATTCTTGAACTGTTTTGGATATAACTTGAAATAATTGTACTAATTAATATGTGTGCAGTTATTGATTTTAGTTGAGATATCCATACTACTTGCTTAAAGAGTACACATCAACAGTAATGCTAATGCTTCTGCTAGGTAATATTTGAAATTAGAAGCCTTTCTGTATTAAAGCTAATGCTTAGTACCATGCATGTTTGAACATCTTGCTGCTGTAATGTGGACATCATTTGATTTACAGTGAAGAAATGTGAATGTGTACAGTTTTGTATTAAATGCTTTAGAGTGTAGTTCAGTGGAGAAGCCTGAACTCAGCATCCTGCTTCTCCTACCCTGTAAGTTAGCTAGATGGCAGATGTTGTCCATCTAGTTGTGGTACTACAGATGGGGAGGAAAGGAGGCTGGAGTATCTCCAGAGTATGTTTTATTTTGCTGGACCCAGTCTCCTTCCCTCTCTCGAACACCTCTTTTATCCCTTCTCTGAAGTCAGTCTTACCTTGGAGAAGCAGCCAGAGTGGTTCTTTTCTGTGCCAGCTGTGAGGCTGGGCAGTGAGATCTGACTTTGGACTTCCAGCTCTGAAATCAATGTTCTGACTCTCTAGACAGATCTAGGGTTTATAGGTTCTCTTTCCCAGCTGATCCTGAGTGAATCATTCTGCATGGGTAGTGTTGGGGCATGATGCATGGTTTCTATGAAAGAGACATAATGAATGAATGTCACTGAAATGCAGTTACTATTTTAAAGTAAACAACAGTATTCTCTTTCCAGTTAACTCCTGCAATTGAATGGCTGTCTGAAACACAGGTCATTATATATGTTTTTCTGTTTAAAACAGGATAGTCTTGTGATCACCTCACTGAGATTTTTCAACTGAAATCTATGAAATACTTTTTGATACCTCTTTTCCCTTCTGAGATGTGTTTTTTGTGTACATTCTGTTGCCCTGTTACAGTGGTGTTTGTTCCTCTTATTCAAATGGCAAATACAGCATTGGTTCTGAAGTGACCATAGAAACACTGAGAAATACATACCTACTTAGCTATCTTTTGGTTGATTTAGTTTTTGTAAAAAGGATAGTTTTCTTGTTCTCTCTTCTCCCACCAGGCAGGAAGTGAAGTGTGGAAAAACTCATGTCTTGTTAAACTTCAGTTGCTGCCTGAGCATATCTGTATGCTGTTGTTTTACTCAGGTCAATGTCTAACAATTTCCAAACTTTTACTGTCAAACAAATAGATCTGTTATTTCTTATATCACACCAATTTCTTTATTTCATCACTGTGTAAACTGTTCATATGTCTAAAAGGTCTTTAAGTAGTTTACAAAATAAAAAATTAAAATGTCACCATAAATACACATTTCATAAATTACAGTGTTTAAAGTATTTATTTTTATGGTAGCATACTGAAATGCAATGGGAATAAATGCTATAAACAGTACAGTGTGCTGGGACCAATAATACAAATTGGCAAAACTTTTATGTGGTGGTAAATATATTAATGAATATTGCAGTTCAAATTTAACATACTGAAGTTGATAATCTAGACCATGCTAAGCATCTAAAATGTCATTTTCTATTTTCTATAGAAAACAGAATAAGCCATAAAACCAGTGGATTGGCATTCTTTTAGAAAATTGAATTTTGCAGTCTTTCTCAACTGTGGGCTCATTATCTGTATCGTATTCCAAAACCATCCTGATGGCTTTTTCATAGATGCCATATGGCTTTTTCATAGATGGTGTATATATGTTAATAATATAAAGCTATCTGGTGATACAAGGTTGGGAAAGGTTCATGTGAGCAAAGAACAGTCTTTTAAGTATCCAATCTGAAGAAGAGCTGGGTTAAGTTTGAACAAACTGGGTTGCCTTCCATGTAAAACTGCTTAAAGTAGACCGAAAATATTATTTCTGATATTCTATTCAACTGAAGTAGGTGAAATTAATAAAACTAGATAGAAACATTTTCAAAGACTGATAGAGACATACTTTAAGAAAACATTGATAGAAACAGCTATGAATTTGACTTTTTCCAGCTTTTAACAAACTACATGGCCTCTTATGAGACAAAATATAGATCAGTAGAGGTTGAGTGGTGTGCATCATCAGATCTCTTTGAAAAGAAATATTTAGCAGCTGAATTTCTTTCATTTTTATTTCTAGCTCACTCCTCCCAGAATAATGTCAGATTTTAAAAATCTGTCATATTGCCCTACTACATAACGAATAATGGGTGATGCATTACCTTTTCCTGCATACCTCCAACTAAAATGGTATAAAATGCTAACTTAGACATTTTAAAAAATCATAAAACTTGGAAAGCTGTTCAGCTCTGGAATGTAGCAGTTTCTCAAGAAAGGGAGTCTTCTGTTTATGCACATGGGCTGATGCTGCACTAAAAGGTAGAACTGAAAGGTTGTACTCAATTGACCATTTGGGTCTTTATATGGCTTTGGAAAGAAATTATCAAGTATGTTGGGCTCAGATTGTTTACAACCCTGCAGTCTGATAATATTCACTTAAAAGAAAGTCACACTAAGCCCAATGGGCATGATCCCAAGTTGCAGCTTTAATGAATTGGACACAGAAATCTGTCTTAAAACATACCAAGTCTACTTCACATGTTCTGTCTTACAGTCTTACATGAAATCAGTTTTATTTGTCTTGTAATTGGTTTTGTAAGGATGGTTTACAATGTTTTATAACATTAAAAGCAGTCTTGCTGGATCAGACTAAGGGTCTGTCAGGCCACCATTCAACTTCCAATAGTGGCCAATCCAGTTCCTGTTAGCTGCCTACAAGTAGGGGCATGAGGTTCTCAGTGGTATACTATTCATCCACATTTTTTAGTTATGGCCAGATACCAAGAGAACAATAAGACTGGGAATTGAGTGAAGTGAATATGGGGGTGGGGCACATTGATAATCCTTGATGTCATGCTTCTGTATTGCCTAACCCACAGGCTTCAATCATTCATGCAGGAGCCCACTAGGAAAACTTCTGATGTCATAACTAGATTACCCTCCTCTGTGTTTTCTCTTTTATTTAAATCAAGCAGACAAAAACACCACTGGAGCAGAACCATGGAATGCTCACCATTGTCATGTTACCTATGATAACTGTTACCAAAGGCCATAGAAAGTAACAAGTTCAAAATAATGCTTTTTATCTACCTCTAAGTAGAGTTTCTCAGAGTTTCACAGCTTCAGTCTTAATGTTATACTTAAGCTAATTAATTGGTAGAGACCCCAGAAAAACTGAGAGGTTCCGGGTGACACTGTTTCTGGAAGAAGCAGGACTGGGAATTGGGAATTAATCAACTAGAAGGTGTGTGAGAAGAGCTTACAAATAGTCGCTTGTATAGTATTAACTACATCTTATGCATTCATGAGGAAGATTAACTGAAAGGGATTTATTAATTGCCTAATTTATTTGTTACAGCAGTGATTCATCTTGAATCAATAAATAACAGTTGGAAACTAATAAAATGTCATAGTATATAGAGTATAATTATCTATCTGTTTTTCACACATAAAATATTATATAAGTGTTATACAACATGTAGGGCTCAGATATTTATCACTAATATCTATGATTTTACCATTGATTACTAATAGCTTGTCCCAAACCATCTAGTAAAAACATGCCTGATCTAGTTTTTCACTTATTATTTTAAAAAATCCAACTTCATTAATTGGATAGCCATAATAAGATTTTTATTTTTCTGTATGGCTACGCTGTTTCATCATACACTCAAATTATCTTGCGTGAAGCAATCCTAGTTTTCCCTTTTCTTTGTGGTTCCTGTGCAGTTGCACTGATAGAATCTCTGCCTGTAGAGAGAATCTTTGGAAACTTCTAGAACTGCTGCTCACCCTTCCCTTACTGTAAGGTGCATACCCATGCCTAAAGGATGGGGGTAAGCACTTTCCTGCTCAGTTCTCTTCTGAGTACTCTGCAGCATCATGCTTACTGCAAGTTTTATTCAGGTTTTATCCTTTTATCTTTACAATTTTTTGTTTCTTTAGGCTGCTGCTTCAATTTGTTGGCTTTTCCAGGAGATAAGGATTTCTTTCTCCTTTATTAGATATCCAATGCCTTAAATAGCAGCTGAGTGTCAAGTTTCACTTTTTGTGTGAGAAGCAGCTTTCTAATATGTGTTTTAAATTAATTTTAGAATGCAAAATCTATGACCAAGAGCTTTGTTATGCCTTTGTGCAAACCCTTTTTTCAAAATGTAGAATAGCTCTCCAAAATAAAAGAGCTATGCAATAAGTGTAGAATAGCCTACCAAAATACTAACTTCACAGGTCTTCAGTAATTCAGTTTTTTATGTAGAATGTAAAACCTCTTGGTGTAGATACTCTATGCAAATTCAAGAATTGGAGAGTTCTGTTAAAATAGTAAACAAGGTATTCTATTTGTTTGTTCTATTTCTGTAGTGCTCAATAGCCAAAGTTGTCTGGGCAGCTATTATAAGATAAACGGTATAAATGTAAAGGTATTAAAGATCTGGATATCTTATATGAAGGAAGACTGAGAAGTTTCAAGTAAGTTGTCATATAAGAACTGTTGTGCAATGTGATTTTGGACAGTTGCTCCACAGTACGCCTAAGTTGCACATCTGGAGGCAGTTTGATCACCTTGGATTTTAAGATTTGGAATTTTGTGCAGGGGAGATTGTACCATTACAGGCTGAAAGCTGAAGCTTTTCTTCCCACCCCCAGTCAAAGGCTAAGGTTGGGGAAGAAAATGGCAAATTACAATACAAAGCAGTACCAATAGTAATTTATTATATGCAGCCATAGAGATACAGAATTAAAAATTCATATGGAAAATAAAGTACATAGAGAATGGAATCATGAAACAATCATAAATGGCCTGATCCAGATAGCTGTATTTAAGTATTAAAGACAACTGGGTTATATACCTTGGTTTGGTCCTTCAAACTAATCAGCTTTCTCAAAGCAATAGTCAGGGTGGGAAACCGAGTCTGTACAATGAGTCATGTGATGACATCTTCTGCTGCCTTACTTTGGAATGTAGCCATACAAGGCCCTCCAGTGTAGTCAGTGTTGGTATGATTTAAATTCAAGTCTATCATCAAGTTACTGTTTTCTGATTCATATGTTTCCTAAATAAATGTCCATACAATTTGATTGTTTTAACAATTAAAACATGTTGGCTTGGAACTATACAAAGTATTTTATGCTACCTAGGAGCAAAATCCAAACCTTCTGTCCCACAGTTTAGTGACTATTCCAATATAGAATTTATATCTGCTTAGAGAAAGGAGAGTCATTATGAAATCAAAGGTCTGTGTGGCTGTGTTTGTACACATACAAAAATATTGAGCTAGAGCATTTACTTTAAGATGATGTGCCTGGAGTTTTCTGAAACAAGGGCTGGTACCTTCTGGATAGTAAAATGTCTTCTCCATAAGTTGGAAACTGAATATCCAGAACCTTCACTAGATAGGATGGTGATCTGTTTAAAAGAAACCTTAGCTCTGTTGTACATGTTCTAGTTGACCAGTTAATTAACTCTGTTTAAACGTGCACATGAGAATAAACACATGAGAGAAAACAATAGTTCTAAAGCAAACTTTCTTTGATTTTAGGTGATGCACGCATGACTTGCAACAGGCATCTTCTGAAAGGCATTGCTATTCTCATTCACATGGAAGGGAGTGCCTCTCTTAAGATGGCACTTGCCATCTATAGTTTTTATACATACTGGTATTAAAAATGACTATGATTTGTAAAACTCTGAGTACTTTACTGGGAGTGGACCACACATTTAGTCTGTCAAAGTGTTAGGTTTTTTACTTCATTTATTTATTAAATGTTGCAGCTAATTAAATATTCATAGTTTGCACAATCATAAATACACTATATTTGCTCTATTGTATTAAACTTATTTTGCCCAGCAAAGTTAGATCTTTATTTGGTTTTGATTTGCTTTTTTACATAAAAGCCGATGGATATAATTTTAAGTGATGATGAATGTATACCTTTTTACATGCTCTTACTAAGATTTTGACAACATTTTATCCAAACTGTACCTATTTTTAAACAAAGTTTCTATTTACTCAGGCCTTTTGGCTACTATCCTAGCTGCTGATTGGACTAATTTTAGTCCCAGTAGCTCTGTGATTCTCTTATATTTCTTTTCCCTTGTTTGAGTTTGGTGGCACTTTAGGCTTTATCTTAGCCTGACTTTTAGATCTTGTTCCTCTGCCTTGAGTGCCTAAGCTGCCAGACACCTGTCTCCATCTCATTCCTAAATTGATAAAAAGACTGAAATTATTGAAATAAATTTCAAATGAGATCATTTGTATATTCAACTGAGAAAATAATACATTCTTTTTTATCTGTTTCTTCATTTCCATTTCCTCTGTTGTCTCCTTCATGTCATTTTGTAGATTGTATACCTTCTGGACAGAATCTTCTTTCTTTAAAAAGTGCCTTGTACATGAATGGCACTAAATAAATAAATAAATAAATAAATAAATAAATGCCTTTTGCTAATGAAGTTCTCCTATGTATCTTGGTCTTTCCTATTACTTATAGAGTATTTAAAAATGTTAGGGTCTATATAAAAACTAGAAATAACAAGTCTAAATGAGCTTGGATTTAGTTTGGCTTTGTGGATGGAAGGAATAGTGCCTTGTCACCTAAATGTTTCAGTAATGTCACAGTTACAGCCTTCTCACCCACCCTGTCCTGAGTGTAGTTTTTCACTGGTGAAACGCAACATGCTGACTTTGTAGCTACGTTTGCAATGCCTGGCTTTCTTACAGGCCTGTAAAGGCTTTTTATGAGAGAGTACTCTAACAAAGAATGTGAGGTCTTCAGCCTATGAACTTTTCACCTGTAGTTCTTCCCCCCAGTCCAAAAGGTATGTCTTTGGTCCCAGGCATATGGTGGCTGCTTATGATTACTTAGTGGTCAGAGATATTCTGTATCTGTTGAGAGGGTGTTCACATTGCATTGAAATAGGATGTAATTCTGTGAACTCTAGTTCAGAGTAAACCCTACTCTTTGTATCTGTGACTGAATCAATTAGCTGATTTCCTTTTCAGGCAGAGAAGTGGCTTAGTGCTTGAGAAGCTACATGGATTTGTTTTTATGACATGCAGTTTGGAAGCAAGGGTTCTTTTGCCTTTGATATTTGATGTGTGTGTGTGTATTTTGTAATGGGTGCATATATGTGTTTGCCTAAAACCATAAATTCAAGAATGAATGCAATGCGTTATGACTTAATTGTACATGAGAGATACTGAAACCGTCCCACCACATGGAAGCCATCCCCTCTGTATGCATGTACTGATGTTTATTGCAGAGGTGGGGAATAAAATGTTGCTTGCACTTTTAAAGGTACCTTTTCTTTTTTTAAAAGTGTGGGAGAGAGGGGGATGTTTAAAAACTGTAGCACCACCAATTTGACAAGTAATCAGCTGTCACAGATAAATTAAATCCAGGGATTAAGTAAGCAGATATTTGCTCTCAGGAGAGTCCGACTGATAAAGGTGGGGGACGCAGAACTGTTTTCTGGATTTGTCCCTGGGCTTCTGGAAGGTCTACTCTGGAGGTTTGAAGAACATTCTGGATCAGCATTGGAGGTGGTGAAGAAAGGGAATCATCAGAAATTGCTTCCAATCACACTTGTCTGGGCATAAGCCTCTGCTGGATCAAAAGCCCTTGTGGGATATGAAAGAGTAGTTTGTGAAACAAACTTTAGGTTGGATCCAATCTGCTAGCAGAATGGAGTCCTCCCTCACAACTCAAATCTTCTCCAAAGGACTGGAGGATCCTCTGGAGCAGATTGCAGGGAGGAGACCAAGAGAAAGTTCTGTTGGATTTAGGTGTGATTCTGGGTATTACTGAGTTAGAGAAAAGAGGTATTTCTCCTCAACCATATGACTTGAGTATTAGACTGAAAGCCAACAGTAATGTTTTTAATGTAATGGGCACTTAAGTTGTGCTGCTTTTAGACAGCAAAGTATGTAAGATTATGCTTTTTGTTTTTACTGTTTCAAAAACTTTTTAAAAAATCCCTCTTACATAAAGTAGTACAATTTCATCAACAGCCACAGTGTAAACACTGTGGGAGTTGAAGGGTTGATGACTGTGGGGTTTTTTGTTCCACCAAAACAAGATAGTTTTGCTCAAAAATGCAAATGTTTTTTATCTGATGGCATTCTGATTTTTACAGTTTTGAAGCAGAAATTGAGTTTATTGCTTCATTTTTTAATGGTTATTAGAATGCAATCGACAGCTTTCATAACTAAGAACATTAGCAAATTATACTGTTGGCTTCTAGCTGGATTCTGCTTTGTTTTATATTAACATTTGGAATAACTTATATTTATTTTATGACATTCTAACTATGTGATCTCATGCTACAGCTATTATGGTATGATTACACAGGTATATATAAAACACTGAAGAAGAAACTGCTTCTAAAGAATGGTTTATAAGTTTTTTTTAAAAAAATAAGAGTGCATTTAGAAATGTGTTCTCCACAATGAAAATAGATTCTAAGTAAATAATTGCTAAGTAAGTAAATTATGTCACCTGGTATCTTTATGTCATTTTTCTCTCTATCCTTCTGATGTTTTCTCTCTGTCAAAACTGGATTGTTAGCTCTGGCTGTGGGTCTGTCTTTTATTGCTTATTACTGTGTAAAATACCATGTTAATTAACAGTGCTATGATAGTAACAAAACACTACCACCATTTGAGGTTTCGTCAATGAGTACTAAATATTTATCTCCCCTACTTTTTCAATACCTTGTATCCATGGATATATTAATATTTAGTTATGGCTATTAATGAGAGGCCTAACATTCAAAATGTCTGAAGGTTATTGCCTTTGAACATCTGTATTAATTTCCTCCCTATGCTAACTGAACTGTAAATCTGGAGAACTAATATTCTTTACTTTCCTTGGAGTCTAAACTCAAAGTATATACTTCAAGTTAAGCCTTTTACTGTACCTTATTTTGCCATGTTGTAGCATCTCCTTTTTTATATTGGAGATCCTTTACATTCTATCTAAATCTTGTTAGCTGATCCTCCTAGTCTGGCATTCTGTATTATTATCTAGAGTCCTTTATTTGAATAAATATATATATGTGATTGAGGAGATAGCATCCCTAGCTGAAAAACTGATTTTAAAAGTTAAAATGTTATTCAGTTTGCTATTTTTCCAGGTGTGAAATATTTTAATGCTGCTGTTTCAAGTTGTTTTTTATTTTAAATTGCTCTTATGTCTGTAATATCATTTAAACATGTATTTTTAGTAGTTTTGTTTTTATTTTAAGCTGTTTTGTGGAGGCCATTTACTTGGAAAAATGTGATTTAATTATTAGTGGGCTTGGGTACTCAGAATGGGAATCTGGAGGAAGCTTGAAAATATAATTGTGCATTAATTTAGTCTTGCATTTGGATGATTCCTAATGAGTTTCAAGAATCAGTATATTTTGCCAATAATAAATGGCTGTTCAAAAGGTTTCTTGAAAACATACATATTTTATTTCTAAAGGGCAAAGTAGAATGGTATATACTCTTTTGTTTAGGTTCAAATGTTTTCTGAAATTTCAGTCAGCCTTTTCTCCCCACATGACCTGCTGCTTTCTGTCATGTCAGAGGATGAAGTTTTTGCTGCTGCAGCAAAAGTATCTAGAATATCTGGAAGATGGTAAGGTTCTGGAGGCACTTCAAGTTCTGCGTTGTGAATTGACACCACTGAAATACAACACAGAACGCATTCACATCCTCAGTGGGTAAGTACTTTTGGTTGCAATCCTATATATACTTACTTAAAATTAAGTTTCATTGAGATGTACTTTTGAACTCAGATGGATAAATTATACTGTTAGTGTGAAACCATTAGCCTTTTCTAGGGATATTTAAGTAGAGGTTTGATGGACAGCTTCAATACCATCTTCTGTAGTGATAGCATATGTGTTCACATCATATGTGATAGCATAAGGTGTGGATCCTTATGTAGCCAAGATGGAATCAGTCATGCCTTGGTAGGCTTTTTCACAGGTTAAAAAAAATTAGAATAAAATTGAAGCGTGGTAAAGGGAGGTCCAAACAGTTCAGTGAAGACTGAGCATTCTCAGTGGCTATGGAATGTAGGTTGACTGAAAAGACAAAAAATGGAATATTCTGGGGAGTAGGACGAGATTAAATGGAATAGAGTGGTGCATTGGCTCATGAACTTAATCCATTCCAGGACTCTGGTTGTGAGCCAAGTTAAATTTCTCCATAAGGTTCAATGTAAATAAGGTTAATCCATTCTGTAACTATTTTTTTATCAGAAAAATGTGAAGCAAAGTGACAAAGAACAACAAAGATCACGGCAATCCCCCCCCCCACCCTGTGCAAGAGAGTGGCCATCTCCCTGCACTCCCCAGAACGACCGTGATTGAGCCTGTCATCCCTGCATGCGCCTGTCATCCTGGTGTGCTGGGGGGAGGGGGAGAGTCATGCACAAACGTGGGTGCACTGGGGGGCGGGTGTGATCGTGCTGAGGGGGAGATGGTCAAGGTCACAGTTGTGCTCCTGCAGGAAAGACCGGCACAATCTTGGCCATCTCTCCCGCCTATCCCCAGAATGATTGCGGCCATCTCCCCATTTGGGGGTGGGGGGTGGGGAGATGGCCGTGATCGCCACCCAATGCAGAGTTCACAACCTGAGTCAAAATTTTTATGAAATTTTTGCTTGCGACCTGATTTGGCCGTGAACTGAGGTGTTCATGAGCTGAGGTACCACTGTATGTGGAGGCCAGTATGCCTGGATGGGATCCCTGAATAAAAGCCCTTTTTGCTGAGAAAGCTTGCTGAAGCAGGTCCCTCATATCCAAGTAAAAATGCATCTGGCAACTCCTCTGTTGTCAAAGTGGGACATGATGATGGAGTATTTTTCCTTGATCTTCAGCCAAAACAGGGTCTCAGAGCAGCTTACAAAGATTAATAATGACAGTCCCTGCCCTCAGGCTTGCAGTCTGAAAGACATAACACAGAATGCCAGCTCACATGATTAAACAGCCCACTATTGCTTATTTAAGCCATGATGGGTTGTGTGTGCTGGCAGGCAGTTGAATATTCAGTCCATGACCACAGCGAATTGTGTTGCCCAAACTAGGGGTCAATGGGTTACACAAGTGTTCTAAAGCAAGCTGTGGGTTCTGTTAGGGTTGTTTAGCCCCTGTATAACTAACAGTCTCTAAGCTCAGTCAACACTAGCTACAGCTGCAGCTTTGAAGATTCAGGGTGGTATCAATGGATGCCTTAGCTCTCCTTGTCTTAAATATGCCATAGTGAACACCAGAGGATTGTGCAAACCCAGTCACTGCTGTGGTTTGCCTTATCAAAACAGCACACACTAGTTTTTGTAAGCCACAATGTGCTGTAGCACTTGTCAGATAGGCTTCATCTATTCAGTGGTCAGGCGGGGCTTCTTACGTGATCCTGGACAGCTGGGCATTGTGAAAAGGTTAAACAATCCATGCACAATCCATGATGTGTTATTGGGCTCTGTAAGAGTCATTTAACTGTCTCACAACCTCCATTAACAAGTTTCATACAACATATCAGGTTGTTGCTTGCCCATTGAATAGTCCAAATGGACATCTGCCTGCATAGCAGCCAACTGTGGCTTCAATAAATAAGCCATGATAGCCTCTTTGATGGTAAAGAGACTGTTTACTTCCCTCACCCAACCTGGGACCCATTCTTGATTTCAAAGTTCTTAGTGGTGGTCTTTCTGGAACATAAACTTCCTTGATTCCTGCTATCAGAGTGCTTAAATTTGTCTTAAATATATTACACTGTATTTTAGTTGCATAGGTCTTGGTAGGTTTTATTTGAATAATTTAATTACTTCAATATTAAATAATTAACATTCTGAACCAATAATGTACTGTTGTCTACACTTTTCAAGTACATCTTAAAAAGAAGCAGGCTGTTAAAATACAGAAGTCTAAACTGGTCAGAATTGGAATTCACAATCTGTACAGTAATTTCATTATCATGTTCTTTAATTCAATTCTGTTTACTCATAACTGGCAGATTATGTGTGCAACTTCTTTGGATTGTTAATTGTTGTTGTTTTGTGCTGTTGATTCATCCCCAACTTATGGCAACCCCATTAATGAAAGCCCTGCAAAATGTTCTATCGTTGTCAGCCTTGCTCAGACCTTGTCAACTCAAGGCTGTGGCTTCCTTAATGGACTCAATCTGCCTTGTATTTGGTCTTTCTCCTCTTCTGCTTGCCAAATTCCTGAAAAATCTGTGCATTTGAGCTTTATTAAACAGAGAGCAAACATTTACATCATGAAGACTTCTGTGTTAGCAGCTCACCTGCAAATTCATCTCCTTTTCTTGTATGAGAAAAAAGTAACTGTAACTGTTTGGCTCAAACACAATTGAAGTACTGGAATTCCTGTTGTTCCAAAATATTTAATCCATGTGTTTCTTTTCAATATGCAGATATCTCATGTGTAGTCATGCAGAAGACTTGCGTGCAAAAGCAGAATGGGAAGGGAAAGGAACAGCTTCCAGGTCTAAACTTTTGGATAAACTCCAGAGTAAGAAAAATCTTAGTTTCTAGTGGACCTGCAATGCCTGTTTATATTTAACTCTGAAAGGACAAATTCAGAATGGTATAGGAATGCTTAGCAGTAACAATGGCAGGATAATTCTGGTTAGTAATTGAGTAACCGTACTGAGTCATACCTAGTTAAGCCTTCCTAACAGTGGAACAGCTCAGGTATGTGGAACAGAGAATAGGGTGGTTACGGGAAGATCTGCTTCATAGGCAGAAGGTTACTCATGCTTGGCTGGATTTTGCCACTATCTGCTGTTACCTGTGTTTGCCTTCTATATAATTTATAATGTAATTTGCACCAGTTGAAGTACATTGGAACTGACTTTGCAGGAACATAGGTGCAAGTTATACAGTCTGTAGTAGCCAGGCATTTTCTTAATGATTGAGATGGTATTAAATAATACTGTGTTTCTCAGCATAAAAGTCAGGGATAAGCTAAGTATAACATGAAAAGACATTATTAGTATCCCAAAGTTATGGGTAATTATGAAATTAATTTAGATCTGATCTGATCCAATACAGGAACACTGGATTTCATATCTGCTCTTGTTTCTTAAAGATAGTCCACATTCAATACTAACTGCTTACACTGAAATGTCCTTTTAATTTATTGAAGCTTACCTACCCCCATCAGTGATGTTGCCCCCAAGGCGTCTGCAAAATCTTCTGCGTCAGGCTGTGGAACTACAACGAGACCGGTGCCTCTATCACAATACCAAACTAGATAATAATCTAGATTCTGTATCACTGCTCATAGACCATGTTTGCAATAGGTAAGAGAATCACTTAACTTTCTAAGGACATTTTCATTGCTTTCTAATACAACAGAATTCTTTAAAGCAATTCTCATTCTTTTGTGAAGGATCTGCATGTGTGTTAGTATGAGTAAGCTGTAGTTGGGGAAAGTCCATTTCTTTCAACCAGCTGATCTGTTTAAGAATGTTACATATAGTACAGATATGTTTGGAAATATTTGTTGTGCAAGAACTCAGCTGGTCAGTTTAGAAGTACTGTAACAAAAAAGAAATGAGAAAGCATCTTTATTTCTGGAGCATTTGAGCATAAACTTCTTGAAAACCACATATTACTCCAAATAGTTCAGAATCTCTGATAAATTTTCCATTTGCACGCACTGTTGTTGATTTTGATTTAAGTACTAATAGTCTCTTGGTGGTAAGCCATGTTGAGTTCTGGTAACTGTGTATAGGATAGCAATCCAAAACTACTAATTTGTTACAAAAGAGGATGGTAGCTTGGATTGCAGTTCTATGCATAGTAGCATCAAATTCCATTGAACATGTTGAGATGTAAGCAACTTAGCTATTGAAATAATGGATTCCAATATCAAATAGTAAGAGAATGTTATAAATCCAGTTTTCAGGGTAAGTGATTGTTTCTCCTGACATTCCTATTCATGTATATATTTGGGAATATAAATATATTCACAAATCCTAAAAATGGCAGAAATAAATACTAAGTAGTTCGCTTGTCAAAGCAACAATTTCTGGGCTGTTTAACCCAGGAATTGTGGGCATCAATGTCAGATGCTCGCTGCATTCCAGTGTGGCAAAGTGAATAGAGTTCTGAACTGTGTTTCAGGACATCTGAGTTCTGGTCCGCACTTAGCCATGAACCCACTCAATGACTTAAGGCCAGTCACAGACTCGTAGACTCACTCAGAGGATTGTTGTTATGAGGATAAAAATGAAATGGAGGAAAACCTTGTAGGCTGCCTTGCATTCCTTGAAAGAGGAAGAAAGATGGAGTATAAGTATAATCTTCATCAACCTAGGAGCTCCCCTTTGTAATGTGTGCACTGGACACTGGTTGTTTCTCAGTTTTTAAAAAAAAAACTAACCCTACAACAAACTATTCGTGATTGTTGACTCTGGCTTATTTAACCAATAGTTTCTGAGTTCATGTGTCACAGTACAACCCAGGAACAGGACATTCCTGGGTTGTTAATTAAAAGAGGAGATGAGCACACAGCTCACACACTCTACTTATCCCTGCAACTCCTAGTTTAAACAACTGTAACATGCAACTAGTAGGACTAAGCAAGACTTTGTTTTCACATTTTCATGGCCTGAGCTTTTAAATGCACTCAAGGACTTGTGTGGTGTAAGGGAGCCTCAAAATTGAACAGTAGACTTCCGTGCCATTTCACAAATTCTTCTTGAAAATCTGCTCAGCTTCAAATGTAATTTGCCCTGCAGTATAGGAGACTAGTCTTCAAGCAGCACAAGTCCAAACACCTCTTGCAGCATAGTGCCAGTTAATATGTTCTTTGGATCCTGGCTAATGTTTGGCATTGTCTTCATATGTAGATGTGAGCCAGTATGACAGTTTCAAAAAATGAAGATGGGAATGCAGAAAGTGACATTTGATGTAGTATATCTGTAAATTCCTTCTTTGCCTTTAATTAGATTGTTTTGCCTGATGATGTGATCATTATCTGTGCTTAATTAGTTCAAGTAGAATAACTATCTTTCTGCTATACAACTTTTTTGGTTTATATTTTTTTAGGAAACAGTTCCCTTGTTACACACAGCAAATACTAACAGAGCACTGTAATGAAGTATGGTTCTGTAAATTCTCCAATGATGGCACTAAACTAGCAACAGGATCCAAGGATACAACTGTTATTATATGGCAGGTTGATCCAGTAAGTGCTGTGTTGCTCTTCCCCTGCAATGTAGTTCTCTGTTGAATTGTGTGATATTCAAAATTAATGTTCTTCTCTCCTTTAATATTTTTCCTGTTTGTCTCTTCAACAAAACTGGAACAATTGCGTGCCATTTATGGCCAGCTTATTTATTTATTTAAAACATTTTTATGCCGCCCCCATCGCAACAAAGCCTCAGAGCGGCTCACAGCTTACTTGTGAAGTAACTTGTATAATATGTTAAAATTTGTTAAAGTTCTTCTGAGACAGAAAAAGTGTAAAATGAGGCATGAAATGTTATTTGTGTCTGATACACAGCCTTAATCATTGTATAGTTCTTGGGGTGGTCACAACTACCAAGCATTTAGGTACCCTAGCTTATTCATATCCCAAATGAAGATGGACGGTTAGCATAATTCTGATAGATTGAGGACTACTTATAAAACACCTTCAAAGTCAGTATAGTAAGAGGAATTCAAGCTATTTCTGTTGATTTTAGTATTAAAGTTTCCAAGAGGAGGATTTTTAGAATTGGTGCTGAGTCACGTTTTGTATGCAATTTTTAAACTTCAGTATATTTATCAACTAAAGGTCAGTTACTGAAAGGGTGATATAATCTTACTTATGACCAACATCCTTTGGGTTTCATAAATATTAATTTAGCCTTTATTTATTTATTTTATTTATTTATTAGAACATTTCTATGCCGCCCCTTGCCGAAGCCTCGGGGCAGCTTAAACACAATAAAATACAAAAATAACAATATAAAATTAAAATTAACAATATAAAATAAATATAAAATATAAAATTACTATTAAAATGTCCCAAAGTGTTCCTTTGCTGCCATGGTACAGTTAAGTAAAATTTTACTTTTAAGAGCCAGTATGGTGTAATGGTTAAGATCGGTGGACTGGAACTCAGAGGTTCTCGGTTCTCGTCCCCACTCAGCCATGAAGTCCACTAGATGAGTGACTTTCAGCCTAATCTATCTCACAGTGTTGTTGAGAGGACAGAATCAAGAGTAGGGCAAATCTTGTAAATCACCTTGAGTTCCTTGCTTATGGAAGAAAGGTGGGATATAAATGCAATGTGATATTAATTATTATCAACGACCACTTTCTTCTTTCTTGTAATTCTGCTGATAAGTTAAATTGCCTTTGTCTGTATCAGAGTGGCTATTTACATTTTCTAGGCAGTATGCTAAAGCTTCTTTACTTTTCAGCAGTTCTCCCATTTTGAAATCCTACTGCCACTACTCTCTGTACTCTCTTGTATTTGAGAGTATTTTGCTTTTCATAAATTAATTTCAGATAAAGTTGTTGAACTTGAGCAAGGAGGTAATTTCTGCTCCTAAAATCTATTTTGGTTTGCCCTGGTATAGCCTCTCTTAGTATTTGTTCTGTCAAGTAGCAAGAAGTGTTTGTGTGTGTCCACTATAAGGTAAGTGGAAGTGAGGACATGGAGTATCTGAATTCTAGTCATTAATTTACTGCTTTGTAAACTAGCTTGGGGAAGAGGTGGGGAGAGAAGGGACTACAAAGCTAACTGCTTAAAACTGTGCAAATCTTACCAACTACCCTGATAGTTAGGGAATGAATATTTTATCTTTTTGAAAGGATACGCATCAGCTAAAACTGCTGAAGACACTGGAAGGCCATGCATATGGTGTTTCCTACATTGCTTGGAGTCCAGACGACAATTATCTTGTTGCATGTGGCCCAGATGACTGCTCTGAGCTTTGGCTCTGGAATGTACAAGTAAGGATTATTGATACTAAAGTTTCAAAAATGAGATGAGTATGAATTTTCTTTGTTAGTATCTCCTATTCATTAGTGCAGTCATAAGTGCTTAGATAATTGCTATTTTTGAAGAAGATTCCCATTTTAGTTTGGAGATTGAAATCTGTTCACAAACTGCAGTTGCTTACATGGAACAATGGTTTCTGTTTGCTCTTTATTACCAGTAGTATTCCAGTGATGCCACCAATAGCTGCTTTTAATCTTGGATCATGTTAACCTACACTGAAACATGTTTGGATCCTTTTCTCAGGGGCCTTTGTTGGTTCAGTATAAAACACTTAATTGTTCTTCTAATGTAAACGCAGATATATGGCAAATGCTTCAGTTTCAACTAAAATGAAAGGAATAAAAGAAAACCACATTTTTGTTTGCTTCAGTGTTGTATGCAGTGTATATTTCCCCTCTGTGTATTTTACATGTTTGCTTTATCTGTTTAGATAGTAGCAGGCACACTACAGATTGTGTGACGATTATAGATTATAAAACCATATATAGAAAGTTATATAAATGTTTTAAATTTATTTTTGTCAGACAGAAGTTTTGTTTTTGTTTTGTTTTAATTTAAGATGGGTAATACATTTTATCCTGTTCCAACTTGATGACCCTTTCAACAAATTTTCATTGTTTCTTTAGGTGAAGAACTCTATAAATATTGTTTAAAGCTCAACTTTTTACATAGCTGATAGTGCAAGGATTAAATTTAGCTTAAATAAAATGTTCTGCATTATCTCAGGACCAACTAGTTTATAGCCGCATCCTAGCCTGTTAGACATATCATGTTTCTGTATACTGGATAAATTACATACATTGAAGCTCAATTAAGAAAAAGCAATGCTTTTAATGGTGGGAAGTCTGGCTAACCTGGAGGAGTTGGTGATTCCCTTGTTGAGGGTGAGAATCACATTTTCCCTGAAACATTTGGTGCACAGTTTGTTAGCAGTGCTGCAGTTAACAGCGGTAGGCCAAAAGTGCTTTGTTACCCTAGCTGATCTCCCAGCTAAGGATGCTCCTAGAAAAGGATGGCCTGGCCACTGTGATATGTATGTTAATAATGTTAATCCTCAGCTTCTGTACTCTGTTGTCCATTGGGCATCTTTGTTCAGATCCTTCAGTTAAATGAAAATGCAATTTATCAGAGTTTCAAGATGCTGCATTTGATTTAAAAGCCCTAAATGGCCTGGGCCCTAGTTATCTAGATGAATGCCTTTTCCCTTACCAGTCCCTATATGCCAAAATCATAAAAAAAGATTATGAAATCCCTTTCTTTTTAGGCAGAAGAGGAGAAGGACATTTTCATTAGTAATAGTGCCCTTCCTTTAAGGCTGTCCACAAGCTATTTCCATCCTGCCCAGGAGACCAGTTGAGAAACACTTCAATAGATCTTTGAGAGATGGCCTTTTCCTAAATACGTATTAAAAGTTAAGCAAAACTGTCAGTATGCCATTAATATTGTCATGGTTGGCATACTTGGCTTAAAGTGCCTTGAGACCTTTTTCAGTTTATGTGGCAAGATAAGCATTTAAGTAACTATTAATGAATGGACATTATTAATATTAATAGTTTTCCATACACATTGCTCATATTTTTAAAACATTTAAAAGATGTATAAGTTTAGCTATATCTATATATAAAACTTTATCTACAGACAGGGGAGCTGAGGACAAAGATGAGTCAGTCTCATGAAGATAGTTTAACAAGTGTGGCCTGGAATCCAGATGGAAAACGTTTTGTGACAGGAGGACAGCGTGGACAGTTTTACCAGTGTGTAAGTAATCCTTTTGCGGGGTAGGGTGAATAATACAAAAGGCAATAAGTTTCTGAAACTTAGGACTCATTAACCCAGTTATTGTGGCATATGCTTTAGTTTATTAGTTTATTTTTATAAACACATGAAATTTTATCCTTAATTGCCTCTTGAAGAAAATGCAGTGATTAATAGAAGCCAGCATGGATTTATTAAAAATAAATCCTGTCAGACTCATTTTTTGACTGGGTAACCTCTCAAATGGACAAAGGGAACACTGTGGACATAATCTACCTAGACTTTAGTAAAGCTTTCAACATAGTGCCACACAACAATCTGACAAGCAAATTAGCAAAAACTGGATTAGATGGAAAAACTTAGGTGGCTGCTGAATCAGACACAAAGAGTGCTCATCAATGGCACCTTCTCAAACTGGAGGGAGGTAACTAGTGGGGTGCCACAGGGTTTAGTCCTGGGCCCAGTGCTCTTCAACATTGTTACTTATTTGGTTGAGGAAGGACAAGGAAAGATAATCATATTCACAGACGATGCATAACTGGGTGGAATAGCAAACATCCTAGAAGACAAAATAAAGATCCAGGGCAATCTTGATAAACTTGAATACTGGACTGAAAGCAACAGAATGAGATTCAGTAAGGACAAGTGCCAAGCCTTCCACCTAGGAAAAAGAAACCAAAGGCATCGATACAAGAAAAGGGAATACATGGCTCAGCAGAACTGAAAAAGAAAAAGCTCTCTGAGTAATTGTGGATAATAGGCTAAACATGAGCCAGCAATGCAATGTAGCTGCCAAAAGGGCAAATGCTATTTTGGGATGCATTAACAGAAGTATTACTTCAAATCACAAACAGTAGTAGTTCCTCTATACTCCTCGCTATTCAGACTTGACCTGAAATACTTTGTCTAGTTCTGGGCACCAAGATTTAAAAAAGTTGCAGGTAACTTAGAAAGGGTCCAGCAGAAGGCAACAAAAATGATCCAGGGTTTAGAAACACTGCCCTATGAGGAGAGACTGCGGGAACTGGGCATGTTCAGCCTTGAGAAGAGAAGACTGGGGGGGGGGTGGCATGATATCCCTCTATAAATACCTCAAAAGCTGTCACAAAGAGGAAGGTCAAGATCTCTTCTCGCTAATGCCAGAGTGTAGGACACGGAATAATCAATTCAAGTTGCAACAACCCAGATTCAGGCTGGACATCAGGAAAAGCGTTCTCACTGTCAGAGCAATACGACAGTGGGACCAGCTGCCTAGAGAAGTGGTGGGCTCTCCCACACTAGAGACATTCAAAAAGAAACTGGACAGCCATCTGAGTGGGATGGTGTAACATGGTGTCCTGCAACAGCAGGGGGATGGACTCGATGACCTTCATGGCCCCTTCCAACTCTATTATTCTATGATTCTATGATATGTTTGTAGAAAGGAAATCAGTAGGGCCAATAGGCCAAGTAATGCATGAAAGATGGTTGTGATTTGGTTTACTAAAAGTCCTCCGTCTAATTGTTGTTATTACATGTTGTCAAGTCATCTCCACCTTAGGTTACCCTGTGAATGAGTGCAGTCCAAAATGACCTGTCCTTGACATCCCTGCTCAGCTCTTGCAAACTCAAGAGTGCGGTTTCCTTTATGGAATTGATCCATCTCATATTTGGTCTTCCCCTTCTTGTTTTCCTTCTCCCTAGTATTATTGTCGTCTTAAGTGAGTCTTGCCTTCTCATGATATGCCCAAAATATGACAGCCTCAATTTTGTCATTTTTGTTTCCAAGGCAAGTTCTAGCTTGATTTGATCTATGACCTGCTTGTTTGTCTTTCTGTCAGTGGAGGATATTCTCAAAGCTCTCCTCCTAGTGGGTGGGCCTTTTTATTCTGTTTCTCAAATCAGTAGGCTGAAAATACCTGAGGCATAGTGCCTATTCAGTTTGTTCAGTGTTCAGCCACTTGAGGGTGGATCAGAACAGTATCTTTCTGTACTAGATTCCAATTCCCCCACTGAAATCTTTCACACCTTCCTAAAGCCTGGGCACATGGAGGAGGTCCCTTTCCAGAGCAGATTTCACTTGAGCGTAGAGGCTTGTGGGGAAGGGAAGAGGAAGAGAAAGTCGGATTCTACCCATCAAATCTACTTTCTCTTTCTGTATATAGCTCATTTTCCCCTTCTGGATCTGACTTGGGGATACAGTAGTATTGTTTCATGTTGCCAGTTGTTTTAAATGAAGATAGAATTTCTAATTACTTGACTTCATTTATTTCCTGTTTAGGATTTAGATGGTAATCTCCTTGACTCCTGGGAAGGTGTGAGAGTTCAGTGTCTGTGGTGCTTGAGTGACGGGAAGACTGTATTGGCGTCAGACACACATCAGCGAATTCGGGGCTATAATTTTGAGGACCTTACGGACAGGAACATGTAACTACTTCTTACTGTTCATCTTGATGAACTAATACCAAGGCCAAATTATGAAACGGAGTTGAATGACTTAAAATTCCACATGACTCCTGAGTTCATGTGCCAGTTCTGAAATGATGCTTTTCTAAAAATACTCCTGATGGACATATGTTAGTGCAGACCTAATTAGGACATCTGTGCCTGCAAGGCACTAATCATAAAAGATGCTGAGATTGCAGTTAAATTGTGTAGAAATACACTTATTCACAGTTATGTCTCTAACGTTGTTGTTTATTTTCAGAGTACAAGAAGATCATCCAATTATGTCTTTTACTATTTCAAAAAATGGCCGGTTAGCTTTGTTAAATGTTGCAACTCAGGTAAGTAGATTCAGTTTTTAAAAAATAGTATTGTTTCTCTCTAAGAAAAGTTGGCCTGTAGCAGTCATGTAAGAGTCACTTACCAATTTTAAAAAACCTCTCCCAAATGCTTTTTTTTCCCCTTAAGTCATGTGAAGGGTGAACTTTCACCTACCTTTGCTCTGTTGTCCAGGTTTAGCTAGCACAGTGGGATTGAGTAGCTATTTTCTTCTCTTTTTCTCTCCATGTCAAGGAAATAAATGAGAATACAAGCCTGCTCTCCATTACACCACTATGATTGCTGTGTTTTCCCTCTAATTCATAAAGTTTGTAGTTCTGGGAGAGACAAAGAGAGTCAATAGTGCTACATAGCATTGTCCATGTATTTCTCCCACCCTTGCCTTCTAGGAGCAGGAGAGGAGTACTAGTATTAAAAAAAATGGTTTGGAGCATAGGGACGTGGAGACTTAGGTGAGTAGCTCAGGCTTGGGTGATTACACCTAGCTTTTTTATTTAAAAGGCTGAACACTGAATACATTTACATCATAATATATTTATTACCCATTACATGTACCATAATACATGTATTAAATCAGCCTATTTCAGTTTGTTAATTTTTTGTTTAGCTCAGTCTTTTAAATAACTTAGGTTATCTGAACCTCTGTTTTAATTGAACTGTATTTAATGTTGGGGTACTGTGTTTTGTAGTTTTTTATATTGCTTTTTATTTGTTTTGTTTTCTGTTTTGTTTTTATCTTTGTTGTAAACAGCTCAGAGACATAAGTTGTTGCCCCAAAAGCAGAATAAATGAGTAGCTTACAGAAGATGAGGCTTGTTGGTATCACTTAATTCTATATGATGGCATGAACAAACCAAGGCTTGGGAGCAACATGTAGCTCTTTTGAGTTTGTTTTGTGACTGGCTGCTTGCCTTCCACTGCAGCTGCCCATGGGCACCTGATTGCCACTTGCCACCTCACGTTGTGCACTTGTGGCTCTCAAACCTCTGACATTTACCATATGTCTCTTTTATTGAGCAAGTCCTGCCACCCTAGCCATAGGAGAAGGCATGACCTCCACCACCTAAGGGCTCCTGTCTGTGCATGCTTAGACAGAAAAAATCTTAACTTCTAGAGAATGCTGGGACTTGAAAGACTGCGTTCTTTCTAAACATGCACAGGACTGTGTCCTAAATGAAGTCATTTAGAACTGTTTTATATTGTTGCATACAGACATCTGAGACCAAATGAAATTTGCTAACCCAGAATGATTTCCAAATAGGCAAATTCTGTACATTTGAATAGATAAAAATTGTTGGCATTTAATTATGAATGCTTTTGGAATCTAGTTGAATCAAATTTATGAGTAAGTGGCTTTCCAAAGAATGTACCTATAAATCAGGAATGTAGTAAGTGTCTCTAAAGGTGGAAGTGGTGTGCAGAACTGAAGTTTTGAATTTTAAAGTTGTGCAATTGGAAAGCAGCTCACGTAACAGGGCTTTCCTGCACCACCCTCCCACTTTTAGTAATTCTGTACATAGTGAAACCAAACCATGGGAAAGCTACTGTTATAGTAAATTATCTCCACCATATTCTTTCTTCTCAGGGAGTTCATTTATGGGATTTGCAAGACAGAGTTCTAGTGAGAAAATACCAAGGTGTTACACAAGGGTTTTACACGATTCATTCATGTTTTGGTGGTCATAATGAAGACTTCATCGCTAGTGGCAGTGAAGGTAACAGTTATTTTTTTTAAAGAGATCTGTGTATGTGTGCGCGCACACTTGTGTTCAAGCTCATACTTACTACATAGGTATTGTTATATTTTTATTTTCTCCATTTTAAATAGCTAAGTTATTTACAGTAATTCCATATGAGGTATCTCTTTGCTTACTGAAAGGAAATGACTCTGATTCAGAGAATGGTGGATTAGATCATAGGATGTATGTTCCGTTGATAGCTATGACTGTATTTTTGGTAGGCTGAGCGTGACATACTGGAATAGTTTTGGACTTTCTGGTGATGTAACAACCTTCACTTGTAGAGGGTTGTTTTTCAAAGGTAGGTGTGGTTATGTAAATCCATACGAGTTCTGTTACCTCAATCATAAGTAATTATGGTAAGAGAAACAAGTCTTGTGTTCTGCAGGAGATTTGTCATTTCCCATAACTTGGACTATGAGCAACCTGAAATACATAGGGGTTTTAAATTTTTGTAAGTTGTACAAGTGGCTTGTTCGGTAGCTTTTCTAGGCATTAAGGGTGCTGATTCACTCTCAGGATCTCTCTCTGTACTGGTGGTAGTAGTGATTAATATGGTGTGGGCAGCAGCATTCCTGTGGCTCACGGACCTGAAGAGAATATGGTTTTGGGCTGAACAGAAGGGCAATCATAGGTGGGCTCTCAAAAAATAAATAAATATTGAAGGAATGTTTCTTTACCTTTAACCAGTGAGTGTTTCACCTGAGAACAGCACCTTTATTGTACCTTGTATCTTCAGTGCATTGCCATTGTAAATAGTTGCATCAATCCTTATGCATGCATTTAACCCTGTCCCCCTCCAAACAGTTTCTGGTTAAGGAATGTCTAGTCAACTGTATTGACTCTTGGTGTATCAGTCTATGCACCACTCAGGACAGCATGGACAAGTCACTTAGTTACAGCCTACTGTTTGTTTGACATGAATGTGCAGATTAATTTATCCAGGTCAACTTAGAACAGCTTTTTATTTTTTTCATTTTCAGTGTCTAAAAACTACCCAGCTGTAGTTGAAGCTGATGGCACCTTATTTAGATTCGGACTGCCTGAGGCTGTTGCCTCTTTGCACTGAATTGTTGCAAATATGGCTGCTGTGAAAGTCTCTATGTACAAAAAAAGTAACAGATTTAAATGTCATAACCTCTTAAATGTAAAGGTATGTTCTCAGCTAGGTAGGCTTTTCACCTACCAGCCCCAAACATCAAAGTGTCTGCCCTGGGAGTAAAAATCACATCTAAGTCTGTGTAGTTAAGTGTATAATAGCCAAAACAGTTCTCCTCTTAAGAGTAAGTGCTTAGTGTTAAGGTGAATACTTTGATGACTTTGAACTACACAGAGTATATAGTATGGTTAGCTTAGATTGAGAGCTTGAAAATGAAAACAAAAGCAGGTGTGTCTGATGCCATTTAGACGCCGTAGCAGTTTGAGTGTTTAAAATTTTAATATGAGTTAATTTAACAAGTAGGTTATAGCATGACTTGTAAGGGTTGGGAACAGACTATAACATTTTAGACCCAGAGTCACTGCCAAAAGTGCAACCAGGGAGAATGCTGGTATTTTTTAAAGTTACTCTTGTATATTTTGACTTTTTTTTTCTTGTAGATACTTCTATCTGATCACGCATTTAAGTAGAGGCCACAAGCTTGTTACTATAGAATGTTAGTATTCAGCAAAAATCTCATGTTAAGCCAGTCACTGTGACCTTTGGTTTTTAGTAATGCAGACAGTTGCACATCTGACATGGAACCATCTCTGTATGATCTGCAGTTCACCATTACTGATGCCTGCCCAGTGATAGAAGCAATGATGGTACAAAGTTGTTCCATGTCACACTGCTGCTGTTCAGAAGTATACAGGTTTTTGTGTGAGCTCTTGTACTAACTTCATTATACGTATACACCTAACTAAAATGAAACTGGGAGTGTAAATCAGTCTTACTTCAAGCCTTTGGAACTGATAATTTGTTGTTCAAAAATATCTTGATAGAATTTGTTCTGATAGGATAGGATACATAAGGCAACTGTGCGGCTACGTGGGGGTTACTTCATCCTTTCCCTTGCTTCTGCATGTGGTGGGATCAAGACCACGCTTGCCTCGCCATGCTTACCTTCTTCCCTGTCTTTATAATGCAGCAGTCAATCCTTGTATAAAGGAACACCAAAGTTAATTGAATGCAGAATCTTCCATGAAACTATTCAATAAAAGGGGTTTCACTTTCTAGGCTTGGATGGAACCCTGCACTCAAATGGCAGCTTGGGAATTTTCTGCACTACTCATAGGGGTTGTCAGAAATAGAATATGGGGGATGAGCCTAGGGCTTGTTTCTATTCTTGACATATGTAGAAGTGTTGGCAGAGGAAGGAACACCCAAACCACCTTCTAGTCAGATAATATAAAGCCCTCTCAATATATAATATTTTTCCAGTTAAATGCAAATATATTCATCTTGCAGACAAGGTTTGTACTTGCTCTTAGTTTAAATATGGGATTGTTGAAGCTGTTGGATTCACCATTCAGCAGACTTCAGTTCTTGAACATGCATGGAATTTTAACTTGGAAACAATCAAAACATGGTTCAGTGCCATATTATATGTAAATCATATTTTGAAGTTTAGGACAGTCCTCATGGTTTTTCAAACCTATCTGTCTTAGATCACAAAGTATATATTTGGCACAAACGTAGTGAGCTGCCAATTGCGGAGCTGACGGGGCACACACGTACAGTCAACTGTGTGAGCTGGAACCCACAAATTCCATCCATGATGGCCAGCGCCTCTGACGATGGCACTGTTAGAATATGGGGACCAGCACCTTTTGTAGACAACCAGGATATTGAAGGTAAATAAAATATAATTTTATAGAAGTTGAAGCTTGTGAGATTGTTACTTTATTTTCATATTCACTTTGTTTATATTCATTTTTTTTCTTCCAATAAGCTCATGGTGATGTGCACAGTTCTTAGTTTGGTTTGAGGAGGCATCCAACAATCTTTCCAGGAAAAGCAGGGATTGTGTGGCCTAGATAGCTTCACTATGACCTCTGTTCAAATCTCTCCCCAATACTTTTCTCCTTCCAACTATCTCTTACAGTACAGTGTCTATCTTCTCTCTGGCCATTAATGAGTTGCTTCATATAGTTTTATCTTAGCAGTCCTTGTTCAATAAAATAATGACTTAGGGTCAACAAAATCTCCACTAAAACACAACTCAACTTAGAGGATAGCACTAGGTTCTCTTGACTTCAGCAGGAGGCAGAAAACATGCTGTTTTACAAGGAGATCAGTTTCCTTTCAATCTCCATCCAGCACATCAAGGGGATTCTTGGTATAATGACTAACTAATTGGACTGAAGGGAGTGAAGTTTCAGTGTACTGTGTTTCTTGCTTTACTTTGAGAGTCAATTTCAGAGTAGCTCTCTGGACTGCATTCTTGTGGTGGTCGGGAATGAAGGCGGCAATGCAGGGGCAGGATACTAAAAATATCAACATGTTTAAGCTTAAACCTCTTATTGCTCACAGTGAAGCCTTGGCAGTATTTCAAACTTCTAGAATTAGAAGAAAACCAAGAAACCACCAAATGATTAGAAGTTGTGGGGATGGGGATGAGACCATCTAGAAAACCCCAGAGGCCTGGAGTTGGGACCCAAGGCAGGCTTGATTGTCTTATGGCCTAAGGTTCAACATCTGTGCTCTGTAGAAATGCTTTGGCCATCCAGACAACTCCACATCCCCAGCTAGATACCTGACAAGCAAGACAGAGGCCATAGATACCTTAAGCTCCCCCAAGCTGAGGAAGTTCTTGTATGCTTGTCCTTGCATAGCTCTAATAGCCACATATCAGGTCAGAGTAGAACAGTTTGTAGTCATTGTTGTATCCTTCTTGTGACCACACACTGATTCTTGGAAGTTCTTCCCCTATGGCAAGAAACCTTATGGCATAGTGTTCCACACTGCATCAGTGTCCTACTTGGCTGTGCCTACCTGCTTGATATTAGAGAAGGATAGATTCCCTACAGCTCTGATAGAGAGAAGAGGTGATCCAGACCTTTATGTCTTCCAGGAAGCCATACACCATTCTCACATGGAGGACCATGTGGAAAGCCTTCATTAGATAGTCTAGGGGTAAGGCAGTCAAATACCAGTGGCATAAAGTAGCTCTTGTAATTCCTACAGGATGGCTTTACACTAGATTTCAAGCCTAATGCGCAGCACAAGCAAGCTAGAACACCTTCCTTAGTACTTTCCTAGGTGGTCCACATAAAGCTCATCTACACCTGAAGAGCAACTGTAGCATGTAGAGCCACAGCTCATGAAGCACAACATTTGCCTTGGCCATTCCATGTCACACCTCATTTTACCAGAGTAGCAGCTGCACCTGCAGCTTTTCTCACTAACGCTGCCCTCTGAGTTATGTAAGAGTGTCATATGGATGGATGACTTTTGATCCACGAAGGCTGCCTTTGGGAGAAGAGTGCTACAGCATGTTCTTCCTTCCCCATAGCCTCAGCCATTCTTTGTCTGTTTACATAAGGTTAACTTATGCACATACCATTGTTGGATGCCTCTGCACACCAAGGAGTTTTGGGCACTTCATTGCGAAGATACGTCTGCCTTGATGTGATGACTGGTCTAAGTTGTGCCTTAGATTTTTCTAAGTAGCTGACAACACATTTACTGTGGTTCTAGTTTCTGCTGGCATCTCTTTGTCTTGTGTCCCTATGATAGGTTTAACTGGATGTGGAACCTTACCCCTTTATTTTCTAAATGTTTAATTCTGTGTTAGATACATTCTTTTCTAATTTGTGAGTCCTAAATTTAAAAAAATTGCTCTAAGTTAAAAAGTTGCAAATGATGGCAAGTTGCAATGATGCAAATGATGGCACATTTTCTAATAAGCAATAAGTAGAAAATTACACACTGTTTTTAAACAGTAAATATGAATTTAGTTAAACTTCCAGTTTGTAAACTCTTTTCAGTCTCTTGTCAAAATGTTTGATTTGGTTTTAGTAAGCACTTTCTAGGGCAGCTTATATTTCTGAATAAATATTCTATCATTATTCAAAAGTGAAATTGTTTATAAGCAACTTGTCTGCTGAATTTGCCCACAGTCTGGTGTCTTCAGCCCCCATGGGTACCTCCAGTTTAAAGTCTCATGGACTAGCAACTCTTAAACTGTATGAATATCCCAAAGTGATTTTCCTGTATGTTTCTGGGTTCTTAAACCCTTTGAACTACAGTTGATGGAATTTATCACATTATTCAGCTGTATTTTAACAGTTGCATGTTCCTGCAAGGGAAGTTTCAATTCAGTCTTGCTGCAGTCTACTTTTTTCTTTTTGAATGCAAAAGACCTTGTCTCCTGATAACAGGCACTTTTCCATACTATTCCTAGCATACATTGCAGACTGTGCTTGAAACTTAGTTATGAAAGCAGCATACAATTCTCTGCTTGGATAGTAGAATGGTGACTGTAGTTGCTGTGAATGAATTAATTGCTTTGCACAAATATCTGTATATATCTGTATATAACATCTGAGGTGAACAGTTATTATAAAGACTTAATACTTTTCTTTTACATTTCATCTTTTTCCCATTAGAGGAATGCAGTAGCATGGATAGTTGATGGTGAATTTGGAGCAGACGACTTCTGTTTAAATTAAATTTAGTCGTATTTTAAATGGCTTGGGATTTGGTGCAAACAAAACATGATTGATAGCTGGACAGACATGCTCGTCATGAAAAAGAACCATTTCTGAAGCCCGACTGGGGCCAAACATTTTACCACCTTGCTTCATAGTAAACAGTTGAGATGAAGCACGTCGTTAGAACGTTGTTGGACACCATGTTGAAGTAACCCCCCATCGGTTGTGAAGAACTGTGCTACATTCAGGCTAACCATTGAACTCCGTATATACATTTTTCCCTTCTGCCATTTTGTCAGGCAGACTACTGTTCTTGTTGCTCTTCTGTGTAATGAAGTTTAAATGCTTGTTTGGAAAACCTTTTATTTAACAGTTTAGAAGGCTTGATAGAAAGAGTGCTTTAGTCTGAAGAGTACATGTTGGATAGGAAAGTATTTCCTTCTCTTGTTTCTCTGAGTCTCTCCGCCTTATTTAGCTTGAGATCTTTGCAGCTTGGTTCATGGATTCTAGCCTTGCCCATTGCGCAGTGTATCTAAACCCAGATGTTAAACCAGTGAATGACATTTAAAGCACTCTCAGTATCACACTTGACAAAAAGGTTTTGTACTTTTCACATAGCTTGTTGACCTATAAAGGGGTTAACAGCACAATTTTTAAAAAAAAATAAATTATTTATAGCATTCAAATGACTTCATTTGTATACATTTGGAATTTAAACCAGCTTAAAAAGTGTCATCTACAAGTTAATGCAGTATAAGTGGTGCTCCTCTGGAGTGTTGTGTAATTTGGCTGACAGGAGTTTTACACAGACTATATAAAGTATTTTAAAAAAAGAAACTTTGTTTACCAACAAAACGATTTGAGAGCTTTCAGAATCGCCAACTAAACTATTACAATGTAAGTTCTGAAGTTAATAAATGAAAATTCCAAATTGGCCTTAACTTGTGCAATGATTCTTATTTCAAAATGAGAGTAGTACTGGTAGCAGTATCATCGAAAATTAAAGAGTTGATTGTCTCCTGTGAGTAAACTATACACATTGTACAATTTTTATATTACACTCTCCCTCCAGGACATTTTCTGAGGTGCTGGTGTCAGTTGCCTGGCATTAGGTATGGGTCCTGTGTGCAAATGACACATAAAAGGAAGCCAGCCTGATGTTTGCCCTACTTAACTGTTGATTTCAGAATTTCTCCCTTCTAGTTAAAGGGCAAAAATGCACTTAGGGGCATTTTAAAGTGTAAAAACAGAAAAGAAAGTAACTCTTAATAAAAAGAACAAATACACACATGCTTGTGGCACCAGCTAAAATAGGAACTCAGAGATGGAAAGATGTCTTTGACTTCAGGAGAAGACAGACACAGGATCAGAAGGAAATAGCCTTTCTTGTGCATTTTTGTTTGTTTGTTTGTTTTTAAACACACAGATTCTGTGGTTAAGGACTTAGAGTTACATCCGCTGCACTTGTGTTTATCCCTTAACTTGGACTTGCGATATTTCCCCTTCAGCACCTTTTGATCTGATCAGATTCCCATTAGGATTTCTTTAAATATCACCAAAGCAAGAATAGGTGATATTTCTGTTCCTTGATGTAGTAATCCAGTTCTCTCTGAACAAACACAGAACACTATTTTCATAATCAAAAAAATCACTAAAATGGTGACCAGATTTACAGAGAAATCTTTAAACAGAATGCCTTTCTCTTTCATCCTCTTACATAATGGATTTAAGAGCAGTGAAGAAATTTTCATCCATACTTTGGCCCATCTTAAATTGACAGGTTTCAGCTTTATGCAGAAGTCTAAATTACATTTGATATTCTTGTCCATTCACGCATATTTTATTTGGCACAATTTTTCCATCTTACAGGCTTCTTATACTCTGCCTTTAAGCCTGTGTAACATTTTTTGCAGATACTCCCATTCCGTATCTTTAAAAAATCTTACCACTCTATTGTATTCACATGGTGTTGGTACTGCTTTCTAAAACTACCCTAGGAGATTGGAGTGGAAATCAAGGATGAAATGATCTAACATGCATTTGTTTGATTTGCACTTCTTGATTTCTATATTCAGTCTGGTGCTTGTAGTTAAGAATTCTTAGCTCCCATCCCAGTTAATAAATTTTGAGCCACTGATTTTGCTACTTTTGAAATGTAAAATACCTGTGGGAAGCTAAATTAAGAACACTGAAAGGAATACACTGCTGCACATATATTAAGGAATCCCTGGATGTAAAAACAACGTAAATAAAGAGCACTTGAAGAGTGTTGGGCTGAAAGAAGCTTGTTTTGCAAGTGCCACTTCTATAATTGGTTGCATAATGCAGGCAATGCAACTTTTTAAGTGGAAAATTTTCAGATGATGTAATTAACTTCTACTGTCTGGCACAGCCTTCTATTATGTATAACACACTCAGCCACACCCCCCAAGTCAATATTTTCAGCAGCAAAGTTAACGGACTGTATTAACCCTGCTAGGATTCTTTGTGGATGCACTAAACAGGTGAGCATCCTCATTTTTTCTAACATACGGACTGAGAAGCAATTCACATTTGTAATAACCATAACTATATTATTACAATAAGAAGACACAGAATAGGTGTATCTGTAACCTTCATTTTCATATATATTAGATAACATTTCTACTTCTGGCTGTAAATCTTGGCACACTATCTAATTGCTGACCATATGTTACCTTGAGCTAAGATCACGAGGGAAAAAAATATAATAGTTTGAATTTTGCCTTAGGTGTTTGTACCCATCAATTCCAAAAAAAATGCACACCAGCTATAAATCACTACAATATCTTGCCACAATGCTTCTGAACTTTTCAGGTAAGTCATTTTGAAAGTAGGAGCACAAAATAGGAAACAATTTAATTTTTACACAGTCCTTAAAATAGCCTTGGAAATATGTGACTTACTTCCCTTGCTTTAACTTTTTCATTTTTGAATTAGGGGAGTATAAGAGAAATTTTAATGACATCAGAGATGGAAAACGACCCAACTTTTGCCAATAATCTCTTTATGGCTTCCAAGCAGATTAATTGTTGAATGTAACTTAATTTAATGCTAGGTGTTTAGTGCCATCTTAACTAAAAAATAAATAAATCTTCCACCCCAAAGGAAAAAAAGGCTTTAAGTTAAAATATTTTCTCTTACCAGTCCTATGCTGGCAATAAATATATTGGAGGAAAGAGAGTTCTTGTATTTTTTTTTAGTTAACAGCAGAAGAATGTCTAGTTTATAATTTTGGGGTAGGAACAGAAGGGAAAAAGACCCAGTTTTCAGTAGGACTTGGTGCCCTTTGTCAATACCCCAAAGCACACGTTGCCTCAATTTGATGCATTTCAAGTGAACTGTTAAACTGGAGTATCAATCATATATGATTAAAATATATATTGCATTGGCTTGAGTCCATTTTCAGCTGCCATAGAACAAATTGCTCATTTGACAGACATTAGAATTTTGGAAACACTTTGACACTTTTTGAACAGGGTGGACTTAAGTGATTTGTGCAGTGTTGTCTGCAGTAGCTGCTCTAGTTGCTGGAACACAAACTAGAAAACCTATTTCCTCTTTGCTGACTTTGGAGGATCTAGATTCAGCAAAGTGTGTGTATGTGTGGGTGGTATGAATGTGTGTGCGTGAAACACAAACAGTCATGGAACCAATTGTTCTAGGTACATGTCATGTTTTACTGCATACTTTAAGTCATGTTGTGCGTATGTGAATTGTCTAACTTTAAGATTTTGGTTAATACCAATATATTTTTATAAATTTGAAATTCAGTGTGCCCCATCTTTTAAGTGTTTCATTGTTAGGATAAATGTACTAGATTTAATTCTTAACACTTCTTGGCACAGATGGAAAAAGTTACTGGCTCCTTGAAAATGTATGAGGAAGAAACGGATCCTCAAAGCATGTTATGTACTTACAAACCAAGCTGTAGAGATCAAGAAAAGAACTTTTATTGTTCTCAAATTTCTAAATTGTCAAGATTTATATGGAGTTGTGGTGGAACTAGTTAACACTTAGAGCTTTTGGTATGTAATGACTATTTGCTATGGACTGATATTAAATGTTTCAAAGGATTGCGTTCTTAAACTTCCTGGATTTTTGTTACTCTCCTCTTGGATTATATTAAGTAGCTTTAAATTTCTTTAGTCTATTACATTAAAACATAAGAACTTTGGGTCTCCATATTTATTTTCACTTGTTTTTACTAATTATTTACAGAACACCATAACTTTTTAATTTTATAAATATGTAGTATATTAAACATCTCAATGTTCAATTCAAACTACATTAATTCCTGATTTTGTTTTTATTGGGGTTTTTAAAAAAATGACACTTTTCCATGTTGGTGCACAGCACTTAACAAATATTTGTATTCCCTTTCTTTCCAATTCAATAAACAGAATGAATAACTGGACTTGAATAGTTCTTAGCTTTCTAACCTTAAGTGTACTATGACTGCCTTTTTGGATTTCTGTTTCACAGTGTTAGGGAAGAACAAATCTTTCCAGCTAAGACGGTATTTCTCTGCATGGCAGCATAGCTGGCCGACCTGTATTATACCCAGGAGTGTGTAGTTCTGTGCAACAGCAAGAAAGCCTGGGTTCTAAGTGCTATATACTAGTGCTTGCTCCATAGAAACATAAAAATAGCGAGTCAGAAGGGGTCTCCCGGGCCATCTAGTCTGACCCTCTGCTCCAGCCAGCTCTGCTCACGACATGCCTAGCATACATACAAAAAGCTCATCTACACTAAGGAATAAGTTTACCAACTAAGAGAACAGCAATTTCCACATAAATCAGTAGCTCCCAAGTTGACTTAAGAAGCTATTTTTTGAAAAGGGAGTTTCAAAAATTAATTTCTGATTTATTGAAAAGAAACTGGCCTGGTGCATTGAATGAGCTCCTCTAAAGTGAGTTACTGGATTGTGGGTTGTTTTCTCAGCTCTGACTTGAAGCAGAAAAATGCACTGATATCTCACACTTGCAGTTGTGATATTCCAACAGACTCCCAACTATTATTTATTAAATTTAAATGCCATACCCTTCGCCAAAAAGGCTTCCTTGGTAGCTTATAATCAAATTATTACCTTTAGTAAATCATCCAGCAATACCTGATCTTGTAACATTAACACTATGATTCATGCTCTGGCATCTTTGGCAAAGCTTTAATACAGCAGGAGCAATATGTCACTGAAGGGGAAATGTGTTTGAAACAGATACTACTCGTCCACAGCAAAAATACTAGCAAAGGAAAAGGATACAGAGGAATTGAATCCCTCTTGCATCACATCTGTGTAAACTATGCCAATCTACCTGAAGCTACTTAAGTGAAAGTATAAGATTGCGTTGCTTTGTGCAGTGTTGAACTGATGAACATTAGCGTATTTGGCTCTTAATGTACTTTTTGAAATTAGGCTTCAGGTCAGGCTTTTACTCTATTCCTTTTGACTTTTTCGCATGTTCTAATATTCATAATTTTATGACAGATATTTAACCCTATTCTATTCCAAAAGAGGATTGTCTAGTGGTTCATTGTATCCACTGATGAAAGATCTCGTCCACAAGTGGAAAGCACTCTGCTTGTAATGGAAATTTCAGTTTGATGGCAACCCCCTCAACTTCACAGGATGCTCTTTCAGAGTCTTCCTTCATGGATAATTTGGATTTTTGTGCAGGAGTTTAAGGAGTTCCTGCACAAACTTGACTATTGTTCTGATTGGGAGTGCTTTAGCAATAGAATTAATCCAACCCTTTAATATTTTCCTCAAAGTCTCCTTTCTCTTTAAGATACCAGTACAACCACATCTGTTCTGATTCCTTTTTAATGCAAATAAACTTCTAGTAATACTTCTTTCCAAAAGTGACCATGCTGTTTGAACCTCTTTCCAGATTCTTTCCATAGAAGTATATTTGCCAAAATCTTTTTAAAAGATACATCAAACTTAGTTTATTCGAATTCTCACTCAGCAGTGACAGCCAGGTCATATCGTTTCCTAGACACTATAGAGCAGGGGTCTCAAACTCGCGGGCCCATTGCCGGGATGGGTGGGGCACGGGGGCGGGGCCCTGCGGCCTTCAAAGCACCGGCGGCACCCGGGCCGGCCTCCAGATGAGCGGCCCACCACCGCCGCGGTGGTGGAATACTTGATGCGGTTCAGCCTCACCCAGACTGCCCCCAGGTAAGTTGAGCTTGAGACCCTGCTATAGAGGGAGGGTTTTTCATGCAGAGGGTCTGAGAGGTGACGAGGGGGGGGAACATCCTTGACTTGGTTTTGACCAACAGGAAGGAGCTGATAGATGAAGTACAGATTAGGGGAGCTGTGGATGCGAGTGATCACTCCATCCTTTGCTTTGAGATCAGGGGAATGGGGACGTGCAGCAGGTTGAGCACTAGAAGCTGGGACTTCAAGAGTACTTTGAGAATTGGCAGGGGTTCTCTCATACCTGCTGGCCTCCATTTTTGAGGCCTCGTGGAGAACGGGTGAAGTTCCAGAGGACTGGAGGGTGGCGTCAGTGGTCCCAATGTTCAGAAAGGGTAGTAAAAGGGACATGGGGAATTACAGACCAGTTAGCCTTACGTCCATTGTAGAAAGAACAAATGGAAAGGCTCATAATAGCGAGGGATCTAGTGATGCTAGATAAGGAAGGGAGGCTGGCGGCCACACAACATAGCTTTCGCAATAACAGGTCCTGCCAGACAAGCCTCGTGGAATTCTATGACAAGGTTTCAAGGTGGCTAGGTGGAGAGTACACAGTGGATGTGGTTTGCCTGGATTTCATCAAGGCCTTTGACAAAGTGCCCCATGATATCCTGGTTGAGAAACTGAGGAGTTTTGGGATAGACCAATGCACTGTCTGATGGATTAGGGCATGGTTGACTGACCAAAAGCAAAGGGTAACCATTAGTGGGAAATCATCAGGATGGCACCTAGTGACAAGCGGGGTCCCAGGGCTCTGTCCTGGGGCCGATCTTGTTTAATCTTTTCATCAATGACATGGAAGAAGGGGTGGACAATCTGCTGATCAAATTCAGATATTACTAAAATGAGGGCAGTGGCCACAACTGAGGAGTAGGTATTCCAGATTCAAAAGGATCTGGACAGGCTATGGAAGTGGGCAGGAGACAACAGGATGACATTCAGTGTGCTTAAGTGTAAGGTCTTGCACCTGGGGCATAGGAATGGAGATATATGTGAGAGAGTGGGAACTTAAAAACAATGTTTCTACCATTGGAAGAAAAATTGTTAACTATCAACTCCAGGGCTGGCATAGTTTCCCCATTGGGAAGAGAGGGGCTCTGCATCCTATGGAGATGCAACCTGTCCTGGAACACCTGTAGAATTCCTTTTTGTTCTCTCCAATATCAGGAACAGTACCATCTGCACCTTCACAAAACAGTCCTGTCAGGCTGGCTCTCCCTCCTAACCTCAATGGGTGATCTGAAAAAATCTTATGAACTGAGAGGCTTCCCTCAGGATTGTAGGATTCCACCCTTAATGATCCTTTTCATCTTTTATCCAAACTATCTCACGCCCCGCACACTCTTCAAGAGACAACCACATTCTCTTTCTTATATTTGCATACTGGCAGTCCTGAACCCCAAACAATTTAAGAATATAGCTCAATACACATATTAAATAGAGTTAGTCTGCTATCTATGAGTCAACTCTGGCTGAGGGGCTCTTGAAATTCTTAGGCCCTTCTACTCCTGAGGACTAAATGGGACATCCTGGGGAAGAACTAATCTAACAGCAGTTGTCAAACCCAGTCACCAGAGCATAAATGCAAGCAAAAATAACTAGCTATTCTTAGAGCAGTGTACCACTGAACTGAAAACGAAGTATTAGGTGTCTGATACATTCATCAACCAAAGTGCCAGTCCGTGACTACAATTAAAATGACCATTAGTTTAAGCAAATCAATTGATGGATCATGTTTGTAACAGCTGTGTGCATGAAGCACTCACAAATCACCCACCTCTGGCAAGGCTTTGTGTGAAATAGGAAACCTCTTCATATGAAATTGAGGGCTACTGCTTCATCTAATTAGGTGAGCAGACTTGGCTTCATTTTATGACTGCTATCCTGAGAAGCCCCATATACCCTATCTGGATTTGGCAACAATGAGACTGTAGACATAAGTCAGCAGTACCAGAAACTCAGTACCATGGTTTTTTAAAATATTTTATATGTTAAAAAATACAGCAAAAATATTATTTGTTCGAAGAGGAAAAAATATACTGCATGACAACACTGGTCTAGATTTACTTGAAAGCTGCTCCTAGCTCCGCAACATTTCAATGGAGTGACAATTCAGGATTTGGCAACCTTAAGAGCTCCACGTCAGTCATTTATCAAAGCCAGGATCATACTGCAGGAAAGTGAAAATAGCATATCACTGACATGCACACAATATGATTTTTAGCAAGCCAACATCAGCAAAGCTGTTCCAGTTCTTTCCTTTCTATAAACAAATCTTACTGGCTGCCACTCGATTTCCCCCCAGCAAAATGTATTCAGGAATATGTTTAAGCAGAATGTGTAATTGTTTACATAAAGGCTACATGAAATAAATTCCACTATTAGGCTCAGTGCCTGGATCATACCTGAGGGGGTGGCATCATGTAGGACTGTGCATGACTGTGCACAGGGCTGCCTCCATAGAAGATTCAGAACTTAGTGCCCTCTGTTGCAGATGTGTTTGACTTTAAACTTATAGATCATGGTAAGAACCACTTTCAATAGAAGCTGCTTCAGGCACAGTGCACATACCCCAACACAAAATGAGATATTGCTTTGTATCCCCAGCAATCTTGATACAACTTGGCTGGGTTATTTCTATGATTTGAACTTGTTCTTGGGTGTGGAGTCTAGATTCCTGGACATCTAACATCTCAAATCATTCTGTGATTTTTCACGTATGTGCACATGAACTTGATTCCAAAAGTAATTCCACATATGCAGAACAGTAACACTGGCGATGGGTCCATATTCTAACATAACTAAAGGAACAGAAGGTATATCCTGAAGTATGAGACCAGGTCTGTAAATTAATTTTTTAAACAGAAACCCGTAAAGTTAATCCAAAGGCAAGAAATATATGATTATTTTTTAAAATAAGGTATTATCTCCTGCAACTTTTTAAAAAAACCAGGTCATTCTCTCTTGCAATTTCTCCTCCTTGGAGCATATAGAAATTATATTCTAAAGGACAGAGAAGAAACTTGGAATCTCTAACCAAAAAAAAAAAAACCAAGCCTATTCCAATTAGCTACAATCCCCAATGTTTGAAGGATAACACCATAAAAGTTAACCAATACACATTTGTAGATTAATTAGGGAATCAGTGCAAGAATTCACAACGTACCCCTCAACTCGATAGACAAAACATATTACACAGAGATGTAGACGTTTGATGCCCCACTGCATGGTGAAAACCTCACCACAGAAAAATGTCTCCCCATCACAGCTTTGAGAAAGTTCATAAACAGAAAATCAACACCATGGATGTCTTTGTGATAACTACAGTCACCACATGACAAACCTGACTGTGTGATTCTATCCACTAATGGGTAAAATTAAGTGCTGTTAGCAACAATAGCTAAGGAAGTTTAAGGAACCATGTCCTTGTTTACTTGCCTTAACATGGGAATCACAAGTTCAATTAAGTGGTGACAACCTTTGCTGTTGCTGCATGTGGATTAAGTGTCAGCCGTTAAGTTTGGGGATGTGTTTCCGAAAGCAACAGAGGTGCCTTTCTGGATTGTTTAACATTAGATATATCCAGGTCTTGAATCCCTTTCCTGGATGAGTTGCAGTGTGACATCCCAGAGAGTCACAAGATGTGACAGTGTAAACCTAAATCCAGTTACAAACAAATCAGTCAGATCTTCCCATGTACTCTAAGAAAGGCATAAGCAAATATGCAGAGAAAACTGAAAGACAACTAGTACTTTATAAGATAAAAATGAAGAGTTATTAGCGTTTGGCCACTATAACAGAAGCTCAATGTTGCAAAGAAATTAGTAGAGCCCAAAGGAAAACTAAACCCAGCAAGGTCAGATATACGTGTATTAGGAGGAAATTTCAGAACCTGGCTAGCTTCCTTAAAACTTACCTGTAAAGGTACATGAAGAAACAAAGAAGGTGAAACCCAAGCTTAATCATGGCCTCCTTCATATGTGATTTTAACTGTCCTCGATTATGGATCTCTGTTGGGTCAAATACTCCCATGTTTCCACTGGGAACCATAATATACCTGAAACAATTTAAGGGAAAACGTTTCAGTACCAACTATGCTCCAACACCGAGGATGACACAATTTGAGAAAAGAATGCAGGCAAGTTAGTTGGCATGGGCAAAACAAAGCTTTTCAAGAGATTTTTTGAGGATGTTGGATAGCTGAGGGAAGGCTTTAATAGACAGAGGTAGACATGATAAAAGGAGGGTATCAGAAGCATCAAGCAGAATGGGAAAAAAAGGCTACAGGGAACTGCTGAGGCTGAGCAGAAGTGCTCTTAGCTCCAGTAAAAGTGATGTTGAGGTGAAATGTAATACAAGCTTTTGCACCGCTGTTTTTTTCTACCAAAAAAACGGGAAAAGGGAAATAGAAATCTGGCCTGCAACTGGAGTCATGGGAGCAGATTTCCACTGCAACTAGAATTCTTCCCTCCTGCTGAATCTTTCGAGGGTCTCAATATTGGAGCAGATCTGAGTAAAGGACAGGAAAATCCCTTCCATTGGCAGATGGACACCAGCAGCCTTCTGAATGAGATCGAAGGCCTACCTAGTCTAGCATTCTGTTCTCAACATGCCTATCAGAAGCCCTAAGGCCCGACAGAAGTGCAATACCACTTGCTTGTGCTTCCCTAGAATAGTAGGCAACTTTCATTGTTTGAAGAGACCTGGTACTGTGATGGCTGTGAGTTTGAGTGGAGCCCCATCTCTAAATGTAGCTATAAAGATACATGCATAGCTGTTTGGCCAAACTAAAATCAAGACAGAAATTTTCAGTGCTTTGATTTTCAAGAAAACACTTGAACCATTTTTTAAAGGTGTAGGCTACTGAGTCATCATGCCTTCATTCTGCCTTTAGAATAGGAAAATTAGGTAGGCTTTCTTTAAATACTGAAGTTACAATATGGCAAATTTTAAGTTTGTTTGTTCATGCCTACAAACAGATAAGGAATGGACCTTAGCTCAGCTATGTCTACAAGTCTGAGCTATAAGTTGTGACATAGGCGTCTGGATTTCTGTTCCTTTCCTGTATCTGCAGTGTGAAAGCAAACTTGATCAAATTACTGAAGTAGCAGTTCAAAAAGCTTCTGACAGCTTGGGATGAGAGCTGTACCAAATACATTTTCTACTTGCATACAAGCATTCTGAGAACGTAGCAAAATATCAGGGTAAAATGTTTCCTTCTCAACACATGCTAAAGCGGGTCTCATGTAAGGACTCAACAGGCATTTGACCCCCACCCTCGGCCACCACACTCTTGGAAAGTGGTGGTTATGGCCCACAGAAGCATGGTGGTTGGCTAAAGAACAAATTGTGTGTTAACACCTATAGGCACAGAAATCCTTGAGATGGGAAAAAACCCACTTGCCTCCCCTGTTGGTGTTAATCTAACAGTGACAATGCACTTCTGGTGGCTTCCAAATTTGTTCCATGAATGGAAATAAGGTGCATGTGCACCAGCCTTACAAAAAACACTGCCTTTCTTTTTAAAAGGGTTGCAAATGTAGTCTTTGTATTACAGCCTATGAGTTGGCCAAAGAGAACTTTAAAAGCCTTCATACAAAAGAGTCCAAGGCAGAGGGGCAGGAGGGTAGCTCAGTGTAGAATAAGTATTTTGCATGCAGAAGATCCCTGCCATCTCCAGAGGGCCAGAAAATGCCTACCTGAAACCCTGGAGAACTGCTGCCAGCCAGTGATGAGAAGGCTGCTTCCTGTGCTCCCACTCTTGGTAACTTTAGGCCTTTTCCCAAAGGCCTCAAAAGCCATATCAGAAATATCACACTGTTGACCATTTTCATATCACTTTCATACACATGATTGCCACAATCCAGCTCTAGTCAGACACAAACTATTTATGTGCAATTATGAGATCAGCATGGATGCAAGGCTCCCACCACAAGTCACACAGCATGGACAACTGACACTGGCATGCTTTTGCATTTTTAGTCAGCTTAGGAGAGCCTCTTCTGCTTCCACACTTGCCTCTTGTAGCAAACAGACTTCAAGATACATTTAGTAAAATGACCCTAAAATTTCTTCAGAGAAAACATTTACATCATACCTTAAACAAATATACTCAGAAATTACATTTCAGCTTCTCAGTTTCTACTGATAAGAGATTAATTTCATAAGTTACGGAACAAAGACATTTTATGAACTGGGTGTGTTATTTTAAAAGAACAAAACAAAATGACTAGCTTCAAGTCACCGACACCCCATTTTAAAAAGACCCACTAATACACCCAGTGGCTCTTACCTATATATATTCCAGGTTGCTACAGGTAAATTGAGAAGGAAGATGAACCAGTGCAGTGAAATAAGCATTAATACAGTGACCATGGTGTGGCCAACCAATTCAGGGATCACCCACTGGAAAAGAGAGAATTTTTAGAAGCAAAAACACTTATACAATAATCTGTGGAAGTCTTCCACCAAAAACCAATGGAGAAGACAATTAACTTATGCACCTTAAGTTAAGCATACTTATTTATTAGGATTTTTTTGACTGTGTTGACTGATTGCTTAACTAGTATCTAGCAGTCAAAATTTAAATCAAATCACATGCTTGTGAGTAATCTTTTTGAAAGCATTTGGATTTCCAGAATGCCATCAGAGTATCTGGACTACACAGGATACAATGTTGTGCTTCTACAGTGATGATATGAAGAGCATCAGGGACAGAAGTAACAAGTCTGTTTGAGGACACATGCCAGGCTAGAAATGTTCACATTCTGCAATTTTGGGCAAGTGCAGAATTTGGGAAGAGGCGCATAATTAACCATCCTGAGAATTTCAGACCTTTCTTCAAACACAAGTTTCTAACACTTGTGTTTTGCTTTGTTCTTAGTTTAATTTTCAAATAAAGATAATATAATCTGTGTAGCAAGAAAATATGAAAAGATGCATTCCACAAAGTGTCTTGCTTGACTGTGCCATGGGAGGCAGATGTTATATGGATTAAAAATGACTGTGGGAATGCTACAGGGGGAGAACAATGAAGAAATATGAAGTCATGATCTGGAAAGTCATTTACCTAGAACAGGAAAAAAGGGAAAAGAGCTGGAAATGTTAGGACTAGGCAAGAAAAGAAATGGCTTGCAAATCACAAGATGGGTGAAGAGTTTTTGGAGGCACTACAATGACAACTATGGGAACCACTGGGAAGGAGGGCAGGATGAATAAAGCATCCTGAAAGGATGATACTGACATTCAGGAAGACAAGAGTCAGACGGTCCTGTGCAAAGTAAGAAATCACTTTGAGGCTCTTGTGAAAATGAATGGCTCTATATCAGATCTCATGGGCAGGATACAAGTTCTACAGAACAGAGGTATAGAACTGCTTCCTTCAGCAGGAAGAAATAGGTCTGCTGTGGTTAGTGACTGCCTGCCACAAAGATCAGAAGGGGAAGTGTGCCAGCCAGACCCACACAAGAAATATGTTGTTTCCTAGGCACAACATTGGTGAAGTGACAGAGCATCTCCCAACATCCATCAAGTCCACCAATAGTTATCCCCACCTACTTATACAGGTGGAAAGGTACAATATTGCCAGGCACGGCTGTGCCTGTATTGTGTCAAAGTTCTAGGAAGGAAGTTCAAAGCTTTGGGGGCATAAGTTGCATTCTTCTTCAAACTTTCAGTCCATGAAAGAGTATCAGAAGGGCAAAGAAGAATTCTGAAGGCTATGAACACTTGTCAGCAGGGGAGATTTGATTTCTGGAACCACTGTTTATGATTTTTGGATGAAGGACTGCTGGCGGGAGATGGACTGCACCTCAGAAAGACTGGGAAGAAAGCATTTGTCCCAAGAATGACAAGTTTAAGAGAGCTTGTGAGGCATGGAAACAGCAGCCCCAAAGTGAGGACCAGAGTTAAGCTCTTCATGCACTATAGCAGGATCTGGAACAGTGGCTATAGCAGGGCCTGTTAAGCCTCTTAATAAAAAATCTGGGAGATCATTGAGCATAAGTCATGGCTTTTGATGTCTATATTAATGCTCAGAGTTTGGGAAACAAATAAGATGAGCTTGACCTCTAGATTAAAGAAAGTAAATATGACTCAGAGGTATGACTTGAGACCTGATCAGATGATTCTTATGAGTGAGATGTAGCAACTAAAGAATGTAACATTTAAAAAGGACAGAAACCACACAGAGTGGGCAGAAGCTACACTACCTGTTAAAAACATAAATACTTGCTAAAAGAACCAAGAGATTGAACATGGTAACTGTTGTACCCACCAACTTAAAATAAAATAAAAAACATCCTATGGTTAGAATTTACTCCTAACCACCCAACTAAGGAAAAGATTGTGCTTTTCAAAACCAATCTGCAGTTGTGTCAAGAAAGCATGAAGTAGACTTTATTTATGAATGGAAACCTTTACTGCACAGATGCTGAGCACAGAAGGGCAAGGGAGCCGATTAGAGGCCCAGAGACCCAGAAAGTCTTGGGCAAAAAGACTGAAGGTAGTGGGTATGTTTAGCCTCAAAAAGAGAAGACTCAAAGAGGGAAATGGTAGCACTGCTCAAATACGTAAAGGGTTGTTAAACTGAAGAGGATTGCAACCTATTCTCTATCAAGTGAGATAGCAGGACACAAAATATTGGGCTTAAGAAACAGAAAGGCAGATATCAATTAGAAAAACTTCCAAACGGTCAGATCATTCAGATCATGGAACCAACTGCCTAAAGAGGGGTACAGTCTTTGTTGCTGGATGTGTTAAAGCAAAGACTATCAAGCACCTGCCAAATACTTTTAACTGGATTCCTATGCTAAACAGGGAGTTGGGCATGATGACATAAATTGCCCCTTCCAACTTTATGATTCCAAGTGAGCAGAATCTAAGTGCAAAAGTTGGACTATTGGGTATACAAGGAAAACAAATACCGAGATAAAATGAAGGAACTAAAATATAATTGATTAGGGGAGGGAAAGGTCTTAAGGGGTCAAGTGTTGGAGGCTTGGTGTTAGAATCTAGGTTATCCAAGAGCAGGAGGGGAAGAAGTTCTTACTTTTTCTCCAAAGGCAAAATATTATGATTTTGTGCTGAACAATCCCTGCAACAAGGTTACTACCTGGAGAAATTACATGTGAGGGATTCAACTGGCTTACTTCTGATGTCTGACTTCAATACATTTTCCATCAGTAACAAAATTCTCTATACTAGATTAGTGTTCCAAGAAACCCTAAAGAGATGACAATTGCCCAAAGCACTCACCTGATTGACATAATTTCTGCACACTGTAAATATTTTACAATATTTATTTCAACCAGTAAGACAATCCTACATTTACACAGACAGCAATGCCACTAAGTGAAGCTTATTACCAGGTAAGTGGGTACAGGATTGCCGAGGTAGATTATAATTTCGAAAGCACCTGGCCTTACTCAGACCACCCAGGAGTCATGGGTAAGGTATATATCTTATATTCTGCTTACTGGATTAAAGTAACCCCATTTCTAGGGAGATGATAGCTCATAGCTGCCTAACAAACATGATGGCCATGTTATGGTAGCATGTACTGAAAGGATTCATAATTCTGGAATTTCATATCAATTACCAAAAATATGATCATTTCTCCATCTAGAAAAACAGAGAAAAGAGGAGAAAACTTACTTTATTTAGTTTTGAGCAGCAAGATCTAGCATTAATGTAGTCACATTCCAAATCTGATAGTATAATTATCTAAAGATCATGATAAGGAATTATTGTACTATATTTTGCCCGCTCTATCCAGATTCTTTCACACAAGAGCCTAAATGTCTCACCACTGATAAGAACAACAGAGATGAATTCATTTTGTAGTGTTACATAGGTGTCTGCAAGTAAGATTCTATTATTCCAACAAGGGCTACAGCATAGAACCTTCATGAGCAGAAGACCATTTGAAAAGATTCATCTATGAATTATGGCACAAGCCACAACCTCACTGCCCTATGCTAGCAGTCAAACCCCAGTATATCTGGCATCCTAGATACTGTAGGTCTCAGTATCTGTGGAATGACTGTTGTGATGGGTCACCACCAATCACACTACAAGACAAGCACAATAAACCCAAAGGATCCCCCCTTCATGCCCCCACCACCAGTGGACTGAGTGCCAGAACCCCAGGAATGGCTGAATTCACACTAAAACATGGCCACACAAGATCCCAAATACACCTGGGATTTTCTGAAGCTTGAAATAGTTGCATCTGTGCAGAGTTCTGGATCTTTCCACTATCTCACACAACACCTTAAATGTTTTACAGACTGATGGCAGAACAGCTGCGATAGTACAAGTATACAATCACATACTGATCTGGTTCAGCCACAGCTAAAAATTGTCGCCTCCCATTATGTACATGAGTTGCCATGAGCCTTTGGATCACATACTTCTCCCTTCCCATTTGTCATACAACAGGATATCTTGTTTAAGTGTCCATAGTGTCTGCATTTAAACAATTTAGGTAATTCATTCAATTATTACTTAGAAAACAAACCACAAACTGTAACTATTGCCTGATCCATGATTGTTCTCATAAAGTACAGTTTAAAGAAATCACAGTTGGCTATCACAACAACATATGGGAGGGTGTATACTGAAAAAGAATTGCTTCCAATATGTTTGCAAGCACAACAGAAAAGGGGAGTTTGAGTGTGGAAAAGTACAGCTTGCTATGATTCATTCACCTGGCAAGAAATTAGGGCTACTGTGACTTCACACAGCACCAACAGTAGAATCATCATCTTTACTGAGTTTTCCAACTAGAAGCACATACAGCCTGTTCCCAGTGAAGGCAGAAAATAGCTTTAGAGTATTAAGTGAAATAGTTGAGTGATGCTAGGCATCCTGATACCTTACATACGAAAGCCAATGAGATCATACTGTACTTATACAAGAATATTAGTGTTACAACATATGAAAAGAGTACAAGCTGAGACTTTCAGCAAAGTTTTTTTTTTTAAGAAAAAGAACAAAGTCAGTGTTTCACACATAAACCCTTAATGTCAACATCCTGTGTGTAAAATATGAAATGAGACTTGATATTAGTGCAATATGAGAAGAACAGAACTCCTGCTAAAATGGTTAATCCTCAGCATGTATCAAAGTAAGAGCTGTCCAGGTATACTTGAAGTACTTCAGCTTTTGAAAATAATCTGCAATATGTTTTAAAGCATTGCCCTTTGTATCCTTCAATGCCATAAAATAACCAGAATGATAGGGAAGTGACCCTTGGAACATTTACTCAAGAGGCTCCAATCAAATCATATTCACTTCTAAGTAAACACTTCTAGCACTAATGTGTAACTCAGGAACAAGCAGGCATTTCTATACAAATGTTCCATATCTTATTTCATGTTAAAAGATACTGACCAGGTTTGCACAATCACCAGGAAAAATAACCCTCAGAGGATTCTTTTCCCCAATCCAACTTGATTTGCTTAATTACCCTCATCATGCACAGGTTGCTGTGTCATCCTAAGTAGGTGATTTGCAGAGGGGAGAGTGCTCCCAAACTACTCCAGAACTCTACAACAAACCATGGGTTCTGGGGTGGTTTGGAAGCCACTCCCACTACATATCTTGCCAATTTTGTACAACACAGCAACCCACATGTTATAAGAGTAATTTGGCAAATTGCACAGAGTATGGAAAAAAGTTGCTATGGATTTTTCCCCATGATCATGCAACATGACAATTTTCAAAGAGTGGTTGTGTGTTAAAGAACTCGTAGATTCTACTGCAGAACTAAACATATGTTTAATACAAAATATTTAACCAGTAGGTAACGTTGCCTGAAAGGCATCCTACAATGAAATGAGGGCAGCAATCAGCTAGGATTTTACAGATTTTCTATGGCTGGTCTCATAGTACAAATAATGCTAGAAATATTCCCTCCACCTTTCCTTGGGTATTATCATAACCACAGGTTAGCATAACTGGGTATTTGCTAAGGCCCACCAACTCAGAACCCATAGCACTCACAAAGCAATTCTGGCATTGAAGCATTGATCGCCACAGACAATCAGGAATGTCATGCAGGTGAGTGGATGGAATTCCATACAGGTAATTAATCTGATCAGCAAAGGAAGCCTGCACCCATAATGGAAACAATGTTCAACTGCCATTCTGGAGCAAGCTTTCTTCACATAGTTGTCCTAAGCTTGCGTATAGATCCAGCCAATTAGTAGGCAGCGTGGACTATACCAAAACTGACTAGGCCTGGAAGAACCAAAAACAAGTTCCAAAGTTCCTACTACATATGAAAGGAAACTCTAGGACCATTTCGCTGGCCCGTTCTTGCCTACCTTCACGGACTATGCCCTCCCTTTCTCCCACCCTAATAGATAAGGGCTATGTTGAGTCATTTTTTACACAATGTTACAGCATTTTTCTACCCGTATTTTCCTCTAAGATTCCTCCGGCGTAGGCAAAATAGCCCTGGACTACCCAAAATCCAGAGTCGGTTCTTGTCACCTCAGGCACCCCGTCTCTAGTTCTCGTCCACCAGCTCTACCCCGTTATGCCGCCCCGGCCCATGAGACAGCCATTAACGTCCCTCAAGCCCCTTTCACAGCGCCAACGTTCCTCCCCAGCACTCTCACCCACCGACCAGAGAGAGCAAGGGCGCCTCACCCGCCACTCCCCATTCCCAACCCCTAGCCGATACAAACGGGAGGATACAAAATAAACGGAAAGGAAAATCAGAGCACAGCAATCAATGAGCGAAAAAATGAACACCACCGACTCCATCCCGCTGCCGAGACGGCCGCCTCCGATGTCCTGCCGGCCACCGTATACAACCACGCCCCTCTAGTCCTTTCGCGGCCACCGTAGAACCCACCTTCCCATTCTCGCAACCGCAATCGCCCTGTCTAATTTAAAGGCGTTACCCCGCGATGCACTCTGGGAACTGTAGTCTCATTCGGTTGCGTAAAAGAGGCGAAGCGCGCCCCTCGAGGTGAAGGTACAAAAGACTTTGCATTGGTTCCCGCAGCGAAGGGGTGGGATTAAGGGCTGAAACCTGACTGAGAAATTAAATGTGGTCCTCTGTGGATGGGACATAGGTGTCCTAACTAACGCCCGAGTAGAAATCTTAATCCACCGCCTTGTTGTGCCTTTTTTCTCGGCTGCACTGAAACCAGGAGGTGTCTCACGGAGCGACTCGAGTCCCAGCGTTTGGAGAGGCGGCCCACAAAGCGACGCCGACTTTTCTTGTGCTCAGGCATTCCTAAGGCAACCAAGATCTCAACCTCCTCGGCTCGGAAAGGCGGAGCCTCGCCTTTGCTGCAGGTGGAATGTGGAGTGTTGGGAGCTGCCATGCGGAATCGTGGAGGAAGCTACCCAGTCGGGGATCCCAGGCTGAAGCAAAGAGTCAAGCAGGTGCCGCTTCAGCTCCCTCTCTCGCGATTCTTCTGAGGCGGACATAGACTTCCCTAGTCGAGTGCCGTCCAGATTTCTGTTATTCTAGATTTTCCTATTGATCTTAACCTGCAACGGCCAATGGTCAATGGTACTGGGTGTTGTAGCCCAAAATATCTGTAGAGGTTCAGGTTGGGAATGTCTGGATTAGGCTGTGGCTCGGCTGTCCGTCTTTCATTTGGATCCAGTCTGGGGCTGAGCTCCAGAGCATTTCTTCCATTTTAGGGCTTAGCCTTTGGATGTGAAGTACAGAATAACGTACTTCTGAGCGTCACTACCGTAGTCCAGCAACCATGGCTAGCTTTTATATATCTAGCGCTAGAAGAAGCTCCGCAAGAGTAGTAATTTTGCTCAGCTTGCGAGGGCAGTTACGCTAGAGTGAATTATTCTAGCTAGTTCTAGGATAAACTTGCAGTCCGGTTTAATAGCTATGTTTACTTCTTATGAGTTCACAAAAATGCACTTAAAGATGTGGTTTAGAGCTTATAGCCCAAGGCTAGGCATGGGGTTCAGCAGTGAGCCCCATAGCTTGTTAAGCCTTCTTATGTACAAGGTTGTAGACCCACAGCTCAATTTTATGTGCTTTTATAACGATCTGTTGTCTTACGACTTGTGTGAGCTTCCTCAGGATTTGTGAAATTGGAAAACTGTGTAAATTTTATTCATGAATAAATAAATATGAATAAGATTTGGAACCAGAAAAGGAGAGCAGAAGGGCAGACACAGAAGTCCAAGTTTTATTGTGGCTTGTAACAAGAACTGCAGTAGGGACTATAGTAAGAGTGCTCAGGAACTGCATGTAGCGCTTTGAGTTTATCTTGCGGCACACCGCCTGGTACTCTGGGTGCCTACAGGCTCCCATTTGCTGCTCCCTGCCTGCAGACGCTTGCAATACTCAAACATCTGACATTTATTATATGTTGAGAAAGTCTGGCCAGCCCTGGACTATATCTTAGAATAACCTTCTCCAACCCAGTGCCTTCTGGATGTGATGCACTGCAACTTACATATTATTCAGTGAGCACTTAGACATATGGCAGGACCCAGGTTAGAGAATGCCAGTTTAGCACAGTGTCCAAACACAGCCAGTGTGTGAGTTCTGAGTGCTGGAGAGTTCCATTCAAATCTTGTTTTAGTTATACATCTGCAGTAGAGAAGCAATAATACTAGCTTACCTTACAGGTAAATTCTAAGGATTACTAAGATAATGTATGTTGAAATGTAATAAATGCCCAAATGTGAGGTATAGAAATGGTAAACATTACTGTTGGGTCCACCTGCAAATTGGATGAAGCAGCACTTAATGATATGCTTGGGATGAAAAGACCCAAATCTAAGGTCATAGTATAGACTACATATCCCAAGAAATATGCTAGTTTAGGATGCCACTTCCTCTGTTAAGAGATTGTAATATTCTCGGTGTTCTTTGTGTTTGCCCTCTAACAGCTTTGCAATTAAAATGAAAGGCTATAAGTATGAAATCCTTCATGCTAATTCAAAGTTGATTATTAGACAAAAGTAAAATAAATGGCAAATAACACAGCATCAGTATTGGGAAGGGGTAGGTTCTTGTTTAATATTCATGTTTATTGAACATATTTCAGTAAATGAAAATGGTGGGGAGTGGCAGGTTGAAGTGCTTCCTTGTAAATATGGTTTGGTTTTAGACTTATATATAGTAGATTTATTGAAATCACTTGAACTTTAGTTAGTCATTACTTGTGAGCCTAGATGTAACTGTATATCTGCATTTATGTAAGTGGTTGGGTTTCTGTTGGAAATGGCTGGCTAGTGAATCATCCATAAACGAATATGTTTGCAAGGAAACCCTCTAGTCTGCTCTTTTTAATTGGCTGGCTGTTTTACCAGTTCCTTGCAGGTAAGCATCCTAGCCTGTTACTTCAACAGCAAGTAGGTGTTTGGTTATATTTGTGAGGAAGGCACTCTGCCTGTGTTGATAGAGGCATTTCCCTCTATTTCTGTGTTATGAGAGGCTTGAATTCTCTCAACCCATGGATCTGCTTTATAAGGAAAGGCATATGTTACAACTCAGGTTTGCAGATTCCCACACTGGTTATTACAATGATAAGGACATATAGTTTGTCCTTTCTTGTGTTTGACTTGTTAAAAATATACACAGTTGTCTTTTGCATACATACTAATGCAGAATATAAATACATTTTTAAAGCATGCAAAAATATTTTATTACAGTACCTGAGCAGTAATAAATGTGGCCAGTATGTCGACATTGGAATTTTGGCAGCAGATCTACAGAAAACTTACAGGTAAGTAAGATATAATTCCTCTGGTTTATTCAGAGAGAGAGATAGTGTATGACCTTTTTTTGCACATAATGCTTAATTGTGGTTTAGTATGTGGTTTAGTATAAGCCCTCCTGCAGTCACTCGTGCTATGCAAATCCGCATAAGCCATCATGGTGCATTACCATAATGGGTAACCTAGAAGTGCCAAGAAGTCATGGTAAGCTTGTTGTGGTTGCTCTCCTTCTCCCTTGTCCCCACAACTTTCCTCCAGACAGGAGAGATAGCAGGAAGGAATGAGATTCTTTTCTTTGACAGCTGCAATTGGAAGCCAAGTAGGCTCACCTGGCTGTTGAGCTGCAGTAGCAGGGGTGTCCGATCCACTGTCAGGCAAAGGGAGGTGCTGTGGAAAGGAACAGTGCTGCTCGGCTGCTTGCCTAAAGGAAGTTCCCAGTTGCAGGTTTGGGGTGGGCAATCTTACCCTTGGAGTAAGCCCCATTGGGTAGTTCTGTGTAGGATTGCACTATTAAAATTTCTGAATATATCCTAACAGTTGAAAGGTACTTGGTAATTGCGGGTAACATCCCTTTGCTACAAAATGCATTTTACAGAAATCTTTCCTGATGTCTATCTTGACTTTTAGCAAGTTTTTATAGAGCTGTTGTAGTATATGCTGCTGCGTCACAAATTATAGGTTCCATCTATTCCAAACTAGAGGGGCCCTTCAGAGCTTAACTGGTACCTACTTTTCTCCCTTCTCCTGCTTATGCATTTCAAGAAATTAAAAGGTTAAATGGAGATTCATGCACTCATTTCCACCCATTTTCATTTCACCTGGTGCAAGTTGCCTTCACTCTGGAGCATGGGATTAACTTGCATTGGAAAAGGAGGGAGGAGGACATGGGAAGTGTGAACAAACTTCCTGTTCTCCCTTCTCCAAACAGCTGCTCACACCTGCATAGACCTTTATTGAGCCCTAAAAGGCACCTCCACATGCAGGTGATGGACTCGTAGTAGACTGGAGAATGAGACTTCCTTTTAAAATAAAGACTGCCATTTGTAAAACAAATTTTATTTTTAAAAATCTCAGTTTTTAAACTTTCCTTGGTGTCATCTTGGACACCTGTGGGTTGGGCAGGTTTTCTTCTTCTGGTGTTTGCATTGCATTCTGTTACTATATTAATAATGTCGTATATGCAAATAAAAGCCATCAGTGATTCTGATGTGTTCAAAATTGATTTTCAGTGCTGATTATGGACGAAGAAAAAGAAATGCTTTTAGAATACAAGTTGAGAAAGGTGAGTCTGTTACTGCTATGATGGAAGTCATTTTATTAAGCATAGTCCAAGTTATACATGTTTAGACTAAAAAAAGGGCCAGCAACTCCCAGCATACCACTGCCAGCTAGGAGTTACAGGCCTCTTTTTTATCTAAAAGGGTATAGGATTGTATCCTTAGATATTCCCCTCTGCTTCATCCTGTGCACACATACATATCCTAGTAGCTGCTGCTGGCTTTAGCCCTGAGACCACTATGGTCTTATCATTCAGTGCAAAGGGATTCGCTCCTCAATATTTGCACAATACTGGGACTGTTTTTGCTTTTTTGTTCAAGTAGATGCTAAATGGACTTGTGGAGTTCTTCTTGCACATCTTAGGGAGTAAAAACTGCAATTTCATCTGTGCTAATGTTTTTTTCTGTAGTTTTTGGTTTAATCAATGATGAGCTAAAGACAGAGGCTGTAGCGGCTCTCGAAGATGAACATCTGGCAAAGAAAGCAAGACTCAAAAAGGACGAAGAGTAAGTTGAAGTTGATTAATTCCAAGTGTTGCTACTTTTCATGAAGGACTTTGTAAATTATTTGGTCCAGTGCATTACACAGCACATTCTCCTAATGATTGGTTGTGTCCAATTATACACCCTCCTGCCAATGCAATGGCTTTTGTAATCAGAACTGGAAAGGGGGAATCACCTACCCCTGCGTTCGCCTGCACACCCACAAAATCTGCTGTAGAAGGTTGGGAGAGCTGCGATGAGGTTTTCATTTCCTCTTTCTTCCAGTTTCAGAATTAGCTAGGGCTAGCATTCCCTGGTAGTGGTGTTTTTGTTAAACAGAGTCCCAAAAATGTCTTCAGTTCCTATTCATGGTTAGGAGATTCTGCAGTGCTATATCTGCACCAGGCCACCTCTGCTCTGAGTGAATGTAGATGTTTTAATTTTCTGGTATCCAGTACTGTGAGCCATATTGCTTGCTTCCACAGCCTCTTGAAAACTATCTTCATTTAAGCCGCCACTTAGGTGAACTGTGCTGCTATGAAAGTAATACCTGGTGGAGGCACATGCTTGTCCAAAGTGGGATGAGCCAGTTGTATACCAGCTTATGGTAATGTTACTGCTCGCTAACGGCACTACACTCCTATGTAGTTATTAGCATGAATATTTGCTTATTTCACAACAATGACCTCTAGAATTCTTCCCCTTTGGGCTAAGCAGAAGGTCTGGCCATAAGAAGTGGTGCAACATCAGTAAGCGATAAGCCATTGCTATATCTTAAATCTCTTATTTACTTGAGAATGTTCCCTGCCTGATCACTCTGGTCTCTGGTATGACCACAATTGGAAGGCAGAAGAAATTTGGGGGCCCTGATGAATATACTCTGGCACTGCTGGTGCTGCAGCGCTGGTGACATCACCTCTTGCTCTGCCACCAGTGTGCTCTTGCCCGCTGTCGTTCAGTTCAGTGGCATTCTTGGGTTGGTTGAAAATTGAGATCTGAGGAGGCCTCATTGGTCATCCCATAACCAACATGGTGGTGGTAGGTAAGGGTACATAAATGGGCATTTAAGTAGTGGCACTCACCTTCTGGAACACTCTACCACATATGGTCCAAGAGGTGGAAATGATGGTTAACTTTAGGTGCTTCTTGAAAACTGACCCGTTTATTCAGTTTCCTTCAGTAGAACTCCATTCTACTCTTTGTAACATCTTTAGTTCACCACACAGTGAGTTCTACTCTCAGTGCTCATAAGCCTCTGAACTTGGAGACTTAGGAGCATCTTCTGTGATGTGGAAAAAACATTATTGCTGGCAGTCTCTGCTTCCCCACTCTGCAGGTCAGCTAGATGGCCAATATTGGCTGTCTGCTGGCAGTGACTAGGGAAGGAGGCTGGAACACCTCCAAGATACTTGTATATTAGCAGGCCTGATCTCCTCCTCACTATGTTTAACCTTTCTCTGAGGTCAAGTTTCTGACCTCAGAAAAGCAGCCAGTGTGGTTCTTTCTGTGCCAGCTGCTCTGGGAAGGGATCCAACTGTGGATGTACAGCTCCAAGGTGGGGAGTTTTTTTTCAAGCCTCAGAGCTGAGAATTCAAAGACTCCTGTGGCTCTCTACATGCTGTTTAGCTTCCACAGGATTGCTCCATTAATATAGTTATAGTTTACATTCATTTTAATACTTTATTTTATGTATTTTTCATGTAAACTGCTTAAAGATCCTAGGAGATCAAGTGGTATATGATTAGTTTAAATATACACAAAATAAATTTTGAAGGAAATTTGTTATTCAGAAATGGCCTTTTTATAGGAAGAAGTTGTTTCACATGGTTTTGTTAGTTTTCAGTAGTATAAAGTTGAATGTGAAGGTTCTGAAGTTTGTTTCATTAATAGGAGAAAATAAACTGGTGTGATTTAAACACAGCTTTTTCAAGAGCTTCATGGAGATCTGATTCGAGGGAAAATGTTGTACCAGTTGTACAAATTGTTGTACTTGAAAGGAACTGTGTTAAACTTTTAATCTGGAGTTGTTCATCTCTCTCTCCTCCACACCTCATGCTCTCAAAGTGAGTCAGAAAGCTGCGTGGATACCTCAGACACTGACACAGATCTACCAGTAAGTGTTTCTCTGTCTATGACAGTTCTAATAAAATGCACCTAATGTTGTATTTAAAATACAATTTATCCTTCTGAAATTGAGTGATGAAATAAACATATGTAGCTTCTGCCCTCTAGTGTCATGAAGTGGTTTTGCCTCTGAAGTATCACAACACAGAGAGATTATAGTTCAGATTCTGTCACGTCCAGCCAGTAGCCTTCCTGTCAAGGTGTATCCCGAATTCTTACTCTTTCTGTGGCATGCAGCACTCATGCTGCAGATGAGCCACCCGTGCCATTCATTTATAGTCCTTCCTTCCTATTCGTCTGTGTGTATGTGCGTTTCAAGCTGCAGCAGGGCTTCCCAGTTGCATCCATCTGCAGCATTGTCCAGCCAAGGGTGGCACTATGGCAATTTCATGCATACTTGGCTGTCTTACCAGATTTCTTGCATCAGTGGAACAGTGGAAAAAGGACTTTGTGCGCAGAATCTCACTGAGCTATGCTGGAAGAATGGATTTCTCCTCCCAGCCTGTTGGCCCCTTTTGCCCTTCAGATCTGCTCTAGAGCATCGGGAGCATTCCAGGGAAGCTCTGAGGGGTGTGTGGGAGGCTGCAGTGTGAGGAAGACACCTGCAAGAGGTGTAGGACATCTGCTCACACAGCTGGGTTGAACCCTGTGCGTGAAGCTCAGATTCTCTCTCTGTCCTATTTGCAAATAGTCCCCGCAGGGAAATAAGAGCAACAGTCTCATGCAAGAGTAGGTGCATCTTCCTGCAGAGTGACTCAAAAAGCTACTTTCTAGCTGCCTCTATATACGGCAATACATTTTACCCTGAGGTTAGCTAGGTGGGCATGATTACTATTTAGCATTGATTAGTATTCATTTTGTGTTTAATGCTGACTTAATGTTTTATCTTGTCCCTATTTATTTCATTGTTGTTGTTATTTCATCTACCCGTGAATTTGAATTGTTCTTGTTGGGAATCGTTATGATTGAAAAGTGAGCTTAAAATGAACTAAAATGCATCGTTTCATATTTTCTGTATATAATTATATTCAAGCATACTTTGAACAATACTCTGTGTTTTTTTAAAAAAATCTCCTGTTGTCTCTTCAGCCCTCAAATCATATGAACGTGTCTTTGCTGACCTTATACCGGAAAGGAAATCCAGATTCTGCACCAGCATCACCTAAGGATGTGCTGACCAAGTCCGACTCTCCTTCGCATGGGACAATAGCTGGATCAAATACAGTTCTCCCCCGAGTACCACCTGATACCAGGATTTCAGAAGGTGGATGGTTTATTGATAAAACCCCAGACAGAAAAGAAGATAACTTTTTTATTGATCTTTGTGCTGAAGAAGAGAGTGATGGGTCTAAACAAATACCTGAGGTACTCTTTTTAGCACTTCTGTGGCTTCCTTCATTTTACTTGTCCTATCCAAAAAGATCAGGATCAATATTAGCAACATAATATTATGACAGAGGGAAAGTGTATGAGGAGCCATAGCATGCTGGGGATTCCCCAGTTGGAGGGCAGAGACCTCTGACCTCAGAAGGAGGAGTTGCAGACCCTTGTAGCTGGTGCAGAAAGAGCCATGCTAGCTGCCCTCTAAGGTCAGAAAATCAACCTTGGAGAGAAGAAAAGAGGGTGTTACAATGGTTTGGGAGCAGGGGAAATCAGCAAGGTCAGCAGATGAGTCATTCTGAACCTCTGTCAGCCTCCTGCCCTCCCCTCCAAAATGCCATTGTTCGGCAGGCTAAAAAGCCTACCTGGCAAAATATCCAGGTCAGGATAACGGGAAAATGAGGATCCCCTCTGCCACTCCTTCCATCCTGCTCTGGGTGCATGGAAGCCTTGAGGTGTGAGGGCTTCTGGTCATTGAGAGTGATTGATATGATTACATTTTGAAGTGTACATCTACAATCTACCATAAATCATTTTTAAACTATATTATCATAGAAACTAAAGCCTAGGAAATCATATAAAAATAGTGCTGGACTAGGAGTCAGGAGTTGTAGATTCTAGTCCCCATTCAGCCTTGAAACCCACTGGGTGACTTTGGGTCAGTCACTGCCTTTTAGCCTAACCTACCTCACAGGGTTGTAAGGATAAAATAGTGAGGAGAACTTTGAAGTCACCTTAGGTTCCTTGCAGGAGGAAGAAAGCAGAGATATATATGCAATGTAATAATAATTCAGTAGATTTATTATTAAAATAAATAAAAAGATTAAAATAAAACCACCAATAGCACCTAATAAACCTAGATGGTAAACCACTAGTAGGGATACAATGGTGCAAAGAGAGAAGCACATAAACAGTTGCTAAGTGCCTGGGAAGGGAATAAGGCCTACCCAGTCCCAAAAAGAGCATCGTAAAGATGCCGGGTGAGCCTGGGTTGGACAGTACACAGGTGAGGCAGTACCACTGAGGAGGTCCTCTCTTGCAGCGATCCACCTTGCCTCAATGGCAGGGGCATCAGGAGGAGTGTCTCCACCAGCCACCTTAGCCTACAGGTGGCATATGGGAAGGCATTTGATTGGGTTTCTGCCTTCAGGAGTAACCCTTTCCAGTAGGCCTTTTAACTTGCTATTCATTGTATTGCCCAGTTATATCCAAAGCTGTTTCGGTCTCGGTGCTTATCTTATACATCTCTTGTTTCCTGCATGGGAACAAGTGAGCCATGGTTTAAAGTTGGTGGGCAGAGAAATCCTGTTGTCCAAGGCACTACAGGATATGGCAGATTTTGCCTCCCAGGGTTGTAGACATTACTGTGACCTTGAGGCTGGGAATCTGCTATCAGACCATTCCCCCACTCCCAGCAGCTGCCTTTTGAGGTCACCAGATCAAGCTTGGGGGACTTCAGGAGGACAAAAGAAAGGAGGGGAGAACCGAAGAGAGGATCAGCAAGCTTCAACAGCCTCTCCATTGTTGTCTCTGCCCACCGCCAGTCAGGCAGCTAGACAAGCTCAGAAGTTTTATTTCCTCCTGCATTGCTTGGCTCTCACTGGCAGGGCTGTGGATAGTTCCCATCTATCAGTAGCACAGCCTGTAGAAATACAGTGGTACCTTGGCTCACGAACTTAATCTGTTCCAGGACTCTGGTCATGACCCAAATTGGTCTTGAGCCAAGTTAAATTTCCTCATAAGGTTCATTGTAAATTAGGTTAATCTGTTCTGTAACTATTTTTTTTATCAGAAAAATGCAAAGCAAAGTGACAACAACAAAGATCGCAGCCTTCTCCCCCTGCCCACCCTAAGTACGAGTGGGGACATCTCCCTGCCCCCCCAGCGTGACCACGATTGCGCCCCTCGTCCCTGCATGTGCGTGTCATTAGTGCGCTGGGGGGGAGAGACGGGCGCGATTGTGGGCTCGCTGGGGGGGCGATAGGTGCAAGCGTGGGCGTGCTGTGGGGAGAGATGGACGTGATAGCGGATGCACTCCTGCAGGAAAGATGGGCGCAATCACAGGCACACTTGTGCAGGAAAGATGGGTGCAATCTTGGCCATCTCCCCCCTGCCCCCAGCATGATCACAGCCATGTCCCCACTCGGGGGGGTGGGGGCGGGGAGATGGCCATGATCATGGTCACCACCCAATGCAGAGTTCATGACCTGAGTTAAAATGTTTATGAAATTTTTGTTCGCGACCCAATTTGGTTGTGAACTGAGGTGTTCGTGAGCTGAGGTACCACTGTAGTTTGTTTGCAATCCATTGACCATGGCATTCGAGTTTGAAGCTATAGGTAACTGGGGGCTTCTGTCTTTGTGTCTTGGCTCATGAATGAACACAGATGTGGCTGTTTGGGGGCATATGAGGGGCATTAATATGTCTGCATAATATATAAGGTATATGTATAAGATATGTCAGCAGTTCCGTGCCCCAGCACACCCATTGTACTGTCTGTGTTGTAGAACACAAATGATATATCCTTTCTGGAGACTTCAAGAAAAAAACACAGGAGCAAAAGATGTAAAAGGAGGAAAGGAGAATCTCAGGATGTAGATGAAGAAATAGAATCTGCTTTGAGGAAACAGAAAGGTAAGAGAGAGTTTTTCTTTTATGGGGCACTAGTCCTAAAATTGCAAAAGAACCAAATTCTTTCTTAACATTTGCCTGCATCTCCATAAGATTTGGAAGAGCAGAGCAGCCATGTTCTTATTCTTGTAATATTTCCATCATTTCCTGCAGTAAAACAGAAAGGAGTGGAGTTGCGGACATCTTCAGTGAAGTTTGAGGATGTGGGAGGCAATGATGAGACACTGAAGGTTAGATTTAATTAAATTCTTTGACTGCATAAAAGTTGTCACGAACAGCACCTTTGTAGAGACACAGTGAAAGATAAGCATCTGTCTGGTAAGAGAGAGAGTTGCTTTTTGCTGCATTAATTGTGTATGATGCTGATTTTAAAGGCTTAAGTCACAGTGTTTTCTTTGCAAAAAGAAATTAAAATTCTGTGCCAAGCTAGTCCCAATGTAGAATTACAAAAAGCTAAATTTTACAGACATGTTTATTATTTAATAATTCTATTTTTGCCAAATATAGGATGGAACACTGAAGCACTAGCCTCTCCCAATCTTTGTCAGACACCTTTCCAGATGTTGAGATTGTACTACTCATTGCTCATGATGTTTCAAGCATATTATTGTGACTTTAAGGGCCAGAAACTTGCTATACGGTGAAATTAAATGTGCAGGTTTCAGGAAACTATTCAGGCCCTAGGAAGTATTCTCTGTTTCATCTCTGTACTTGTTATTATATCACACAGCTTTGATATTAACATTCACTAAAATGAGTGCTTGAAGTATTTCCTTATTCACTTCAGCATTATTACTATGAAAGGCAGTGACTCTAACAAAAAAAAGTAGGCTAACTTCACAATTCTTGCTTTAGGAGGTGTGCAAGATGCTGATACATATCCGTCATCCTGAAGTGTACGATCATTTAGGAGCTGTTCCACCTCGAGGATTTCTCTTACATGGACCGCCAGGATGTGGAAAGACATTACTGGCACAGGCAATTGCTGGGGTGAGGCCTCTTGCATATCTTCTTCATTCTCTGTCTTTGACTATATATGGCTTAAACTGTAAAACCACAGGTATATTTGTATGTTTGCAAGATTGGTACTAGCAGTAGCTTTGGCATTTGAGGTATTGCAGAGCGTGCTGTAAAGCTAGAGCATTCTATGGAATGCTTTCCCCAGGGGTATCCAACTTGGCATCTTGCCTGTATATGTGTAGACATCAGATTAGACTTTCTTCTTCCAGCAAGACATTTAAGTCACAATCCTGTACATATTTAGTTAGAAAAAAGTCCTACAATTCCCAGCATACCCCAGTCAGCATTGCTAAATCCTTAATATTTAATCTGTTGCTCTGAGTATTAGTGTCACGGCTGGTTCATTAATCTTTTAATGATTTAATAGATCGAACGCTTGGGGGGATCTTGCTTCCCGCTGGCTCATATTTTGTTGTGTCATTTGTGCATAAGTAGACTTACAGTCTAGTCGTTCTATACCATTCTCAAAATCTGGCTAGTCAGAGTCCTCAGATTTCAGCCTCCTGCCTTGTAAAGTTTTTTCCTATAAACCAAAACATGCTTGTGGTAACAAAAGTATATAAGTGTAGTTTTGTGCAGTACTTTTGTGACATCAAGGAAAGGCCTCCAAAAAGGAACAAAAGAAGGTTAAACACCTCATCTTTTGAAAGCCAAAAGTCTGATCCAAAATACTCCAGCAAACAGAATTAAGGTCTATTAGGAAAGGATTTTTTTATTCTGGTTTGAAGTTTGTAGGCCAAACTAACTGTTATGCAGATGAAAGGTCAATAGCTCAAGCATTGTTTTTCAGGTGTTATTGTCAAGATTTCTTAAGCCTAAGCATAACATTACCTGTACTTTCCGAAAATTATTCTTAATGCAGATTGAAACCACCTAGGGAGAATCATTCATTCACAAGGAAGGCCTTTCATAGGCAGCATTTTCCTTGCCTGAGGCACTTCTTCTTGTGGTAACAAAAGGTCCCCAGACATGAGTAATACTAGGTTTCATTTTAACACAGGATGTTAATACTGTATTTATTTTTTCTGCACCTGCCACTTGGGTGGTGTATGAACTAAATAATCAAACAGCTGGCTACCCCACAGCAGTAACATTCTCAGTGCTAGATCTAGTGGGAACACTGTGGAAAGCATCCTAAAGCTAAAAAAATATGTGTGGATCTCTTATCATACTTTGCATTAGGCTGCCCACTTCTTTTTTTTCCTGGGAAGTCAAAATTTAGGACAAATATTTCATTCAGAAGTTCTCATCTGTTTCTTCCTCGTGCAGGTGAGGCCTCCTAGAAGCTCCCAAGGCATTTTCTGGGGCTTCCTCCCTGGGCACCTATTGCAGCTTCTTAAGTGGTACTGCACAAAGGAGTACAGGCTGATATTGTCATGAGTTTATTATCCTGCATGTGTCTTCCTGTTCATTGCCTGCTGAGATCAGGTTTGACATTACTGTCGCTCTTTTTTCCCAGCCCCTTCCCCCTAGTCCAGCTTTTTACTGCACAAGCCTCTATCACTCTCCTGAACCTTGGCAAGTGTTTTTCCTACAATCATCGTCTGGGTTTTGTTCTTGTTGTTTTAGGAACTTGAACTGCCAATGCTCAAAGTAGCTGCTACTGAGATTGTGTCTGGTGTCTCAGGAGAGTCGGAACAGAAGCTGAGGGAGCTGTTTGATCAAGCTGTGGTGAGACCAGCAGGAAAAAAAACCCTTATTACTTCACATGCTTCTTGGCAACTCAATTAACTTTGATGTGCAGGTCGCAGTCTACATTAGCTTGAGTTAATATGTGCTGGATAGCTCTTATGGAAATTTTTCTAGACCTAGTTTCTCTTTTGTGCACTGAACTGTGGTTATGAAAGGAGAATATAATTAGTCAGGCCAACTAACCTCCATTCTTCCTGTGCTTTGCCCCAGTTCTGCTTAGCATCTCCTTGGCAATAGCAGAATCTTGCTATCATTGCACAGAAACAACATTTTAATGCCATCATAGCCTTCTAAAAACATAAGATAGGCAAGCATTGTGATCACACAGCAGCCACCCAGCCATCTGGAAAATCCACAAGTAAGATCCAGTGGATCCATGTGGAAATCCACAAGTAAGAACTATGCTTTCTCCACCCAGTGGCAGTAACTTGAGGATACAACCACTTGGTTAGGGCATGTATACCAGCCTTTACTAACCTAGCACCACTCAGATTCCATGCTGGTTGGAAAGAATGGGAATTTTATTCCAACATATTTGGAGTATGGCATTTTGGAGAAAGCTGTCCTACACAATTGTCTTTGCCTTTTGTTTATTGCAAATAAGCATTATTCTTTACCAGTATATTATATAAAGGGAATTAGGTTTGCTCCTATCTCAGCATGTAGTAGTTAAGTATGCATTTGCTCTGCTAGATTGCAACCTGTTTCTGCCCACATGGGGTGGGGTGGGGTGTATAATGATGCAGGAATTTGTGCTTGGACAAAGTGGAAAGGCTTTTCAAGGTATTGGCTGGGAGGTCGTGAGAGGCAAGACCAATATTGTACGTTTAAGAGAATTATGTAATATATAAGTGTATACCTTTGCTTTCTAAGTTCCTCTCTCTGTATTCATTAATAATATCATTTTTATTGCAATTACATACCCTTGAACTATTGTCCTTTCCTACATAAGGGCATTTTGGTAGTGCCTGGTAGGTGGCACAGTTCTTCCACATTTGGGAATATGCTTCATGATATTATGTGAGCGCCCTGAGAGCAAAGTCATTTGTAAAGTAATAGAATCACTTGTATAAAAGTAAAATAGTTTTCTTCAGTGCACAGATATGATCTAGATTTTACCCTTGCCCTATAAGATTTATGACTACGTTCCCAGTGCTCTTTCCTTTTTCTTGTCTTTCACATTTTAGCTTTCTAGATTTCTCAGCAGTAACAAATATGGCGAAAGAAATAAGCAAAGCCTTTATTAGCTTTGTTAGATTCTATCTTGTGTTACTTGGTACACTTACTGTGAATTTCTTGCAGTCAGTCCTAGTAATTCATGAAAAGCAGACCTGCTTCGCACAATCACTGAGACTTAAACAAGTCATCATGTGCTATTTAAGTTGCAATGCATGCCAGGAGCAGTTTGCTTAGTTACCTCCCTGTGCACATCTTACCGTGTTGTCTGAACCAGGGCAGCATGGCTTTCTCTACAGGTTATTTGAATAATCGGGGCAGTGGCTGTGCTGGTTGCAGATGCTGAGAGTTGTAGCCCATTGTTTCTGGAGGGCAGCAGCTTAGGGAAGGATGGATTAGGGGCTCTGTTTCCCACTTAGTAGTACATGAATAGCACCTACATGCTCACTACCACTCTTCCTTCACTCTCTCAAAACTGCCAGTGCTTTCTTACTGATCACAAGGCAGAGATATCTGTGGCTAAAATTGGTTTGCATTTTTCTTTTCAGTATGGAACTTCTAGCCTCATTCAGTTCTACGTGCCCCCCACCCCCCATGCTCATTGCATGCATACTCTTGTTAGTTAATCCAAATACAATCTGACAATGGGAAATTATTTCTAACCTTACACATATGAAACCACTGTGCTGATGTACATTTAGCTGCCAGTGTTGAACCAGTGATGATGATGCTTAACATTAAGTGTTGATAGTTTCATGATTTAGGTAGCATACTTGGAAGGGTGTAGTCCACATTGATTAGTCATGGTCATTCCTGGGCCCACTGTTCGTCAACATATTTATTAATGATTTTGATGAGGAAATACAAGGAAAGATAATTGGATTTGTAGTTGATAGAAATCTGGGTGGAACAGCAAAAACCCTAGAAGACAGAATGAAGATCCAGGGCAATCTTGATAAATTTGAACACCTGGCTGAAAGCAACAGAATGAGATTCAATAAGGACAAGTGCCAAGTTCTCCTAGGAAAAAGAAACCAAAGACATCAATACAAGATGGGGAATACGTGGCTCAACAGAATGGAAAAAGAAAAGGACCTTAGAGTTGTTGTGGACAACAGGCTAAATATGAGCCAACAATGTGATGCAGCTGCCAAAAGGGCAAATGCTATTTTGGGATGCATTAACAGAAGTATTACTTCCAAATCACAAGCAGTAGTAGTTCCTCTATACTCCTCACTAGTCTGACTTCACCTGGAATACTGTGTCCAGTTCTGGACACCAAGATTTAAGAAAGATGCAGGTAAATTAGAAGGGGTCTAGTGGAGGACAACAAAAATGATCCAGGGTTTAAAAACACTGCCCTATGAAGAGAGATTGAAAGAACTAGGCATGTTCAGCCTTGAGAAGAGAAGACTGAGGGGGGACATGATATCCCTCTATAAGTTCCTCAAAGGCTGTCTCTAAGAAGAAGGTCAAGATCATTTCTTGCTGATGCCTGAGTGTAGGACACGGAATAATCAATTCAAGTTGTGACAACCCAGATTCAGGCTGGACATCAGGAAAAGCTTCCTCACTGTCACAGCAATACAGCAGTGGAACCAGGTGCCTGGAGAGGTGGTAGGCTCTCTCACACTAGATGCATTCAAAAAGAAACTGGACAGCCATCTGAGTGGGATGGTGTAACGTAGTGTCCTGCAACAGCAGGGGGTTGGACTCGATGACCTTCATAGCCCCTTTCAACTCTACTATGATTCCATGATTGTCTTTTTGGTGAAAATATTGGGCAAATTCAATATTTCAAACACTGTATCTAGTATTTTTACATTATTGCTGCTATTTGCACGTACATAAGCAAAGACAGTATTTGTGGTATGGTATGGCAAAAATTATGTAATACAAGGAAGTACATATGTTGGTTACTTGAGTTATGAATGGGAAGAGGGAGGAAGGGGACATGTTCTGCTACTCAGAGTCATGTGGGCATATAGCCCATCTATTATGTTTCTGATTGATTGCATAGTTATATTCCCCAATAGCCAAAGCTGGGTGGTACACAATAATTTAAAGCAGTTTTTCATATTACATATCAAGTCATCTCCCACTTGTGGTGACCCTATGAATGAATAACATCTTGCCCTTGACAGCCCTGCCAAGCTCTTATATTTCAAGGCTGTGCCTTTCTTTATGGAGACCATCCATCTCATATTTGGTGGTCTTATGCCTTCAAGTTTCCCTAGCATGTTTGTCTTCTCCAGTGAGTTTGGCCTTCTCATGATGTTTCAAGTAAAGTTCTGGCTTGACTTGATCAAGGACTTATTTTTGTTCATACCTTTCTGTCAAGTCTAGAGTATTCGCGAAGCTCTTAGCACCATGTTTGAACACATCAATTTTCTTCCTGTAGTATTCTTCACTGTCCATGCCCTTTCATGCCCTTACATAGTGAGCAGGAATACAATTGTATGGATGATCTTGGCCTTGGTCTCCAGTGAAATGTCCTTGCACTTGAAGAACTTTTCTAGTTCCTTCACTGCTGCCTTTCTAAGACTTTGCTCATCATCCTATTTCTTGGTGGAAGACTCTACTCGAAGTAATGACTGAGCCAAGTTATACAAGATCATCTACAATTTCAATTTCTTCATTGCCTACCATAAAGTTGTGTGATTCTTCTGTAGTCTTGACGTTTGTTTTCTTAATAGTTGGTTGTAGTCCTGCTTTTGCATTTTCTCCTTTCACTTTGGTCAGGACTCCTTTCAATTCATTGCTGCTTTCACCAGTAAGATGGTGTCATTTGTATATCTACAATTACTGATGTGTCTTCTGCCAATTTTCATCCCTCTTTCCTCATAATTTCCTCTAATCCAGCTTTCGTATAGACAAACATTTATAGATTTTCTTGTCCGTTATACAGGTTACGTATCGGAATGATGAGGTGCTGAGGCATAGCCATTTTCTTTAGCACCATCCATTGCGTATCGTGAGCCACACACTCAAAGGCTTTGCTGTAGTCTGTAAGGCATAGATTGATCTTCTGAAATTCTTTGCTGCGGTCCAGTAGCCAACCTATATTTGCGATATGGTCTCAAGTGCCTCTTCCTTTTCAGAATCCAGCATTTCTCACTCCTTAGAGGGTTTAGTCTTTCTTGCAACACTTTAAGCATCACTTTGCTCACATGGGAAATGAGTGCAGTGATCTTTTACTTGCAACGCTATTGCATCTCCTTTTTTTGGAATTGGCGTATATACTGATCTTTTCCAGTCTGTAGGCTGTTTTTTTCTTTTTTCTCTTTTTGTTTACCACATTTGCTGGATTATTCTTGTTAGGATTTGGACCAATTCAGTCTCTGCAGCTTGACTAGTTCTATCTATTCTGATTGCTTTATTTCTATCAAGTGTTTACAGAGAAGCATTCAGTTTGCTTTCTAAAATTGCAGGCTCTTCCTCATAGGATTCCACTGTAAAAAGCAGTCTGTTACCTTTGTGTCTCTTTCATATATATTGTTTCTACCTTTTTGTTATTCTTTCCTGTTCAGCTAGTATATCCCTGTTTCTCTTTCAGCATTCCTAATGCACATTTGAATTTCCCTTTGATTTCCTGGATCTTCTGGAAGAGGTATCTTGCTTTACCTTTTTTGTTGTTCTATTTCTCTGCCATGGTCATTATAGTGGTTCTGTTTGTCTCTACACAATAGTGCTGAAAGGTTGCATTCAAGATTCTTACCATATTCCTGTTATCTTTTGCTTTTGCTTCTTGCTTGTCCTTAGCAATTCATTTAGGCCTTTCCTTTCTTGTTGTTGCAGGAATTGTCTTTTGTGTTTTTCTCTAATAATGTCATGGGCATGTTGTGAGCGAAGCCAGCTGGAGCCGGGGGTCAGACTAGATGGCCCGGGAGACCCCTTCTGACTCGCTATGTTTCTATGTTTCTGGTTTCGGTTAACAGTTCTTCTGGTTCATTATCAGTTAAGTTCAGTAATGCAAATCTTTTCTTTATGTGGACTTTAAATTCCTCAGGAAGGTTATTTACTTGTGCATTGGCACTATGTTTCTGTTAGTGATTGTTTTCAGCTTGATATTAAGATTTTTGATTTTTGATATTAAGAGTTCCTAGTCACTACCACGATCTATTCCTGGTGCTGTTTTGGCAGAGTGAATAAAGCTTCTCCGTCTGATACTTCCAATTGCATGGTTTGTTTTGTGTCTTTGTTGGTTATATGGTGATATCTGTGTATATGGTTTTTTGAAGCATATGTTTGCGATTAACAGATTGTTGTCCACAGGATTCTATGTCCTTTTCCTGCTCCATTTCTTACTCCTAAGCTAAATTCTTCCACATTTGATTCTGCTTTGTTTCCTATTTTTGCATTCCCATTACCTAGGATTATTGAGATGACTTGTTTTGGCATGTTGTCAATTTCATCTTGAACACCTGCACAAAAGTGTTCAAAATCTTCTTCAGCATCTGTTGTTAGAGCATAGACTTGAATGAGTATTATATTGATAAGTTTTCTGGGAAGTCTGTTTGATATAATTTGGTCAGACTTTGCATTATAATTCTTTAATGCTTGTGCTGCATCTAGCTGTGGTATTAGAGACATTCCATTTCTTCTGAGTTTATCATTTCAGGAATAAAAGATTTTGTGTTTGTCTGACTGAAAGTGTCCCATTCCAGTCCACCTTAGTTTGCTCACTCCAAGAACTGCGATGGTTAGCCATTCCATTTCTTTCTTTAGGATTTCCAGTTTGCAGCAGTTCAAATAGTTAAAATGCAATATACAGTTTAAAGCAGACTGAAACTGAGATGTGCATCTCCCATTTTCTTTAGTTGCATGCCTACGGTAAGGCTCCTATGCTGACCTTTCCTCAGTTTACAGAAGCCTCCAAAGCTGAGTAATACATATGTTCAAATGTAATTTTGATAAGTACTTTTTTCACATCATGACATGAAGAATGATAACATGTGGCGTGTTTGCAATATAAGTTCTGGTACTGATTCCCCTTTCCCTTGATTCCTAGGCCAATGCGCCATGCCTTCTCTTCATAGATGAGATCGATGCTATCACACCCAAGAGAGAAGTTGCCTCAAAGGACATGGAACGGAGAATTGTAGCCCAGCTTCTGACTTGCATGGATGGTCAGGGACTTTTTTGAACGTTAAATAATTTATCAGATTTCCTGTTGTTCATCAAATGCTAGCACTGATCCATTTGTTTTTAAGTGTCATATTCAGTTGAAATATTCTCTTACCACAAAAGTCCAAGTCCAAGATCTCTTTGTAGAGGAGCAAACTCCAGAGTGGGTTATTCATGTGTTACAGTCAAAGCATACACCTAAAGGTCTAGTGGCACTTTGAAGACAAACTGGTTTATGCTGGCAGGAGCTTTCATACTTGGCAGCTCCTTTTTTCATGCATAACTGCAGACATAGATTTAAATAGAAACTGTGGAGAGTGCAAACAGAAGAAAATTATGTTGTTAGTCTGAACGGTCTAGCAAGGCGAAAGGATGTGCTGAGTGTATCACAATGATTTGTGCTCTGCCAGTCAAACAAATACAAAATCCAATCAGCTTCTTTATGACTTACTGAAACTAGCAGCCACCTGTGATGAATAGGCATTATAAGAGACAATGTTTTCTGTACAACCTCAAATTCTTCCTTGACCAGTTCCAACAGGACAGGTTTTGTAGGGGTGGGGAAACAAGTAGCCCTTCAAATGTTAATGGAATTCCCATTATCCCTTACTACTGATGGCTGGCTAAAGCTGATGGATTTTTCAGTCTGCCAACAACTGGAAGGCCATTTGTTCCCCACCCCTACATGAGGAAGAAGATGAGCTTCCTGCCAAGTGATTGTTTCTTCCTGTGCTCCAGAAAGCACCTTCCAATTCTTGATTGCCTGTGGGACAAGTCATTTCCTAGGCAATTGACATCCCTTTGGTTTCTTCAGGGACAATTTGATATAGGATGGGCTCTGTATTTTTTTTATTCTGATCTGTTGCTTTTGCCTTTCAGACAAGATTAAGATGTAATATGGTGTAGCAATTAAGAGCCTATGCTGAACATCAGGAAGTTCTTGATTTTCAAATGGGATCTTCACCATAAAGCTGCTTTTAGCAAGCAATGTTTTCTCACACTTCCTAGTCTACAATACAGGAAATATTGCTCATATTCATGTCTTTGTAAATATTACCTATATACTGAATGTAAAAAACTTTGAACACTCAACGGTATTCTATCCATGCTGAGAAGTATAAGCTTGACAATGATAGATATAAGAACATATGAAGGGATGCTAAGCATCCACCTAGTTACTCTGCTCATACCCTGCTCAACTAGCTGCCACTAGGAAACCCACAAGTAGGACCCACAACCCTCCCACCCATTTTCCTAAGCAACCCTTGTACATTAGTATATTGCCTCCAATTCTGAAGATAATATATGGCCATCAGGACACGTAGGCATTGATAGCCTTCTCCTCCATGAATTTGTCCAGCTCTATTTTTAAAGCCTTCTAGCTTGGTGGCTTTCACTACAACTTGTGGAAGCAAGTTCCATAGTTTAACTATGTGCTGTGTGAAAAATTACTTCCTTTTATCTATTTAAATTACTTCCTGGTTGAATTTTCTGCCAGCCAGCTTCATGGAGTGACCCCAGGGTCTAGTATCATGGGAGAGCAAGAAAAAGTCTCCTTGCCAACTGCCAGCACACTGTGCATAATTTGGTACACCTCCATCATGTTTCCTCTTGCTAGCCTTTTTTCTAAGCTAAACAATCCCAGATTTTCCTCACAGTTCAATTGCTTCAGCTCCGTGATCATTTCAGTCACCCTTTACTGCACTTTTTTCAAATCTGCAATAACTTTTTTTAGATGCAGTGACCAGAACTGTACACAGCATTTTAAGTACAGCTACATTGTATATTATACTTTGTATAAGATATCATCTCAGCTGTTCTAGATTTTGGTGTTAGCTCTATTTTGGATCAGCATGGATTCCAAAGATCTTGTTTAGGCAGGTGTGGAAAGAAAGCATTTTCATTTGTTCTTCTGATCCTGCCCAATAGCATCCTTGTACATTCTACCATGGTTAAAAGAGAACTCTGGCATGTATGCCTTACACTGTAACAGCAGTAATAGCACATGTTGTCAGGCTTGACCGCTCTGTGTGTTTAGCATAAACAACGGTGCCCGATGACAAAGCACAGTCTCCTTCGTTAGGTGCTTGTGAGGCTGATGTTTCTTTCCCTCATTCCTCAGACTTGAATAATCTGGCTACAGCTGCTCAGGTCCTGGTGATTGGAGCTACCAACAGGCCAGATTCACTGGACCCAGCCCTGAGACGCGCAGGAAGATTTGACCAAGAGATTTGTTTGGGGATTCCAGATGAAGCAGCCAGAGAAAAGTCTGTCAGCTTTGTTTTTAATGTTCTTGTTTAATATCGTTTGAATTTTGGCTTCGCAGCTGCTGATCTAACATATTTAATAAGGGAAGCATAGGAGATATAGCATTTCTACTCTTGCAGTGCTGGAAGAAATCAGTATCAAAATTCTTCCCATTGCATAGTTTTGGAATATACCTATACTGTTCAACGCCAACATTAATAACTCCAGCTTGTGCAGTTGGTCAAAGTAAAATCAATAATAGAAAAGGAATGAAAGTGTTTTTATTCTGTGTTATAATTTCTCATGGTTTTGCTTCTTTAGATGCAATATTTTTTCTGCTGTCCTCTTACTATAGACATATAGTAGAACATGCAGTACTTAGCAGGTTTTCTTAGAAGTAAGTTCCAGTTTACCTTCCACTGAGAGTGTGACTACGTTTTCTCCACTGACTCCCATACAGATTTGCCAAATACAGAAATCAAATCTCCTAGAATTCTTCATGTACCTTCCATTAAATTGTTGGCCCACTCCAGTTGAGGTTTATCTGTGCATTCAGGATCTCCTAAAGGAATATGGTTTTGCAATAATATTGGCTCTTTTTAATTTGGTGAACATGGTCACTCAAAAACAACACATTTAAGGAGGCCTGCTGAATTTGTTTTGACTTGCAGAGTAATGTCCTTGAAAAACAGTGGTGGTGAATGTTTTTCAGCCTGAATGTGTTGTAGACACATGCACACGCTTATACTAGACATTCATACATAACACACATGTATTGCAAGCCTACTTGTTGTCTGGGTGATGGGAGGTAGAAGGTTGTACGTTGGTTGGGGAGGTTTTATGGATTTTTCCACCCCTGTTATAAAGGATGCGAACATATTTTATTAATTCATTTGTTTTTAAACTGCTCTATGTCAAAGGTTTTTTAAAGCTATTTGTCAGATCTGTGCTCTTTCTTTTCCTTCCTTCCTTCCTTCTTTTGTTCTCTGATGGAAATAAACATAAATCTCATGACTGGGCAGTAAGTGGAGAGGAAATGTGTGCTACGCTTATCCTCCAAATACTTTCCAACCATGAAAACTGAATAGATATCTCTGCCCAAAACAATGCACAAGTTTCCCAGAGAGCTTAAAAACAAAATTCCGTGGAGATAGCTGAACAGGACAGATCCTCAGCATGGCCCCATTCACTCAGTTCTATTCAACCGCCTTCACCAGGATTTCTTGACAGCTGTCAGTAAGCCACAGTAACAGTTCCAAAACAGAGCCATGGATGGGGGGCAGCCTTATAATCTCTTCTTTGTGGAGTAGCAAGGGACCTGGGGAAGTGGGGAAATGGTGGGGAGAGTAATGACATGTCAGTTCAGCATGGAAATTAGAGGATTTTATTGCTAAGGGGAAGATCTTAAGCCCATTCACTTTTGGTCCACCTACGTTTTGTCTTTCCAATTGATAACTTACGAAATAAGTGACTGTCATCTGTTCACAAACATGCATTGTCACCTCAGTCCCTTCATTTTTGTCAGATGAAACTGATGTGGGCATAGACCAGGCAAGGCTGTTTTATGATGGTGTGGCAGTGCAGTTCTGGAACTGTAACACACCAACCCAAAACAACAACAGCGTTACATTTTTGGGGACAGGGAACTTTTTTAACTGGTGTGGGGAAGGGGAAGCCCAACCACAGTGTCAAATGTAAAGGAGTTGAGTTTGGAGTGCGGAAGTTTGCTGGTTCTGCCAGAAAGATCACTGGAGGCCAGCTAAAGAGGAAGGAGAGGGGGGCCAACCCACAGTGAGCCCAGCTGTTTGTCAGGCACACTGTGGATTGTTCTCTTATCTACTCACACAGCATAATTTACTGACAGGGAGGGTTATCATGCAAACTTGCCCACTGACTTTGAGCATATTATTTATTTTATTTTATTTATTTATTAAAACGTTTATATGCCGCCCAATTCGCCGAAGCCTCGGGGCGGCTCACAACATGAAGTAAAATACAAAAATAACAATATAAAATAAATAACAATATTATATCATGTTTTGCAAGAGCAGAATAATTCTCTGTTTAATTATCATCTGGGTTGCTTTCTCCATTGCACAATCTTACCCCATTCTGCTTTTAGCTTAAAAGATGAGAATCTGGGTGGAAGAGAGGTTGATAAAAATAAAGACTGTCACAATGCCTTCCTTTGTTGTCTCTTCATCAGAATTCTGAAGACTCTGTGTCGAAAACTTAGACTCCGCGAATCTTTTGACTTTGGCTACTTGGCTCGTATGACGCCAGGCTATGTCGGAGCTGATCTTATGGCACTCTGCCGAGAGGCAGCCATGTGCTCTGTGAATAGAGTCCTTGTTCAGCTGGATGGGAAGAAACCTGAAGTCATGAGAAGTGAAGAAGGAGTATGTGGCAAAGATAAGGAAAGAAGTGTGGAAGAGCTTGCAAAAAGGAACGCTGAAAAGCCAGATCTTCCCACTAAAGTATATATTCCTTCAACTGTAATCTACCATAACTTTTTAATAAAATATTTCCCAATTTTACTATATCAAAGAAGTTATTTGTATTGGACCAGCACTGTAGGCACAGGGAAAAAGAAAAACAACCCCCAATAGTAAGCTGATACTTCTATCAAGACGAGCTAAAATATGACAAATACTAAGCAAACCTTTGAGTTCTCTAGAGTTCATTTTCAGGCATGTTGTGGGGAGGGGAACCATCTCTGCTGCCCTGAATTCCTTGGACAAAAGATGGGATAAAATGTAATAATTAGTTAATTTGAAATACAGGGCAGGGTGTTTCAAAGTCAGTGATATCCTAGAAGTACAGAAGCTGTTATGCAGATTTGCTTAGGTTAGCTGCTTCTAGGTGAAAAGAAAATTTCAAGTTATACCCAGTGCTGCTCCTAATGTGAAGATACTACAGCTCTCTTAACAAAAAAGTTATAATGCCAACAGTAGTATGGATCTGCATTGACACCAGTTCGAGCACATTTATCCCTCACAGCTGAGAGAGCTGAAGTTATGAAAAGCATGGTGATTCTTAGATTAAAGAAGATTTTTTTCTGAAACTACATCTGCATTATTTTTTGTACAGGAGTAACATCTTGACTCAGGCAGCAAGGATACAGTGCCTTGCTGAAATATTCAACCCCTCTTTGACTTTTCCACATTTTGTTGTGTTATAACCTAGAACCGAATTTTTTTTTAACCTATTTAATTTTTTTTAACCTATTGTGAATCCACCAATCATTGAACCAGCTGCCTTTAACCAGCTTGCTAACTAAAATATTTATGAGCACCTGATCACATGCTTTGTTGAAGCATGTGTTGTCATGCTAAATTCATAGCACTTCCAGAACTCATTAAGCTAATAAGTATTCAACAGTGGATGAGGTCGGGATAAGATTAAGGGATTTATTGAGAAATATTTGCTGTTTTCTGCTATAAATATTAGTGTATATGTGCTGTAATTGAATGCTTCTCATTCCCCCCCCCCTTAAGCACTAGTCTGACCCATTTGTGTATTGTTTATCTCCTACTTATGTAGGCTGAATTGCAAAGACTGCTCAGCTTGCTAAAGGAACCAGACCCACTGAAGGAGGAGCATCTGGAAAAGCTTTGGATCGAGCTGAATGATTTCACTGCAGCCCTCTCTACAGTGCAACCTTCAGCCAAAAGGGAAGGCTTTGTCACAATCCCAGATGTGACATGGGCAGATATAGGAGCCCTGGAAGACATTCGGGAGGAGCTCACCATGGCAATATTGGTATGGATAGACACTATATTTTAGAAAATCCTCCCATGTAGGTACAAAACTGCATACCTTCCAAAGGTTAAGCTGTGTGATGCTGCCAAATATTCTGAACCCAGCACATTATTTGGTTTTTCCTTGGAAGCAAAAGGTCATAAGATGTGCAAGCTTTTTAGTTTTCCAGCATTCTTTATCAGACAAACTGGGACTTTATTGTCTAAAGGCACATATTGTCTACTATTCCATTTTATTTATTCATATCCTACCTTTTTCCTTCAAGGAACTCAAGCAGACTTACATAATCCTCCTCTCAATCTTATCCCCACAACAGCTTGTGAGGTAGGTTAGGCTGAAGGTCACCCAGTGAGCTTTCTGGCCAAGTGGGAACTAGAACCCAGATCTCCTGGAAACCCAGTCCAACACTTTCACCACTACACTAGAGCTATCCAATTTGGCTTCTACTTACTTTTTGAACCTAATGTGCCATTTCAATTATCTCCAGACATTTTGTGATGGTACCCAGGACAGTTTCTCAAACTGCTGAACATGCTAAGGCCGCAAATTTTTGCTGAACATGTCTGGCTCCCTTTTCCTATTTCCATATAATGAACTGTAATTTTAATCTAAAGTTGGAGACAGTTCTTTTTTTACTTTCAAAAATTGAGAAATAAACCATTGTTTTATTTTTCATCGATGCAGCCCTGGAGATAGTGCAAAGTGAAACCTGAAAGCATCAGAACTCCTGGAAGCCCCTAATTTGGATGTTGGGAACCTCCTACGTTTTATCTTAAAACTGTGACTAAAGGCAGCCTTTGTGGCTTCAACATCAGCTGCTTTCCTCCACACACTTTTTTCTGTTTTTTACCATTTTGCCAGAAGAACTAGAAAAGCATCTATGCTGTTTGGTGACCTTTGAATTAGCTTGATAAAAGCACTGCCCTAATGCAGTTTTTGTAATTGAGCATATGTCTAGGGAAAGGAAGCAGTGCTTGAAAAGGGTAGCTCAGGGGGTTTCCAAGTAACTATTTCTGTCCGAATAACGGAATTATTTTATCAAATACATTTGTTTCATCCCCTTTCTCATTGCAGGGATCAATGGTAGAGAGGCTTGAGCACAACTATATTGAGAAAGAAGGAGCTAGTCCTAAGAGGAGCTGAAAGGGCTCTTATGGGAGATGTGGGTGGAGGTAAATGCAGAGATGCTCAGTAGGTAATATCTAAACACCATTTCTTTTTTCTTTTTTGGTTGGAGCACTTATTTTAATATTAGAAGGCTAGCTGTGTTGGCGTATTGTAGACCTAACACTGCATCCTATAGTTTTGTCATGCTGAGACCTACCTCAGTAATCTCATGCATTTCAGAGAACCAGCAATGGCCAGGGAAGCTTGCTTTTTGGTTCTCAGAAAAAGACCATCAGAACTGACACCTCTCATTTGAGAATGAAATGATTGCTGTGGTTTCTTTTTCCCTCTTTTCATTGAGCAAGTCCTTTTGTGTCTCTTCCAGTTTTCTTCATCTCTATCTAATAAATATGCTAATGGTTATAGAAAACCAGTTATTTTTCAAGCTTCATTGAAATCTTTTACTTGTTCTGTTACAGGCTCCTGTGAGGAATCCTGAGCAATTCAGAGCCCTTGGCCTCACAGCTCCAGCCGGTGTGCTGCTTGCTGGTCCTCCTGGCTGTGGCAAAACTTTGCTTGCTAAGGTAGGGTAAGATGCTGTGTCTTACTTATTTATCTTACCACTGCCCTGAGGCACTGTAAAGGGTGTGGTGCAATACATACATACACACATAATTTTGGCTGTTTCCAGGCCCAATACAGGACTTGCCTTTCAGGTGCTAAGCAGCTTATAAATTAAGCAGCAAGAGTGCCACTCCCAGTAGGATCAGCCTACCCACTAATTAAAATAATTGGGGAAGCTTTTCTCAGAGTCTCTTCAGTAGGAGAAATCCATCAGGAAGGCACAAAACAGATGGCCTTCCCTGGGATGACACTCCATCCCTGGAATGCTCTTCAAAGAGAGGTGCTAAATCTAACCAAAAGTCTGTGGGGTCCACCATTCTTTTCACATGATGGCCAGCTGGGTACCTATGGGAAGACCACAATAGGAAACGAATTTAAAAGCACACTCCACCACATGTTCTCTGGCAACTGGCATGCAGAGACATGAGACATACCGCCCCTGGCATTGGAAGTCACGTATCTTCCATTGCGACTAATAACCTCTATTAAGTTGCCTGATTAAATTGTCCCGCTCACCTTGGTGATTATTGCTGCATCTTAAAATAGTGAATTCCATTATTTGACTATGTGCTGCATGGAGATGTACTTTTGTTTTATCTGTCTTGAATCTCCATCCATTCCGTTCCATTAGATGAGCCCAGCTATGAGAGCAGAAGTAAGAGGGAAATAGAGTGGAAAAAGTGTACAGAGAGAAGTTTTTCTCCTTTACTTGCCTTTTTTCTAAATGTAAAGGCTCCAAACATGCCAATGCTATACTCCAGGTTAAAGTACTTTTCATTTCCCCATGCAAATAGTTGATGAATGATTTACCCTTAGATTTATTATTTTATATTTTTTGTGTTTAATTGCATTGTTGATGTCTGTTTTTTATCTTTGCACTTTACCACTGTTGTGGGTGAAAAATGATGTAGAAAAAATATAAATAAAGTATTTTAAGGATCATAGTAACTCTGCTTGTGATGAGAGGGATAGATATTAAAGATGGTTTCTCTATTGTGTGCTTGCTGTGACACATGGATCAGTACCAGCCTCAGACACTTTTACTGTGCCTTTGACTACTTAGTATGAACTGTGATGCACATCCTGTGTACTGAGATGCCTTTCTCTAGGATTTGAGTATCCTGACCTGTTTTTCTAAAAGTAACCCATGGTTTCTTTAACCCATGGGTTGTGGGATCCCATGTTGTCATGGTATGTGAACCCAGGCACTCTTGACAAACCATGGATTGATAACCACAAATAGCGAATAAAGAGAACCTGTGGGTTCTCCTATGGTTGTGAACTGTGGGTTATTTAAGCTGAAAGCTGTCTCTACATTTGAATCCAAAAGTGTGGGTTCTTCTGCTGGGCTGCCATGCCAGCAGGCAAGAATGGTAAATACAACTCAGTTACTCTAGTTGCCATTACTAAGAATTGCAAAGGCATTTGGAGTACAGGGAGGGTGTTGCCAAAGAATGAGGAAAACAGGTCCAGAGATTTAGAAAATAAACTGCAATTTGTTCAGTTGTCTGCCAGAGAGAAGCTAGGTAGGGCAGCAAAGCATAGGTCAACAAAGTGCTAAATAAACCATGTGATCAGGAAAACCACAGTGTTGCTATGAAGTAAGTTGTGGACTCTCCTATCACAGCTGTGGTGATGGCCACTAACTTAGATGGATTTAAAAGGAATTGGACACATTCATGGAGGAAGAGTCTGTTGTTGGCCATGATGGTTCTATCACGTCTTTAAGTTTGGAGATTCTCTTCCCCTGCACTTGCATCTCACATTGTGTGACCTAATGAAATCAGTTGGCAGGAGTTTCAGGATAAACAAAAGAAAGTCCATCTTGACATAATGTATAATAAACTTGTTGAATTTGCTGCTATGGGTTCGATTATTACCTTTGAAATGTGTCTTTTGGCATTCAAGAAATTACCAGTTAAAATAAATTATTATTACCTTATAAATAACAATCCAGTTTAAAATTGATAGGTGTCTCCTGCCTTTATGTTTGGGAATTTGTGTGACCATTGCAATTATGCAATGTTCTGTCATTAATATTACCTTGAAAATGTATAGTTAATTAACATTCTGGATATGTGGGTGATGGAGAACTGATGCCTGAACATTCAATTTTTTCAGCTGGGGCCATGCTCTCAGCTCCACTGTCAACTTAGGTACTGCATGTGGCACATAAGATGGTACATGTTTCACAGAAGAAATACCCACTTTGTGAAGTTTCTTCCCCTGGTTGAATGTCTCTCCTCCTCCTGCCCCATCTGCCCTGTTTTCAGGTGCTAGGTGAAGATGGTGCTGTTGCAATATGTGTGAGTGCTAATTGACCATAACTTTGATCTTCTTATAGGGGTTTATTTATGGCTAGGGAAATAATCTCTTTGGATAGGATGATTATTATTATTTTTATACTATTCCGTAGCCAAAGCTGTCTCTGTTGCTGTTTCTATATTTATTTGTATTGAAATGATATCGAAGTGTGAAAGGACATGTGTGTTATACATAGAAGGTCCAAGATTCAATTATCTGGCATCTCAAGGGAAGACTAGGGAAGACTCAGGTCTGAATGCTTGGGCAGCTGCTGGCGGTCCTTGCTAGCAATACTAGATAAACCAAGGGTCTTAATTAAGTCTTCATCCTATGCTGTTTCGGTGAGGGTGGGGTTTTTATTAATTTTTAGAGCAGGTGCATTGCTACCTTGAGGGTCTTCATAGTTTGGAAGGAATCAGTTATTAGAAAAACATAGATTACACTGTAAATATAAATTTAATTTTAAAAAGTAATATGAACTAGTTATACCTTTTACTTTTTTCTAGGCTGTGGCAAATGAGTCTGGACTGAACTTCATTTCAGTGAAAGGCCCAGAATTGTTGAACATGGTGAGTTTTGTTAGTAGTAGCATAGTTGCCACTAACTGGTCAGTTTAAGCTTTGGAAGCTATTGTGTGTATAAGATGAATACTGGATTGTGTTATAATGTAAACGGTTTAACTTTGTGACTTTTTAAGATTGTCAATAAAAAATGAGTTCTCAGCAATTATGAAAAGCCTTCGAAGTGTATAATTTGTGTCACAAATTGCATACTATGCATTTCATGACTATGCATTCTATAAAAAGCTTGCTTATTAGAGCTGGTTTACTAGGGCGGGAAATGACAGATTAAATTTAGTTCTTTTCTGACCTAGTTCCATGAACTTTCAAAATTATTTATTAGTGGTACTTATATTAATATTTGCTAAGAAGTGACATATTAATTATACTAATGCTGATATTTTAGTAATATCTTAACTGCTTAATATACTAAAATTTCTAAGATGGATTTTTTTAATGTGGGGTTTAAGGTTTAGAAGATGAAAGTGAATCTAAAGAACCTGTGGTAAGATCATGAGCCAGTCCAAATGATCTAGCTTTATTATGCTTATCTATGAAAGTAGAGATTATACAACCCCCCCCCCACTTACTTGACTTGCTTGTTTTTCCCTCCCCTTTTTCAGTATGTAGGGGAAAGTGAGCGTGCTGTACGCCAGGTTTTCCAACGTGCAAGAAATTCAGCACCTTGTGTCATATTCTTTGACGAAATTGATGCTTTATGTCCTCGAAGATCAGACCGTGAGGTGAGCCTATATTCACTTCATCTAGTCATTTAGGTTTAGTATAATAATAGGGGATGTGTGTATGAATGCATTTTGTCAGTTTTATTTGTTTTCAGAATGCTCTACAAAGTAAGTTATTGTCCCCATTTTACAGCTGGGAAACTAAGGAAGAAAAACAATGACTTGATCAAAGTTCTCCAGTTAGTCCCTTGCATAATTGATCTTGAACCCATACCTTCTGGATCCAAATCCACCAGTCTCTTCACTGTACCACACTGGTTCGTGTATTCTCTGCTTTAAGGCTTAAACTCATATTTGGAGAAGTGGAGTTAAATGTTGACTATCTAAGGGACACTACACTGGATGAATTATAATCTGAAAAGTTCATATTGAGTGACTAAAGAGCTACTGTGTGATACAGACCAGTATAAATTTTTATGGTGAAGAGATAAAGGAAAGAAGCTGTCTTTAAACACTTGGACCATCAGCATCAATATTTTCAGCCCTAATCTCAGGGAATCTCTGGCAATTGGACGTACTGTAGATCAATTCTACATGCCTCATTCAAGCAAACTAGATGTTCTTACATTTGATCCACCATACCACCAAAAATAGAAGTAGTGCTATTTATGCTGTAGCTAACTGTAAAAAATAGGATTTGAAGGAAGTATATTATTTCTCCTGTGAAAATGGACTGTGACAAAGGCGTCTTAATTGGGCCTGGTTGGGCCTGACTTTCATGGTCAGGAAAATCTAGGTGAGTCATGGCTTCCCATTGGTTTCAGGGAGAAGAAAAACAACATTGTAGGCAAAGTGGTGTTTATCCCATGTTGATTATCTTCATGACAGGGTATATTTTGTTCCTTCACAAAGATTTTATGTGCTTGCTTGTTTGAGGTCTGATCCCTTCAGAACCATCCCTGGCACAGACTCTCCTTCTGCCTGAGGCAGGAGTGAACAATCGCTGTCAAGGTGTGCTCTTCCCTCTGCATTGTGCCCTCTTCCTGCATCAGCCCCCCCCCCCCACACTTTGCTGCTGCCACTGTGCCAGCTCTGTGTAGGGCGCATGGTCAGAAGTGGCTGCGGAACTCCTGCAGGAGCCCTGCAGCCATTTCTTCGAGGTCCCAGCATTCTGTAAAGTTGATGCATTGGTAGCCAGATAGAAAGGCAGATAGAAGAATGGTGGATGCTTTTGAGTTGCGGTGCTGGAGATGACTGATGCACTTCCCATGGTCTGCCAAAAAAAAGAAGTCCTAGACAAAGAGGACTCACTAAATATATCATTTGAAGCCAAGATCAACAAACAAAGACTGCCATACTTTGGCCATGGCATGAGAGCTGACTCACTCGAAAAATCAATCATGCTGGGAGTGATCAGTGGAAAAAGAAGAAGGGGCCACCCCAGCACTCTTTAGCTGGACATCATGAAGAAACACACTGTGATGGACATGGCGGTCTTGAAGGAAGCCGTGAAAGACAGAGAGGCATGATGAGCAATGATCTATAGAGTGGCCAAGGGTCGGACACAACTGAATGCTTGATGAAGATGGCATATCACTAAGAAGCTGAGCTGAGATCAGCGGTGAATTGATTGCTGAAGGGCAAGGAAGAGGCAGAAGCAGGGTTGTAAAACCGGAGTTGAATTGGCAGTGCTTTGAAGCAAGTGTTTGTGCCATGTTTACTTAGCAAAGTCTTTATCTCACAACTGCAGGCAGTCTGAGGGTGCTTGCAACACATTTCTCCTACGTAACCTATTGGCTTGCAGGCAAGCATGTCTCCTTTGCAGAACTGTCTCAATCATCCACTTAAGTTGCTCGGAGGTGGTTCCTCTCCACCTTTGCTTGCATGCTCTTCTCTGTGAGGGCAGAATGCCAGGTGTCTGCTGGGAGGATCCTGGTTCCACTGCTGATGTCCACCCAGCTGTGTTGTGCCCTCTTTCCACTAACTTCCTAGGGACGGAGGCTCCTGAGCCACAGATGGCTCTAGAATTCTGGCCTTAAGATCAGTCATCCTTCTCTTCTGCAGATGAGTTTGTTTGTTTGTTTATTTATTAGATTTATATCCCACTTTTTCATACAGTGAATTCAAAGCAGCTTCATCATTGTCCTTCTCCTGCTCTCAGTCTTATCCCCACAACAACAATCCTGTGAGGTAGGCTGGGCTGAGAGCCTGTGACTGCACCAAAGGCATCCAGTTGGCCCTGTGGCCAAGCAGGGACTAGAACCCAAATCTCCTGAGTTACATTCCTAGGCTCTTGAGCACGGCGCCACACTGGATCTCTTCACACTTCTAGGGACGCTGTCACACAGAGACATTGTTGCTCTCCCAGCAAGTGGCATTTAGAGAGACATTGCCCTGGACCACAGTGTTGCACAGTACCAGCGTGACTAGTGGCCACCAATAGAATTCTCCATGAATGTCTCAAGGCCTTACCAGCAGGCAGGGGAATTTACTATGCTTGTAATTAAGCACCATTGTGCTTTAGCATCATGTAATCTATAGGAAGAGTCATTTTCTTTGAAGTTGGAGATGATTTGGAATTTAATTAACCATGTGTCAGATAAAACCAAAGCATAACCTCACCATAGTAAGTGATCTGAAGCATTGGAAATGAATTGATATTTGTAATCAAGAGTCAGCTCTCTGAAAGAGAGTTCTTTCATCTTTTCTCCCTCTTGGGTTTACTGTATAATTTTGCAGGTCAGAATCAACTGATTGATTTTTACGTCTCTTTTATAATTTACTCTTTCCCTTTTGTGATGTGGTGGCTAGAAATTCTTATGGTTAGTCTTTTTGGGTGGAATGATAGGTTGAAACTAGTGTGATGAGTGAACCAGTTGTCAGGAAAGAAGATAGATCATGGGTATGAAAAAGATAAATGATCCAGAACTTTTGTTTTTTACTTGTGAATGTAAGTTTGTGTCAAGGGTATAGATTTTTTTTTTTAATCCTAAAGGACTGAATTCCAGGCTAGGAAGGTCTCAGGGCTGTATTCCATATGATGATGCAGCCAAAGGCAGAGTGATGATAAGTAATCAGACACTTAATCCTAATTTTAAGGCTGCTCAGATTTAAACGGGGCACACTCTGAAGTCATGTATGAATAAGCCGAGCTGAATCACACAACATCCCCTTCAAATAGCATCCAGATACCAAGTCTCTGCATGTGTACTCATGAGTAAACAGGGCAGGACAAGCCTCAGAAGTAAGTGGGAGTGAATCACTCTAGCTTCCCCACCCAGCCATGTGCCTTCTCCCTCCTCTGCAGGAAAATCTTCTATCTCTGGGCATCTGCTGATCAATGATAAGAGCCTTTTGCTTTCAAAAGATGGTGCAAGCTCTGGGAGAGATGCTGGTGGGCCAGAGGAGAAATGCCAGTAGCCGGAAGTTTCCTATCCCTGATTATGCTGCCTGTGTCATTTTGTTGCCTTCTTATTCTTACAGTCAGGTGCCAGCATTCGTGTAGTGAACCAGTTGCTAACAGAGATGGATGGACTGGAGTCTCGTCGTCAGGTTTTCATTATGGCAGCCACCAACAGGCCAGGTTAGAAACCTTGAACAATTGGGGCTAATCTTAGGAGGATCACATGAGTGTCTGTTCTTAGGTATGCATGTCTCTTGCCCATGATAAAGAGGTAGCTATTCTGCTGCTATAAAGGTGCTTGTGTGTTTTAATTATAGTAGTGTGAAAGCTTTGTGACTATGTTTATTAAATCCAATGGAAAAATGTCATCAAAGAGTTTTATTTTCTGCTGCTGTTTTTTTACTATTTGATTTATGAATAACCACCAAAATGTCACTATATATTAAAAATTCCACCTAAGTTCCTTATCCCTTAATTTTTCTGCTGCAGCCTTCAATCTTTTAGTACAACCTTTTAGTACAACCTTGTTCTCTTTGCCCACATTGTAGTGGTGTTTTAGGCAACAGACCTGGAAGGAATAGCAAAGGAAATTTATGGAAAGCAAATATACGGTGTTTGTGTGTTGGGAGGCATTCCTCAGCAAGGACTTGTGGATTGGCCCTGCTTCCTCTCTCGTTGTGCTGTTTAAAGGACCAATCACTAAGGAACCCCATGCTGGACATCCATGGGGCAGAACCTTATTCCCCAAACTTTATGTTCTGATAAGGCTCATTCAGTCTTTAGTCTTCTTGCATTTGGCATTTGTCTACATATGAAGAGGTTTTTAATTTGTTTTTAATTTTGTCTTGTTCATTGTTCAAAATTCGTTTTCGATATATGTCTCTTTGTTGTATACTTCCATGTTTGTATATGTTTTTTATAGTGTATTTTTAAGGTTTTGGACTTTGTGAACTGTCCAGAGAGCTTCGGCTATGGGGTAGTATAGAAATATAATAAATGAAATGAAGCACTGTCATTGTGTTTACTACTTCAGAATACCATTTCTTCATACATAGATTATATCTAGTGGAAGTTGTTATTTCAGTGCTAAGTGTTTTGAACAGGCTGAAGTTCAAGCTGGTTACAGTTTGGGGTAGTTATTAAGTGGAAAGTTCTCATCAGCACTTCCAAGTGAGTGAATATACAGATCTGAACTGTGAGCAAGTATATTTGCATGAAGGATATTAGGCCAAGTGTGACTCCAGACTAGAACATTTGCTTTCTAATGTAATATAAATAATACTTGGTGTCTTAGCTGGAATGAACCATTTGAATGCAAAAGGTATTCTCTTCTCCCATGGTTCCTGAAACTGTAGAACTACATATTGTAATTTCTTCTAGGAGAGCGGATACTATTTATCCTGCAATAGTGTTCAGATCGTGCTGACCTTTTTCATAAAATAAAGGTTAAGAGTGATTTACAGAAGATTTATTGTTGTTGAAACTGGTTGCTAAGTGTATGCCAGTTCATGTGTTTCTTGCTGTGCTCTGAGGAAGCCAAGCATACAGTGGAATTCCTAGTTATTCCTGTGTACAAGGCTGAATAAGATATTCCCCAATATGCATCTGTCACTAGATTTTCTGAGGGTGACACTGAGGTTGCTTGTTGGAAGATGGGTCAGATGGTATACTTAGCATGTTTGTGGTTTAAGCTTTAGAATCACCTGTAAAAATGGTTTCAGGATAGGAGAGATGGAAAAATACTGTGCTCAGAGGTTCAGTGATCTGATTGCATATAACATGCATCCATTTGTTCCTAGGCCTTTGAACTGCTCCTTCCTTTTTAGCTTTCCTGAAGCAAAGATGTGGCAGCTGAAGTAATGGTGAGGAGTTCAGTGAGATATGCCTCCAGGTTTTTTGTTGGGATCAACTCTTTATGTGGCTTAATCACAATGTAAAGGCAGATCAGAATGTAGAATTCAGCAATATAACACCTATCCTTCCATCAAACTTGAGAGGTGTTCATAACAGTAAAGTAAAAAAAATGTTGAAGTCTTATTGTTTGCTGTAGTTGTCTTAATGCAGCGATTCATCCCAGTTTGTTCTATTATGAGATAATCGCAACACTTCAGATTACATTAGTTTAACTGGAAAAGCTGTGATAATGTTTAGTGATGCAAATGTACAACAAAAGTAGAAACTTGGAGCTTTGTGCTTAGAGAACACTCAATGAATATTCTTTTCATGTTTGTAAAAAGGTTCTCCAATGGTATTTGAATGTAATAAATACATTAATAATTTTTAAATGAAAAGATTGGTCCCATAGTGAATACATTTGTTGAAGGTCTCCTATATAAGGCTGAAGGCAAAATTTCTTGGCTTAATGTTTTGTGATGCAGTTCTTCAATTTAAATGTATATAGGAATGCATATATTGTAGGAAGGTGCACACAAAGAATCATATGTTTGTGAAAATAATATACAAAAATGCATTATATGAAGGTAAACGATTTGCAAAAAAAGTATATTAGGCAAAATGCACATAACATATGTAGGACAATCTATGACTAAAAAATTACTAACTGATGCAGAAATAGAATGTAACCAACTTAACTCTGGGTAAAGGAGAACTGAGAAACTGAATTTGATAGACGCCTCCATCCCTAGTGAGACATGACAGATACATATAAGCAGATAGTGTAAATGCTGCGTTTATCTAAGTATTTTTAAGCTAGATTTAGTCTTCAGTTACCCCCTTGTATCAGTATTAGTCTAGTGGTCTGTAATTAGATCAGCTGGCAAAGTGAAGAATCAAGTAACTGAGTTTCTTTGATATACAGCTTATAATCGGAGAAAGAGGGGAGTAGAGCATGTGAGTGACTCATAGCTCATCCTGTATAAGCCAATAAATTAGCAACAGTGGAGAGAAGAAAGAAGAATAAAGTAGTAATGGAGTTGGAAGGCGCTTATAAAATTATTGAGTTCAACCCCCTGCTTTGCTTGCATGTGAGGTCACCCATCCAGCTGCAGACCTGTGCCTTTCCAACTTAGCAAAGGTGACTCAACATGCTAGCCTGATATATAGCTATGCAGACATCTGTAAAGCTTCTTGGTGCCTAAAAGCTGTACAGTTCTGATAAACAATTGAATTTCTGTTGCTAGAGATAAGGTGCTTTGTTTTAGAAATGTGTCTTTCTGTTCAAAGAAGCACTTCATGATATATCTTATGGTAGTTTTTGTTCTCAAGTACTTCCAATTTTGTATCCAAAGTCTCAATAATGCTTGTTTATAACTTTCCCTTCAGATATTATTGATCCAGCTATTTTGCGCCCAGGAAGATTGGATAAAACACTCTATGTTGGTTTGCCGCCACCCACGGATCGCCTTGCTATTTTAAAGACGATCACTAAAGTAAGTTACGATAAACCCTTATATTCTGGTGTTGCTTAACAGTTGTGTTCTCTTGAACATCTGATAAGTTAGTAAGCTAGCAGGCAACTTGAATAAACCTATCTCTTTCTGAGTACATATGCAAAAGTTAATTTCTTCTTTAGAATGACCTATTTGGTTCAAACTAGCTAACCTTTGGAGATGTAGGTTTAAAATCCTTAGGAAAACGGATTCAGTCAATTAAATCATTTTCTGATTTGTTGGCTAAACTGCTGGCCTCAGATATAGAGGCTATTGAATGTTTGAACAAAAGAAAAATCAAGACTCTGGTAAGGTGTCAGCTTTTTCTAAACTCAGATTCTCAGAAAAGTAAGAGTTTGCCTTTCATATATCATCTGACTGGATGGCAAGATAGTCCCTCAGAGTCTCCTCTGCAATGAACTCTGTGTATGCCTTTTAACCTGAGTCGCTACAGCTAGGTTACATGTAATGAGATGTGTTAGACTGACAATTTATTTAATGAGACTTCTGCCTGATCATTGCTTTCTCACTTTTTAAATACTTGTACATTTGGCTTCATTGTTTTAAAAGGATATGCTCATGAAAAATGTTTTTTCTAATAGGAAGGATTGCATGGCTGCAAAAATACTGTTTATATGCTTAGGATTTTCACAAGGTCTTTGTTTTCCTGTTTTGTTGAGCTTTGGGGGGGAAATCTTTGGTTTCCTGAAGGAAAAAGTTCTTGGGAAAATAGGGCTTGAACTCCCCCAAAAGCTTGGCAGGCTAGGCTGGATCAAGAGGTCCATTCTGTCTGGTGGCAGCCTGTCAGAGATTTTTTTTTTTTTTTTGAGGTATGCCACTAGCAAAAGTCATCCCCACTCCTGGTCCTATAACAAATGTATTTTGAAAAAGTATCCCGTGTATTACCTTTGAAAGTAGATTATTAAGCCATTTCCCCTGTAAGTTTACCTTCCTTGGAAGCCTTGTGTCTGTCAGGGCTACCAGGTCAGGGATGAGTGAATGGCTGAACAGCATTTTTCTTCTCAAGTCAGCCTGGAGTTCCAACAAAGCCCTGTATATCTTCCGCCATGCATGCATAATCTGGATCAAGATGTAGCCATGTAGCAGTTCTTTGTCCCCTAGTAAAATAGATTATTTGCATGTGAAAGGTGGTGCAGGTGTAACCAGCATGAAATTTTTTGTACAACTTCTCATACTGCCTCATTCTCCCTAGTTGACCAGTAAGTTAGATTTTCTATCATGTTGTTTTGTTCCTGTCAGTGGTGAGCTGAGTAATTCTAGATGCTGGACTTAATTAGCTTAAGCAGTCCTCTCTTTACATAACACTATCAATTACTTCGCTCATTTCAGTGGGGCTTCAGGCCTGATTTTAGAACAGCAACTGCCTTGGTTGTCTTCTGGGATGATCTTTGCCAAGAGGGGGACAGAAGAAGTATGATCCTGTTGATACTCTTGAACCTCTCAGCAGCTTTCAATACTGTTGACCATGATACTCTTCTGCAGACAGGTTATCTGAGGCATGAGTTGGAGGCACTATGGTGCAATGGTTCTGATTTGACTTGGGTGGCCAATTCTAGAAAGTAGCACTGGGAGATCATCGCGTTCTGCATTGGCCCCTGTGCTGTGGCGTTCCACCAGGATCTATTCTATCCTCTTTGTATGCAGCATCTACCTGAAACACGTGGAAGAGATCATCTAGGCATGCGAACTAACTAATATGTAAATGACACCCAGCCTTATTTCACCTTTTAAACAAATTCAGGCAAGGCAGTATTGGACTGAATAACGGCCAATAAACTGAGGCTCAATTCAGACAAGACAGAGGTGCACTTACTGTGGTGGCTCCTTTCTCCAGCAAAGTGGTTTTAAACCAGTTCTGGAGAGGATTATGGTTCCCGCAAAGGTTCATTGGCTGTTCTTGGCAGGCCCATTTCTTTTGTCAATAATGAACTTGCTTTTTGGAATGAGATCGAAACACAAACAGTCCTTCAGAGTTTGCAGCACAGAAAAATTGCAGAGATTAGAGACTCAATAGTAAATAAGCTAGTTCAATTAACAGGGCTGCAAATCCAGCACTGAGTTTCAAGATACAATCTGAACAGAAGCTGGGAGAAAGTTTCAAAAAATCAGCAATGTAGTCTGAGGCAGAGTTTCAAAGGCCTAGGCACCTAAATTCCAAGAGTCAGAATTCAAAGTATGATTCTAAGATAAGATCCCACAAACATGGGAACTGAGGCAAGCCAAAAGATTATGGTTCGATTGTAGTCCAAGCAAGAGAGGTTTCAGGTGCATAAGATGTCATTGGGTTCTCGCATCATACTCACCCATGCTCTTAACCCAGCTGTGCACCCAGCAGATGACTGAGCCCTCCATAGGTTCTCCCATCCTCAGGCCTCCAGGCAGTAGTCCAAGGGAGTAAGCATCTGTCTCCTCTCCCTGCCACAGTTGTGAGACTGCTGACCGAAGGAGAGCAAAAAAGGGAGCCTGCCCAGTGCTCCAGTAGTTGGGGAGTTTCAAAACCTAGGAGCAATCACCAAGAAGACCCTCTCTGTCCTTGCCATCAAACATGTAACAACTGATGGTGTATGAAGAGCAGAGCCTTCCCTGCAAATCTTTACAACCAGGGCAGTCTTGTATGGCACTTGCAACTTTGAGCACATGTCACACTGGCTTCTCTGCTGATGTCCACAGTTTGTGCTTTGCAGACAAAAGTTTCTAGAAGTGAGAAGGATAGCGTCTGTACAGGGCATAGTCTTTTAGCCAGGCTGCTGTCTTTGTTCCAGATAATTGTTCTGGCTTGTGCGGTACTATGCCTGAAGGTCTGAGTGCTGCATCCTTGTACCAAAATCTTCGCATAAGAATAGTTCATATATGTACAGCAAGATCCTATATCCACTGGCTTAGTTATTGTGTTTGCAGTCGCCCTTGGCCGAAACAGAAGTCATAATATGCCATAAAGTGCCAAAGGAGGTCTTAAAGTGCTTCCTTCACTTGAAAATTTTCGATTTACTAGGGCAAGAAATAAAATTGCATGCTGAGATAAGAATGAATGAAATTGGGAAAAAGAAATGTATATACTATAAGTCCAGCTTCTAGGGCTACAGCAAAAGCAGTTGCTAAAAGCAGTCAATTTCTGACCCTTGTCTAAGTCAAAGGGAAAGTCTGTATTCAGAAACAGGATTCCGTGTTTGCAGGTCTTGGAACAGATCTACATGGATACAGGGGTCCTGCTCTATTTCTTGCATTTAAACTCCTTTCTACCAAGGGAATATGGTGCTCAGGCTAGCAAACCTGAACTGCTAGAATCTGCTGGTGTGTGTTTTTGCAATGTTGGAAGCAGCCAGCCTTGCTGCAAATGTAATGCAAATGTACACAATGAAGGCAAATCCATGTTTGCACCAGGAAAAAAAGGTAGAAAGTTGAGATGCTATAATTCTTGCATCCTTTTTTCAGGGGAAGAGAAAAAAACCGCCACAAGAGTACAGAAAGGAGCCGGGTGTTTGCCCCTAAGCCAGTGCAGATTGCTTTGCCTCAGCATTAGTTAACCAAGACACAAAGAATGCCACTGTGTAGCCTGCCCATGCTTGTGTAATGGAGGATGAAAGGAATACTGCACCAGAAGCATAGTGCATGAAAGGCAGCCTTTAGAAAGGTAGGGGGGAAACAGAAAGATGAAAAGGTGTGCAAATGCCATAAATTTAAGTCTGAAAATCCTATGTACATTTACTTGAGAGAATAAAGCCTGTTGAACTTAGGAAAAGCAACTTTTGGGTAAAAATACAAAAGACCAAGATGTAACAGAATGGAAAAGAGGGTGTGGGGAGGAATGAGAAACATCAAGTTAAGCCAGAAAAGAAGAGAATGGCAAGTTTGCATGTCATGACAACTCACTCTACAAATAGGATATCAAAACTCTCCAGCTCCTTTTAAAAGGGGCTCTTTGACATGAGTGAGCATGAGAACATAAGTTATGCTGGTTCAGACCAATGGTCTGACCAGTCCAGCAGTCTGTTCACATGATGGCAAACCAGCTGCCCGTAGGATCCCTTTAGCAAGAGGGGTTCCACCTACCTAAGCACCTCAGTAAGCACTTCTGAAAACAGAAGTAGCACAAAACCAACAAGGTTAGTAGCTGATGATATCCTTTTCTACCATGAATTTGTCCAGTCTCCTCTTAAGCCATTCAAATTGATAGCCATTGCTACTTCCTGTGGCAGTGAATTCCACAGTTTAACTATGTGCTGTGTGAAGAAGTAACTCCTTTTATCTGTCCTGAACCTCTTACCAGTCATCTTCATGGGATGACCCCCTTGGGTTCTACTATTATGGGAGAAGGAGCCAGCTATTTATATCCCTCCTTGGGAGAAATTACAATTTATCCTCACTCCCTGCTTCCTGTTCTTTAACCAGTTGGTGAGCCATAAGAGAACCCACTCCCTTATTCCAGTCCTGCTAACTCTGCTCAGGAGTCTTTGGTGAAGGACTTTCGAAGTTCAAGTAACCACTTCTGTCCACATGCTCATCAACACTCTCAAAGAAATCTAATAGGTTAGTGGGATTGAATTTCCCCTTGCATAAGCCATGTTGATTCTTTTTCAACAGGACTTATCCCTCTGTGTGCTTACTGATTTTATATTTAATCACACTTTCAATAGATAAGCTTACTGGCCTGAAATTCCCTAGATCCCTTTTTAAAAATGGTTGTTGCATTGGCTATTTGCCAGTGCTCTGGTACAGAAGTCTGAGGAATATTTTGCACATTTTTGTTAAGAAGGTCAACTATTTCATATTTGAGCTCTTTATGAATAAGATGGTAATATCTTAGATGGATAATAGCTGGACCTAGTAATTTATTAACTTTCAGTTTGTCAATAAAGTTGAGATTTTCATATTTTGGCATTAATTTCTGCCTTAATTTCTCCAACTCCCCTCAAGAAGAGGTTCAAGGTCCTATTTAAGAACAGGCATCTGTTCTGCATCCTCAGATGTGAAGACAGAGG